CGCTATATGCCGGTGGTCTGCGTCACGCACTGCCACTCCGTACCATCAAGAGAATCGTCGTCGCTAAGCGATTTGATACGTGACCATGAGGCGAGTGCACCGTTGGAGAGGGCGTCAGGTAGTCAGTCGGGATTGATTGATTGTATTTATCGTGGGTGCAGTCCCTTAACAGGGCAAACCACGCCTCCCAGAGCCATTGCATCGCAAGGTTGTAGAGGTGTCAGTCTAGATACAATCAGATCCGCGCATGAGCCTATCCTCGCTGTAGCGGTACCAACCTGGAATGTCCAGATGGTTTTAGTCAATACCCAAGCACGATTCCGTCAGAAAAACCTCCTGTCCAGTGACAAAGCGACCCAGTGGACCTCAGTCCTCTGGTGTACACACCGTTCCAGTAGCCGTTCGATATATGTCGCATTGGTGGATGAAGTTGGTATTTGTTATCTGCTGGCGAGGGGAACCATAAGGGGAAAAACCTCGCAGGAATAGGTGTTGTGGAGACAAGCTGTTTGGCTATCGGGCTCTGCGATAATGGGGCCTCTCCACTGTCGTGTGCTGGTTGTCGGACTCGCACAAGCCGGGTCAAAAGGGGGCCGGGTCAAAAGGGGGCCATAGCAGGATTCGAACCTACTTATTCTCGTCGCCCACCGCACAAACGAGAACACAACCAGGCGCATTTGATCATTGCGCCATACGGCCATAGTCAGTCGGGAGAGCCGCCTGACGTCATGCTCATCCAGCAAATGAAGGCCTTCCGCTTCGTGATGGTGAATTCAGGGTCCTGATAAGTTGACGAATTGGGTGGGATGCAAGAGGTCCGACAAGGTCTACTTTGCGCCGCTGTCGTCATCGAAGGCCCCGGCTGGATGGATGGCTCGTCACATGAGTTGCGGTCAGACTGGTTGGTACGTCTAATTGAAGCCGGTCAACATGCCCCTTGAGCAACTCATCGATACTTGCGTCATTATCACGCAGGTACTGAAGAAAAGCAATGCGAAATCCAGACACAGAGGTGCGTGCGCAGTTGCCCGAGAGCGTCTCGGTCCCGTCGCATGAGTGGTGGCATGAGAACTCGTTCGATTCTGAGGGCACGTAATGGTCGCCTGCCTCATTTAGCTAAAGGGGCGCTCTGGAGACAATAGGATTCGATTCATCGTCGGCACCATCGCAGGGAGCAGCGAACCCAACCACATGGCGGCCGTGACTGTTTCCTCTCGGAGGCAGTTATACTGCCGGTGCTTCGAGGCTGCGAGGATTGATGGAACTGCATCTCGTCAACATCTTTTCTCTCGCATCGAGGTGGAACGACATGGACACTCGAATAGGCTGTGCAGCAAGCAGCCAGGGGCATGGATGCGCGAGGTGTTCTGCGCATCATCCATTAATGCTTCGCGTCCCGTTTTGCTGTTGGTGGTTCGTAGTGGACCGAAGCTGTCCCATTGTGGCAGTCTTATTCATGGATAAGAAATTTTTGGATTATCCCGCTATCTTGGCCGAGTGGTTATGGCGGTGCGTTTAAGTTTCATGACTAATCCCGCACTATCGAAAGATGCGCAAGTTCGAACCTTGCAGATAGCAATGAAATTTACTTTTTTATTTTCGGACCGGCCTACTAAGCAGTCCCCATGATTTTGCCCCAGGGTACGCTCGTGACTGGAGTCATGTGAGGGGCAGCAGCACGGGTTAGATGACTGGCGGGGTTACAGTCGATTGCTTGACACGCCCAATTGCTGTCAACTACGTGGCTCCTAGGTCACGAAGGCAGGAGCCACGTATTCACGGTGAGACTGCCATGAGAGCATCTCTTTTCGACTGGGCCGTCGTGCTTGGCCGAGCGGAAGCTCATGGCCCTGGTGACAGACACGGGAAACGATGAACAGCTTCGGGATACACAAATGACGCCCTTCCCTCCACTCAGACAGAGTTGATCTGCCCCGCGGAATAGTTAGGAGGATGCATGAGATCGGGATCTGGCATACAGTATCGATCTCTAATGGCTGCGCCGACGGCAAAGCGGGAATACGGCTAAAGGTGACGAGGTACAGCATGGGGCAATCACGATGATAAACTAATTACATGCTGCGGCCGTCCGAGCAATGAACAATAAGCCAAGACAATATGAGCGCCAGTACATCACACGAAGTGCGGGCCACAGGCTGCTGAGAGAAGCGTGTGCGATAGTCGACACGAGATGCGGCTCGGAAAGGTGGGCCAGGGCCCAGCACGACGTGCAGCTTGTGTCTGCTAGGGGTATCGCAGAGACGTCGTGAGATCTGAGTCAGGTGCAACGCAACCAACGGCTGGCGATTCGTCGTTCAGGGGCTCGGACTAACGGGTTACGTGACTGGTGTGTGGGTGAGAGTTGTGGGTGAAGGGGGTTGGTTGGCTGCGTTTGTATCACCACACGCGTTATGTTATTATGTATGCATGGTACATCTGGCGCATACATAGTACATACAGCAATGTCGGCGGCCAACAAATGACATTGGCAAATGCCTCAATGACGTGACCTGGCAGCTGCGGCCCAGCCCAGCCCAGCAACATACCTCCCGTCTCATCAGGTCCAGCCCACCCGGGGCCGCTGATGAGGGAGGTGGACGACGGAAGACGGTAGAACCATCGGCTTCGGTACGCAGTCGTACGACGCGTGGTTCTTTGTGCGTCCAATTCATTTCGCGAGAAGTGACAGGTAACAAAAGCTGCGTGCCTGGTATTTTGACCGAGAGGCTGGTACTGCACATCAGTCATCCGTCGGTCAGTCGGTCACGATCGATCCCGCCCCCAGGGGACCTGTTCGACGGGTAGGATCCGGTCGATGATGAGGCTGATTGAGACGATGTGATGGCCTGCGTGTGCGCGCCGATGCCCTTCTCGAATGAATCCCGCCACCAGGCAGGCTCTGGCTGGATGGACCCCTATTATTACTGGCCACAGTAGACACGGCTTGGAGTAATAAGCCAGATCCTGCAATGCATCTAACAGCCAATATTCCGATCTCATTCCTGTCAAGGACCAGGTCTCCAGATCATCTGGAGATGGATGGATGGATGGATGGATGGATGGTGGCCGGCCTGCCCTCCCCTACGGCACGCACAGCGCCCAATAGGAGGCCCGGCGCCTTGCTTGCGATCGTCGGAAGCAGCCACAGCTTTGCATTTGGATTTCCGAGCGTGTCATTGGGGCTCCCATCGCATCGTGACAGTAGCGAGCTTGTGATGTGACATTGGCTTGATGGAAGTGGTTGATTGCTCCCTGCGTCTGCTGCTACCGCATGTACAGCAATAATCAGCAAGCCGCAACACCTCACATGTCTGTCACCTGCTTGACCCCGGGCTGACTCTCTACTGTGAATGGCTTGTTGACATCACCGGGTTCAGACAGTCGCCGAGGTTGTGACGGGAGGGGGGATTCGCGATGGTCCAATAGACCCGAGCCACGGAACCAGCTGCCAAACGGTAACCATGTCCATGCAGCAGCAGCATATGCCTGAACCACAACCACCGCTGCCGGGTGGACATGACATGACAGGTCGGAAAGACCCACGGATCCCCAGCGTCGCAGTGCAGCTGCTGTCAGGATTGTCATGTCGACCAGACTAGACCAGACCAGACCAGACCACAGGGCAGGGCAGGACAGCGCGGCGAGATGTGAGCCGTCGTCGTGTACACCATCCACTCTCTGACTTGTATGGCTGCGTGTGCATGCTGCAGAAGGGAGGGATCTCGTTTGTGGCTCGCACAGCGCAGCGCAGCGCAGCACGGCACAGCATGTGCGCTGCGGACTGGCTCGTCGTCGTCGACGCCCGCGACGACAATGTACTATGTAAGGAAGCGCCGGGCGGCCGCCTCACGAGTCGCCAGGGGCCTGCGAGCCTGCAAGATTGAAGAAGGAAAGCTGCAACAAACACGCTGCGGACGCTGCGGCAGTTGGGTCCCGCTGCCAGACGAGATTCTTACGGCAACATCGCCGAGATCTCATGTGCTGGCAGGGGTGCGATGGCGGGTGGCATGTCAGTGTCGACGGATGACATGTCAGTTGGCAGGGGAGCGAATGAGCGACTTCGGGCACTTCGTTTGCAAACAGTCGTCCTGTGTGTCCCGAGAGAGACAAACACCCCTGAATCCGGTCAAGAATCCCATGCCAGACACGACACCGAGGAACGAACCAACTTCCGCATGTGGTAGAGCGATCTACGATCTATCTACTAGAGTCTGAAGGTGGTGTGTAGCTACTCATTCTTACTTCGGGCACCGTTGGAGATACATATTGGTCCATCACATGCCGCATGGTGAGTGAGACAAGGCTCGCTCGCCTACCGGCAAGTGGGAAACGGCCCCACGACCAGATGTTAGATCTGGCTTAAAAACAGATCAGACGATCACATATCTTGGGGGAAAGAAAGTCATTCATTGGCTCGGTCGCGGCGAGATGCTACTGTCTACGTATCGGAGATGGGGTTCCCTTCGATTTCCATTATGACTTTAGCCTGTTAAGTCACCGAAATAGCTCGCCAGACACAGTCAGGTCGATATCTGTACCGACAGCCTGGATCGGATGACCGGAATGCCTGACGTATGATCCTTTATTCTAACGAGATGACATCGTCGCGAGGGCTGGGTAGTTTTAGACGAGAGAACCATCACGTGCCGGTGATCCCGGAGGATATGTGTGCTTAGCCACCGTCAGCACTCGTAAGCATTCAGCTTCATTGGTTGGTTAGGCCCCGAGAGCGAGTCTTCATTTCGATGGTTTTCATCGTGCAGTACTTGGCGATGGTGGGCTAGTTATGCGTCTCGGAAGCACAATAATCTCTCCCACATCGCGTGCTTGCATTTATAGGGGTGGATGTCGGCAGAGCAGCAGGGCAGGCAAAAACACTCGGCAGCCTTGCAGGTCGCTATAGATTGGTGCGGGAGAGCATAGAAGCAGGTCACTGATAGTACCTCAAATTTGACCCGGCTGATGGTTCCCAATAACAAGTGACTCCTGGCCTTCGCCATTCAATACCGCTGTCGGCTGCGCAGCGGTGTGGCCACTGGTGACACAGTAGATACAATATGGCATTGGATTGTACGAACAAGACTTGAGGGATCGGGATGCCATCCTTCAAACAGAAGCCAGATCTGCTGCGCCGTATTATTAGGATGTAGCTCCTGCCATATGTCTGGGTCGATTGTGCTGACGCCCCATTCTCGATGGCGAGAGGATTTCGTGTCGCTTACGACCCTCGCAACCAACAGGAAGACCGGGTTTACCGTGTCTTCGGAACGCATGGAACTGGGTTGCCCAGAGGAGCCACACGCAGTAGCGATTTCGATGCCACATGTGGAGCGTTTCTGGATCTCGCGGACGACTGGTCCAGCACGGCCGGTGCTCGCGCGATACGATGCCCGCGTGGCCCGCGAGCAAACATCAACATCAGTTCCGACGCTGTGCGCCATTGCTGCAAGTTTGACAGCTGGTCCGCGCCCCCCGGATGTCAGCATCTCAGAGTGTGATTCTGTGCAGCTTCCATCGTTCGTCAAGAATTGTGATGTGTCGACTGCGATACCATTCCCGTCAAACCGACATGGCATGGCACCTATTGCGCGAAGCATGCCAGTCGAGGTAGCATCCGACACGTTTGGCTGGCACGTCTCGATTCGTGTTTCCACTCACGTACCAGTTCCTCGAGTCGCCAGCGGAACACCCCCTTGGATCCGTGACTGCAACAGTACTTGTCCTAAGTACCACTGGATACCTGGAGAGGACGCGATCCCTGCCCGGTGTCAGAGTCCCAGCGGAAAAGTTGAAATGTGACTGATCACTCTGGACGACCGGATCTGGTTCAAACATCCAGGCATGTCGCTCCTGATCCAATGACCCTTGCATATGACGATCGCTACGATTTGGTCGGGCTTGGGAGGGAGATTCATTCCTGAATCGGATGTATATCCGAGCGGTCTGGGGCACAATGTTACCTTGTGGACTTTGACATCTCTGGGACCCGCGGGCGGGTTCCTAATTACAGAAATAAAACGGACAAGGAACTTTCAGGGGGGCGAAGGACTTGTACCTCCATGTCTCTTCCGTTTCGACCCACGAGACCGTTAATCACCCAGATCAAATCCCGAGGCATGTCAGCAGACCCCGAATACCCACACTAGAGCTTCTAAGTTCTGGGGCATACAGTGGCGATAACACAGGTAAAGTCATGATAATAATGATGATGAAGATGCAGAAGTTCTCGTGACCTACAGTGGCAGGTCTGTTTGAGTGTAGAACGGTTCTAGTACATACGCCGTGAGGTTCGAACCACTCGACTCTCGAAACGAGACCTCGTTTGTTCTATGTTTGACATGTGCCTGCCACGCACACACCGAGGAAGATCGCAACCATCTGAAGAGGAAGCCTCTCCATCGGGTCCGAGCCTCCCACAGGGCCTGAGCGTGCTACGCGAAGCGAGCGTTTCAACCTAGGACCTGTCACCCAGTGGAGAAGATGGGTACCTATATAACGGCTGCTCCACTTCCTGTCACTCGAATGTGTCGACTGTCGATCCCAGCTGCAGTCCCGGCGGAGCAGGGCCGGCAGGTGTCGAATTGTTCTTTGATCGTACTTCGGACGTCTCGTCGGAGCCCTTTCTCGATAGGGGCGTCTCTCCGTATCCTACCTACAGCCCTGGGATACCACCCAGGTACCGATAGCCGGTGGGCAAGTATCAGCATCTGCTAGAGGACGACCGAGGACGGCCTGGGCAGGCCGTCTCGCAGCCCGAGTGCCTCGATCGTACGATCTGCGGTTCATAAATTAACAACTCGATCTCTTAAGATTGATCCTGTGATAACGTGCTGACGGTGGGATAAAATTAGCAGGACCAATGGAGATATCGAAGGAGCTGGCTCCTCTTCCTGTATGCAATGCACCGGGCTTGTATCCGAATACGCCTGCTGACACGGCACGGTATCACACCCCATCTCGATGGATCTTTTTCCCTGGTGTTGGTCACGAGTTGAACCGGGCTACGGTTCCTCGATCTCTAATCTTGCTTTCAAGAGCGGGATTCGCGATTCCTGGGAGATTCCTGGGTTTCCTGCGGGTCGCGCAAGGCTATTGTGGACGCGGGTAAAGTACCTTTGATAGTATCGTGATGATAGACCTCTTGTTGATGCTAATGACTCTCTAATTGTTCTATTCTGCCTTCGATGATAATGTTCAGAGACTTAAAACTCAACAGGTAACTTCTTAATCATCCAAGAATGCCAACACATGGTGTCGCGGATCATCCACGGGCAGCGGCCTGTTGTTGGGTGACAAACTCCGGAGAATTTGCTGCTGTGCAACAAGTGATGAGGCGAGCTGCCGTAGCGTCACGACTCACGAACACCGTACGATCACGGAGACCCGTGAGATTGCTATCTACCCGTCCCACAGACACATTCTCTTTGTTGAACGTGTGAGCCGAGCCGCGAGGCAGACGAATTGCCTCATCAATAAAACGTGACGCGAACCGGCAGGGTCAGGGTTTGCGGAACACTGGCTTAGCCAAAAGCCACATCCCGCCATCGTGTAGGTTGTCATCGCATGCGGCATGGCTTTTGACGCGGACTAGGTTCCCCAAGGGCCAAGAAGACAGTGCGTCCCATTTTAGCCCCGATCTCAGATGTCCAGCACTCGCCCTTGTACGAAGAGGGCAAGCAGCTCGTTGGTTACGCAAGCATCTCCTGTGTAATGTGGCTAGCTACTGTAGCAAGCTGCAAGCCTCACGGCGTGCATCTCAGGATGCGCCAAGCCAAGCGTATAACGGTCAGAGGATCTGCTATCATAATCGGAGATTCATCCCAGATGATCTCAGTCTCCTCTTGAGGCACGCACGTGGCGGGCCTGATGGATGGGGTTGCCATGGCCCCATGCTGCCATGATGCATCGTGAGGAGGATCGTGTTTATACTATAGATGGCCCGCAAGTTGATCTTCCTAGATCTTCGCGGCGTCGACATGACCTGGATGTATGGAGCCTTTCTATGGTTCGACGTTTTGCTTCCGCCAAAACCGATCGGCGCGCCGTCGGACCGGACCATGCCTGCATAATTACACAAGAACAAAGCTCGTCAAGAGAAGTATCTTACAGTACATATCAAAGCTTGGTGGGCTGCGTAAGATCAACGGTGTGGCACGGTGGGCAGCAGAGATTACATTATTATTATATGTTCCATGTCAGTTCTTGGTACTGCTAGTGCTATCATTTCGACAAGTACCGCAGACGATCGGTACCACAGCACCGGCAGATCGCACATCTCGGGGGTCCTTGATCTTGGGTCTATCGTGAGATTCGCAATGTCTACGGCGGAGTAAAAAGACAAGATCGGCTGTTTTTCGCCGTGCCGTCAGCAGCGACTCAACCCAGTAACAGAGCAAGAGTCTTCTAGTCTTTCAATAAAGTCGGCAATCCTCTCCATATGGACAAAACGCAGTACGTATTACTGCTTGGAGTGTCTTGTCCAACATAGGGTTGAGCAGAGCACCACGTCCAAGAAGGATGCGCGACTATACGGTATGCCGGAGCTGTGGATAAAAATCGGAGTCAGCTGTCAGATGATGTGACAGGGTCTGGGGAGCCCACACACAGAAATCGGTTATAATAACTGCGCACTGGCTGACTGGGATAAGGCCGTGGCATTTTATACATGCCGTCTCGCGGTAACGGACGGTTCTTCGTGCTCGTGACCGTCGGAAAGTGGCAGCCGCTTGCGGGATGAGTGAGCCGTGGGCCTATGAACCTTGAGATCGTATCGAATTTAGATTTGTTGAAATCCTGTGGGCATGGACATCCCGGTCGGTGCTGTGAATGGATTGAGCAGAAAGAATGGCCCATCTCGTTTGATCGATCTGGCGACGAGCGGGAACGGCGACCTGTCAGAAGCTGCCACGCCCACCACACTACACTGTCTGAGATCTGAGATCGAGTGATCGCTGTTCTGGGGCTACCACAGGATGCTGATACGACGTGTATGGCCATTGGTAGACCGTTCAAGACTTGAGACTATTAATGACCTGAGAACACTCTGTTCTACTTGGTCGTCGTAAGCGAGGTCGGCGATGTTTCTCTTCTCTGGCTTGTGGTTCGCGGCTCGTGGCTCATAACAAGGGTACTCCCTGAAAGCCCTACTGCGGTACGGATTGCTCGCAGAAGCCGCAGACGGCGCCACGCGGCGAACGTACCATCTCGTTCCAGCGGACGTCGTACTACATGGAATAGTCTACTTCCATCGACATGTGTCCTGCGGCGAATTCAAGTCAGGAAGGTCGAGTCGATGCAAGATCTAGGAAGGATCTGGTCGAACGATCAGATGTGTCCAATTGCGCTTACGAATCCCCGCCACCCGGTTCAAGATGCCAGGTCATAGCTGCATCTGTACATGTGTCGACCAGTCGGTCGCAGCCTCCATGTCTCTACCAGTCCCCGATGTGAGGTGACGTAGCGTCGACCTGCGACCTGCGTGCTGCGTTGGGAGGATGGATGCCACTGGTGGGCGCGGAGGGTCGCTTCAGCCTTCGGCGTGATGCAAGATCTGGCTTGGTGCTTGGAAAGAGATCACTCAGCAGCAAGGAGGTGGTGGTGGTGTGGTGAGATGGTCAACGTAGCCGAGATGCAGAAGCCGATTGATTGCAATCGAAGGACACATGTCTGCCACGACTCACAGGTTCCCCAAGCCTGTCCAACCCCCGGAATGGCGTAGAGATCTGGACGAGATCTGACAATCTGTGCGGCAGACCCGACTAGGCAGCTAACCTAGGGTTGTGTATACCGGCATTCAGGCAGGCAGTCGACGGCGACGGTCGTCGTCAGTCAGGCTTGGTGGTGCCTAGCTGACTGTAGAACGGAACACATTCGTATCCGCATACAGTAGAGTCCTCGACCTTGTCAACAATGGCATGATTTTTATTAGCAGGGCTAGCCTTCACTAGGGAGTGGTCGTCCACCAGTTCGGACTGCTGACCATCCCGGAGCGGTGGATTAAGGCTCATGAGACCATCGGGAGAATCGGTTTGCGAACGCACCAGAGTACGACGAGGCGGATGTGCTGGTTGCTATGAGTGGTTACTATTCTCCAACTGATCTTTGCCTCTCGCAAGTTCGTAAAGACTGGTGACCTAGCGTGGTAATGGTAGAAGTCGTAGAGAAAACGGCAAGTTTTAGCGGCGTGGCTTGTCACCCTGAGGACTTCACCTATGCACCTAACACGTTGTCTCTGATCACGCCGTAGTCTGTAACGTGTACGAGACCTTCAACCTACTGGTGTATTCCATCGCTCACCACTCTCTATGTAGATGGTGATTTGGGAGGGAGAGTTTAAATGTTCGATATACCGGTCGTTAAAACCCCTGAGCCCTGTCGATATTGGGTTAAAGTGTGGCTTCATACTAGATCTCGCCTTACTGTCTGACGAGTTCCCCAGAGAAACTTCGGCCGAATATTAATAAGTTTCCACGTCGTCCAGGACACCACTGAAGGGATCTTATCTCGTGCCTTCTACTCATCCATCGTCTGTACTTTGTAAGTTGCCGACGTTGCTAGTTGATAATACCAAAGACAGGATAACTTGCTGATTCATTCCACTGCTGATGTGACCTCGGATATAAATAAACCTCTCTTCTGCTGGTGCATACGACAATAAATGCCCTGTACGTTCGGCGATGTCGATGCTCGGTAAGATAAACCTTTTTTATACCTCACGGAACGAATAGGGGCTAGCGGACCGTTGTAAGGGCCCGACAGTCCGGAGATCTGTCACTATTGAGAATCTGTGTGGGAGGCACAACCCCGGTTACAAACAAGGCCGGTAACGTTTATATCAGACAAGACGCAACGCTGCCACCGCCTTGGGAATGGAGAGGTTTGGGTACCGCTGTGTACCTGATGCTACAGGGGCGTTACAAGCACTGCAGGTGAGCTGCCAGGTACCTCCTGTACTCGCTAAGGTCCGTCTTCAGGTGATAGGTCCACTGCAGATGGTCCCTGTGACCTGTCTGCCTGTGCGCTCCAGGTCCCCGCCCGACTGACGTAGTTCCCTTAAGCGAGCAATAGGAGGAGCCCCACGATTTTGAGGTCATTTTGCAGCCCTGCAAATACATCAATGATACTAGCAGAGATCCGTTGAAATATCGGTATCGGCTTGTCCCTGCTTCTCCACCTAGATTTCCATCGTCTTTATCAAGTACCGGCGTCGCTCCAGACGATGAGATCTCCCGTCTATTACACCGTATCTACAGTACCCACACCGTGCCGGCATGTACTACTACTGGCAAGAGTGCAGCCCACATTGGTCACCCGCAGTGTCTGGACTCTGAAGAGGGCAGCATGCTCATTGCTCAAAGCTGCAAAAAGCAGGAAGCAAGCATTCTGGATGAACTGGACGAAAACCGCCCCGAACCATCGTGAGATCGTTGATACCAGGAGATCGATGGGTACAGGACTGTACATATCGGAGCAACCCTGCACGTGGTTAATCAACACCCACATTACGGCGGAATCTTCGATCTGAGTTGCCAGAGCACTAGTCACAGGTACTTGTTACCATGCGGGCTTTTTGGGGCTCACTGGCACCAACCGGACGAAGCAGGCAAAACGGGCAAAGTGGCAGGCCTGCCCATCAAATTGGGTGTCTGGACTGGCCCCGGGAGTGCAGGTGGTGCCACCTCACCCACCTAGGCAGTGACCCTCACTGCTGGGAGAATAATGGCGTGACCTGACAAGTGTCGGAGCAAGTGCTGCAACCAACCACAACTTTGCCTATTGAACCAGAGTCTTCTGGATATTGGGATATTGGGAACGGTCCATCAACTCTCAGATTCCGTCCAACCCTACAGCCAGGGTTCGAGAGAAACAAGAGATCGTCATACCGCCCGTTGATATGTCATGGCTGAGATGAAACCCCCTTACTTGGCTGCGTGCTGCAACAGAAGCCTCATCGATCTTGGTGACTCAGCCTCTGGCAAGACACGTGCTGCTGTCGGGCGGGCCAACGGTCTACGTGAGTCTGGAGAAGGGTCTACTAGGCTCGAATCCCGAGGGAGCATCCCAACTTGCGGTCTGTATCTGGCTCACGCCCTCGTCGAGTCGTCCATCCCTCTCTTCCATCGGCCTCCTTGCGGACAAGACAGAAGGATTCGAGATGAGGACACAAGCTTGCTGAAGCGAGGCCGTCGGAGCTACCAGCCCTGTTGCTGGGCTCATGGCTGCACCGTACGCTTGCACCAGCCGATGACAGGGTGACAGGGTAGCCGTCCTTCGAGATTCCTCTCCGTGCGATTCCAGGCACACATGGATCAGAGACCCTGGTCCCCGGTCCCCGGTCGTCTCCCTGGACTGGTCCGTCTACCCCCACCCGTGAGACCCAGCTCGAATCCCGTACCAGAGTACCCAGCGGAGCACCAAATTGCTCTACAGGGGTTACGTTAAGGTCTTTCACAGGGCCGGGGTCCCTTACACGCAGTGCGTATGCTCATTGATCGATGACCGCAAATCACCAGACTACCCTACCTGCGTGCATACATCACCCCAAGGGCCAAAGGCGGTGCCATCGCACAATGCCTGCCTACATACATTTTGTACATTGGTTCTTCCTCCAGACTACTGCATACAGGTATCCGTTCTGGTCACATCTCGCCTCCAGGTCTGCTGTACTGTACCATTTTCTCAGACCTATCTTAATCCCACACTTCGCTCCGTTTTCATCATTGGTGTGACCTTTGCTCCTTTTATCCCCTTCTTTGCCCTATACACGAACACGATAATTCCACCATACGCAGCCAGAGTTGGCCCCGACGTGCTCATCGAAGAAGATCATTGGACTTGTTCATCGCTCCGCGGCTCTCCGATCCCTACTTGCGCTGCGCACAAGACTCATTGTCTTGCTACGCCATCACAGCTGAGGGCTGCACGGGCGCAACCACTGCTCGTCTTTTGCCGACGAACATCTCCTCTAGCAACGACAGCGGCAAAGTCGAAGGTCACCAAGATCGTAGCTCGAGCGGAAACTTAGGCGGCCAAACGCCGAATCACACCAAGCGGAAAGCTGTTTCAGACCCACTCGGTAAAAACGCCAAAAGGTGAGAGATTCAGATTCCAAGCATGTCTTAAGACCACGCCGTCACTGTTCGTGGTTCGTGGCGAGGGCCAGACGTATGAGCATGCACACCAGCACACACTGCCCTGCGCAGCGTCGTCCACTTTGTGGAAGAAAAGCAAGAGGAAGAAGCTTTGGCTCAAGTCTCAAGTCCCAAAATGTCCTGCCCGCCACTGGTCTGCTACACACCTTCGTCGTCTGAACTTCTCTAATCAAACCGGGTCCCAGAGGCACAGAATACGGTTTCGCTATTTTGACGCCCCCACGGCGTGCCCTGGCCGTCCGCCGTTGGCTCCATACCCGCTAGCTAACAGCTTATACATCATATCGCTTGTTAGCCTGCGCAACTCGTGGAATTCGACGCCCTACGGAAACTAGACTCAACCTTCGCGCGGCCTGCCTGCCCTGCCTGTCCTTGTCGCCTGGCAACGAAGCGAGCTGGGAAGGGAGGAGAGTCTGCCCCGGTGTGCCTCTTTGAAACCGACCATCAACGTTTAGTCCCGACGAGTCAGATGCATGAGTCGTTCTGACGGAACTGGCTGGGGATTTTGGCACCGTCGCTGGCAGTAGTCGCGCTATGGAATCGGGTGAATCTGGCGCTAGGCAAAGGTTGGTTCCTACATCTGGCTTCTTGCTCGGGGCTCCATAGTGCTCGTGGCGCCGTCTCACCGATCATAAGTTGACCATTCTCTGTTCCCCTTACGTAGTGGTTATACCTCCGCCAGCAAACCGGACCTGTACGGCCTGCGCCTTTCAGAGCCACCGGCAAGACACAGTCGCGAAGCGCTAAGTATGGCTGCTGCCACTCTGATGAACCCGGCTTCGGCATACCACCACAATCCGCCGTTCTCCCCATATCACCAAACGCCGCCTCCGCCGTCTATGCCCGGCATGATTTCGCCCGGTGGGAGCAGGAGGGCGTCCGACGAGACCGAGTCCGCCCCTCGCCATTCGCTACCTTCCATATCAGAAGTCTTCTCGGCCGCGAAACCAAGCCAGTATACCCCAACGACACCCACGACGCTGGGCGGCTCACAAACTCTTCCTCACCCCTTCAGCTCCGCGGCACCTCCCAGGCCCGAGCCTGCACCAGAACCGCGATTAGTACGCCCGCACGAGGACAAATTCTACCGCTATCCCCCACATCCAGACGCTGGCGCTGCGCAGGGTCCTCCGAACTCGTACCCGTTCCCAGAACAACGTGATCCTGCGAAAGCCCCGGAATCAGCTCCCAATACCAGTCATGCAAATCCTCCTCCGCCACATATGCCGTACCCGCCAGGACAGCTCCCACTCTCCGCGGCTCCAGTCTCACCCCGCCACCTAGGCCATCTTCCAACGTTCGATCCACAACGGCCTCCTGTTCATGCCGACGAGGAGTACGGAATGCACAGAAATCGATATGATTCGACCCTCAGCCGCCACTTTGAAGCATGGGGATATCAGGAGTTGCTTGGCAAGGTTGGTACTACCGTCGAATATGGTGCACGGTGGGCTAATGGATATAGCAGATTTCATGGAACTCTAGGACGATATTCGCTTTCGCCGACGCATATGGGAAATTAGCTTCGGAACAGCATGGAGGACAAACGATACCAGAACGATTGCCCTCCGAGAGGGAGGTCTCGGCGATGCTGGACAACGCAATTTGGCTGAGGCAGTCCCTCGAGAACATCCGAGACATCGTGCAGCAGAGCATTGCGACTGAGAAAGCCCGGGAAGGTGGTCGGTCCAAAGGGCCATTCGATGGCGATGATGACATGGGCATGTACGGCGACGGCATGAAGCAACCATATGGGCTCGGGGAGGTAAAGAAGCGGCGAGGGGTACGTGACATTCGATGAACCCTGATGGATCGCCAGAAGCTTACATGACATTCACAGCGCGCGGCACCGCCAGGCCGATGTCACAGCTGCAACCGGATCGACACGCCTGAATGGCGGCGAGGACCGGACGGCGCGAGGACACTATGTAACGCATGCGGGCTACACTATGCCAAACTGGAGAGGAAACGGCAGATGGAGCAAAGGAATATCCGGCCAAAGGCTGTGGAGGAGCGAGTTTGAGCTCGGAACGGGATCAGTACAAGTCGACCGATTATATTCGAACCACGAAAGCGTCGTTCGAGACGGTATTTGATCGACGGCAGCATCAACGACGTTCTTTGACTATCTGGTAACGAACGGCCTGCGAGGCATTCTACGACTTTTCCAGCATATTCACCTGCGACATGCATGGCATTATGATTCCAGAAACGACACATTGTGTTAATTATACCCGGTCTCGAACTGTTTATTTTTCGTACCCGCTTTCTCATCATCGGATAGCGGCAACTTTCGTTGAATATACCCTCATCTGGGAAAGGGGACTGGGCAAAGTCACAGGTTTACGGCATCATTCGGCGCTTCGGCTTTTTTCGATTCAATCTGCGATTCGCGCACTTCGTTCACTAACGAATGGATGAAAGATACAGGCGGTTGTGGATTGGCGCGTGTTCTGTGGGGGCTGGCGGTCTGATGGATGTAGCGGGACGGGCAGGCGGCACCAGCTCTTTGGACTCTTATGATGAAGGCGTCAGAAGTAGGATTATGTGATGTGGTATGCATGGCATGGTGGGCTTGCTTGCGCGCAAAATTGAATGCATTGTACGGCGATAGACGGATGGCAAGAGTGATTTCCATGCGTCTGGGAGGCCGTCGTCTTTTCAAGACATGTGTGTTAGCCATGTCGACACTCGGCAGCTTATGTGGCTGTTTCATAGCACGCACGCAGCATTGCATACTCATAGGGAGCATCGACATTGTTCAATGGAAAAAAGATGATATCTCAAACCAAACCCTATGACGATACGCTTATAGCAGAGACTAGGTACATCAGAATCGACAAACCCAGGTCTTGACCGGCCGGCGCTACTAACGAACCTATCCACTCAAGATCGACAAACGCGGCTGTCGAGCATGACGTAAACTCTCCGTTTCCGTTTCCCCTTTTTCTCGCCATTCTTCCGTAGGTAGGTGGTTCGTCGCACAGCGGCGGGCGCGGCAGGTGGGCGGTGGATCGCCAGTAGCCGCCTGCCAAGCAGCGTACATACGTCAAGTGATGTGGCTATCTGGAGAAGAACTACGTCTCTCCTTGCAGGCAGATAGCTTTCGAAGTTGCGGCTGTGGTCCTGCAACCACGCGGGAAGCGGGAGGCGTGGTGAGGCGGTCCACAGTCCACCGCAGCCCAGTCCACGCTGATGTGGTATGACGTGAGTTTATCAGATTGGCTGAGGTAAGTAAGGTTAGGTATCTGCCTACATACATACCGCCTCATATGTGCTGCTAGCTGCTGGCTTGAAGCAACTCGTTGATAGCCGATATGGCCGGCTGGTGGCTGATACGCATATACGTCAAGTACGTACATGCATATGTAGACACCAACGCAGGGAGGATGTCTTTGCGCGGTTCATACTGCTTTCTCACCCCCCCTTTCACGTTCATCTCACGCGCTCGCGGCGGCCGGCTAACACCGGTAATAAGTTAGACAAGGTATACTTAATAAGAGTGGTCGAGATACGGGATGGGGCTATTGGTGCGTCGGATTGGACGATATGCGAGCCATCTCGAACAACGGATCTGAGACCTCACTCAGCCGTTGCTCATTGCATTCCTCTGCGGGTATATATACAGCAGCCAGTCTCAGTCTCACATCGGCCCCCTCGTAACAGGCAATCCAACGCACCCCTCCTAGGCCTTCAGCGGAAACAGTTCCAAAGCACCCGTCACTGCCGTATCGGGGAAAGGGAGCTAGTTACACGCGCTCTTGCTAAGATAGTGGGCCAAGAAAAGAAAAGAACAGGAAAAACCGTTGAGCCTCCGAACACAGTACCCCGTGTGCCGCCCGCCGTGCGGCGGCGGGCCTGGCCGCAGGATCGGCACGAAAACGCGAACTTGGCTCGACGGAGCGCGGCAAATCTTTTCTTTCACAATAAATGTTTGATGAGGGCAGGCTAGGTAGCTGAACAGAAAAGCCTGCATGACCGGTTCTCGGGATATTTGTTACCATAACTCCCCGACTCGCAGACTCTGGTTGTATAAGATATATCACCCCTGGAGGTCGCGGGGCCGGCCTTGGGCTTCTACATTTATTGATGGTCGGTCACTGCCCGAAGGTGGAGGTGCACGGCTGTCACTCACTTTGCATGTCGTATTGTTCTTATGACTGGGCTTCCCTCCAGTTACTGACCTACGTGCCTGTTGAGATGCGATGTTCGAAGGCCAGCCGCATGCCTTCCGCTGCAGGCCGGCGAACGCAGTTCCCCCTTCCGCTGCTGGCTCGAACCCGTGGAGAGATAGGGGTGGATGTGGAATGTGGGGGAGCTTGTGACCCGACGGGAAGCAAAGACAGACAGGCAGACGACGGGCAAATCCTGTGCTCCCCTCCGTCCTCTGCACTTGTCTGTCCCACGATACACGAAAGGAGGGGCGCGGGAATCAGGTTCAGGTTGCGACCTAGATGCAGCCAGGCGGATCTGCACACCACTCTGTGTGCTGTCAGACAGTGCCACTATACGCAGGGGGGAGCAGAGCAGAGTAGAGTACAGTCTCACTCGCCCGTCATCCTCTGTTCCGTTCTGTGCTAGCCATGATTCTCTATCTGCTTGCCGGGTGGCTATCTATGAGCTATCTATCCAGCACGAGGTGACTTCGTTTGACCGAGAGCCGACGGCAAGCCACATGCCACATGCCACATGCCCCAACCCCAGACCCTGTCCCCCTTACAGACGGAGATGTATGACGTGACGCTGGGATCGCACAACGACGCTGGCACGGCGGGTTCCCGCCACAGAAAGCAATCTATGAGATCGGCTTTCCAAGCTGCAGCTGCAGGCGAATCTTGCATGTGCCTCGATCTCAACAGATGATTTGACATGGCTCTGGGGTCGGCAGACGTTTGTTCATGGATTCTTACGCGCACCCGGCAGTGCACAGCAGCAGCAGCTCGCTGCAGACTTTGACCCCTTTCGACCATGGTTAGGTCGATCGCTTTCTGCCTTGCATCGACAGGTGCGAGATATACGGGAAAAAAAGCTGCCCGGGCTGCTGTGCGAGTCATTTCTTGCGCAGACACGCCTCGATTCACCGGGAGACGGACTTGTCTCCGAAACCCTTGCACCGAACTCAGAGGCGGCCACATGGCAAGGCTCTCCCTTCTCGGTGAGATCGACCCTTGGAAACCTTGACGTGGCTAATCTTCAGACTCGTTTATCTACCGATAGGGTTGCGACGGCAAACGTCAGCCGATCGATGGAAGCAACCCTAAAGTGCCCGGCGCCACTTTGCGTGTCAAACTCAGAGCTGCATACATCACACCCCACAGGCGATGGATGGCAGTTCGGATAGGTCTAGACGAATTGCTTGCCTATTCGAGGTGTGTGGCGGTCCGCGTCCACGATGGCACAAAAGGCGGCCATTCAAGGGGTCAGCATTCCACCCCGTGAGACACGAGATAGGTCCTGTGCAGCCTTGCCTCGCATACCACCGTTTAAGACATGGCTCGATCCTTGCCTCACGCGAAAGGAGATGGGCATCCGGCAATCACCCTTTGCTCAACGTACCACGACACCTGGCGCTGTACTGTGTTTCGAGGTAGGCAGGCTTGGTCCAGCCGCGCCGCGCCCTGCTGATCACCATGGCACACGCACATACTTCGTATATGTGTGTGTGTGCGTTCTAGTACAGACACCGGAAGGTTTACAAGGAATTGACAAACGCAAACGCTGCGTTCGGAGACGCCTCCAAGGCTCTGGACCCTTCCACGCGACGACAGAAACACATGGCGAAAACCGTTGCGGTAGCGCTGCCTGCCACGAGTCGTAGTTGAGAAACACTTTCCTTCGTCCTGTACAATCTACCTGAGGTAATCCATGCGCTGTCATGTCTCGGAGACAGCCCCCTGATGTTGGTCGAGCACCTGGGACAATCGATGCCATCGCCCAGGGGGAAAGTCAAAAAGGACAAGACACCCTCAGGTCGGACAGACGGAGAGTGACTGTCTAAAGATCATGGAACCACAGAGATCCTAGCGCCCTGCATGGGATAGAGAGAGTGCTGACGCCGCCAGGTGGCTTTCTCGCGCGGCAGCCCAGTGGCTGGAGAATGAGCAGTTGCTTGTTTACAGTAGGTAGTCCTCGTGCAAGCCCGGGAGATCTTGCTCTTCGCTGCTGAAAATAGTGCATGCGTCCTGCTTGCCAGCCACGTGGTATTCGTCCAATCATGGAGCGACCCCTGCCTGCCCGCGCCGCCATTCCACACAGATGTTACCTAGTAGATCGCCGGGTACCTTTCAATGTTGTCGAAAGATCCGGCATCCTTGCCTGGCCTCATCCCGCGGGAAAGACGGACTTCGTCATGTGGCATTATGGCCTGATCTTTTGGCGGATTCCCACCCCGTAAGGTCTCCCTGGGGCGAGATCCTGTCCGATCATACCTGGTACTTAGACTTCATCGGACGCTTCTGGTCGGCGAAAGGAACGGTCGCCGACCCGGTCCTCTCTTAGCCCGCACCGTTACCCAGTGACTTGGAACGGTCACAGGTCGAACTCATATTTACCGTTAGGTAGGAATCGACTGTTGATAGAGATACACCCCTGGGGAGCTGAGAAGCCAAGTGTGCCTGGACTCTGGGACAATGCAAGCTAACAAGATGCTTCGGCTGGATCTAGGCAACGAGATTATTTTAGTTAGCTGTCTATACCAGCGGGATGATGATCTGCACCCCCAGCTTTCTATCAGACTACTAGGGCAGAGGTTTAGGGTTCGCGCCGCCGTCCGATCTCCTACTAGTCCCATCGCCATCGCGATCAAGCTGCGAGATTGGAGATTTCGGGCATTTCACATCAGCTTCCCCACCGACCGGTCAAACCTAAAGCTGACACCAAGTTGAAGCCCGTCCAGCTGGGAATAAGCAGACTTTGGGGTGTCTTCATCACTAGTGCTTGCGCTTGTGCCCTACCAGCACCGTTCTTCACTGCTCCTCCTTGCACATATTGTACTACAGTAGTAACGACATACTAGACTCTGGCGCATGAGCAGACCCAGATAGATGTCCGTCAGGTTCCCATAGGGCGACAACGGAACATGGGCAGTTCGAATTCCACGCCTACCAGTAGCACCCCCAGGCGAGGAGGCGGAGGGGACCGCAACTGGGTCGGGATCGAACCCGGCATCGACCAGATAACGCTGAACGAGGACCCCACCTTCTTCCGGCCGCAGGACGGTCCTCCAGCGCTGGCAGAGGCGGACGGCCAACGTGCGCAGAATTTGCGCGCGACTACGTCGAGGACATCTTCATCGTCGAGGGCGCCAGGCGCGGCGGCAGGTGCGGCGCCGGCGCGTACGCCTATCGCAAGTCCGGCATCGAGCATGGCCCGTTTTATACCGAGAAGGGCTGCTTGATGTTCATTGTGCCGGATGAAGCCTAGAGGGAGAGACGATGGAAGAACGCGAACTAAAGTAGTGACCTCTCCGTCGCCGCTCTAGGAGGCGTGGAGGGTGAGTAGATGGAATCGTGATCTCGGCAGTTGCCAGAGCATCTAGATCTCACACGAAAATCATCCTAGGGCTGTCAAAGAAGGCCAAGACGATGCCATCACGATCTGTACGGCACTTTCCTGCCCTAATTCTCAAGCTACTATACCGCGTACTTGCAGCCGGTGCCCCTGCATCAAGCCCGAAGACGAAAAGTAGATATTACTTCTTGCTAGCACTCTCTCGCCCTAGGACGAGACTGCCGGACCCTCTCAACACTTCCCTTAACTACATTTGGATCGATCTAGACGAAAGTAGATGTCACGAGGACGTCCCTGTTGGGAAGGTGTTGGGCACTGTGGAAAATTCACCGCATCAACGTCGCTGGCTAGCTCTGGAAGCTTGCTTCCAGTCTCCAGCATCATTACACTGCCCAACCAAACGGCCCATCCCAGCACATCAGAGAAAGTCAAGTACCGACGGGAGGCAGAAGAGCAAGAACCCAGCGCGCTATACAAGCCAAAGGCTGCCGCCTGCCGCCGGCCGCCCTTAAAGCCCGAGACATCGATCGCAACACGTGGCATCCATCCGACAGTCCAAAGTCCGGTGTCCCGTTGGCTCGAGGCTGAAAACGAAGTGCGGCATCCCTTCCATCCCAGCAGAGTCTCGGCAGAGGCAAGGCAACCAACTCTGTTGAACAACGTGGCAGAGGATCGTCGATGGTACATGACTCAAGTCTTGGGTTGCGATCTCTCAGCCGGCTTTCAAGGGAGGATCCCTCGGGAGCAAGTTGCAAGGTCGCCGCGTGGCGTCGTGGTCGAGCGAAACCGGTGACGAACACGAGCCCGCGCGGTAAGGGCGTGTCGTGTGGCTTTTGATTCCCGTGTCTTCGGCTGCCGGAGACATCAACATGGAAAAAGCAAAGAAAAACGACTTTTTCAGAGACACGGAATCTGGGATATCCGGCAGATCCCACGAGAACCAACGAGTGTATTTTGGTCGGCGACCAAAAAAAAAAAAATATACAATCCCTTCTGCGTGATGAGTTTTCGGCGAAAATCTCTCGCGGCGCCATGTGCCGTCCCCAATGTCTCTCACCCAACGAACGGTTTTCACGTCCCGAAAGATGAGACACTCTGGTCGGCGATGTCTCTCGCAGTGGTCGCTATGCGTCCGGTGCATGACGTACGTGAGTGAGGCCTGTCCGTGATTTCAGCGAGGAGTTTAGGTATGGTGTCGAAACTGGACAAGCCCAAGCCCAAGCCGCAGCCGCAGCCTCGTTCAGCCGGATGATGATGCAATCCAGTCCCAGCCCACGTTTGCCTCGTGCATAATAAGAAGGCGGTAATCCTTATCCGTGTCTTGTTTATTTTAGCGTTGTCAGGGCGCAACAACTACCGGTAGCAGTCTTCCATCCCTGACGTACCGTAGCCTTGCCATTCGACCGAGGATGCAGTCTGCCTCATAGCTTCATATGTAGCCTCGTAGCTTTACAGCTTTGACCGCCGCCCCGCGCCGCCCCGCGCTGAACACTGACCGGCAGGAAAAAGCAGCCCGCGGCGCGTAGACACGAAACGAACCGGTCAACTGCCGGTTGTATGCTCGCGGATGAGATAGGTAGTAGGTAGGATCTTCCGGTGATCATCTCTCCAGCCTTGTACATAGGTAGTCTCCGAAAGGAAGTCGTTGGGCAGCACTGCAGTCGGGCTTCATCGAGAATCCAGGGCACGGGACGGCAGACATCCGTACGCCACCCAACAAACATGAAAGCTGCTGCCTGCCAGGGACCGCTTGCTTGCTTCGTACCTTATACTAATGACCTTAGCCGCATAGCTTGTTAGCGCATCGATCGTCGAGAGCTCGATCGTGCTAGGGCCGAGCTGCCAGGCGCCTGCGTCAGCCACCGGCGTTGACTAGTCATAGCTCTAGATTCCATCGCGCTTCCGGAAGATAAATCGTCCCGACGGCAGATCACTGAGCGTCGTAGGCGTCTTGGCAAGGTACATAAGCTCGTGGACCGTGTTCTAGTATCTAAATTATCTACGTCTCGGAGACTACTTCTTAGTGCGTCGCGACAGCAGCAAAGTCTCTGCCTTGTACCTCCAAGTCCTCCGTCGATGGGGCCCAGCTGGATAGTGTTACACGGTAACACAGTAACAGTCCCTTACGCAGCAGAGCCTCCTCCACAACCTCCTCTGAACTGCCCAAGAAGGTTCTCCAGGTCAGGGACATCGAGACCCTTCCAACCCTTGCCCAGCTGCTCCCGATCGCTGATGTCTATGACTGTGCCAATGAGACCTTTCGTGACCGCGTCGTTAACGTCACTGTCGTGTTTGTAGGCCGGGTGTTTGGCCACAAACTGCCTGATCCATTTCGCGGCCGTCCAGAGCTGTCCACTGGCGCGCTTCCGGATCAGATCAAGGTAGGTTGCGATTTCACATCTCGTCTGTACATCCACGTTGACAGAGTCGAGGTAGCTCTCCACGATGGGGATGAGACCAGGGAACTCATGTTCGTCGGATTTGGACCCATTTATGACCTCGTCCACGCTCATGAGCACGTACTCGTCTTCGACAGGGCCCGTAGGGCTCGGCGGACGACTGACCATGGGCGTGTTTGTGCCCGACGCATGAGCGCTTCGGGGTGGCCTGTTGGAGAAGGGATTCTTGCGGAAATAGAATTTCTTATCAAGTACAGCATCTCTCGCATGCGCAGTTTCCATGTTTTCGTCGACCTTGACAATGGGTATGTAGAAGTTCAGGTCGAAACTCAATATTGCTCGCGTGATCAGTACCATGAACACGGCAAACGCAGCATTTTCGAAGTCCGTGATCTGAATCTCCATGGGTCTGAACTCCACACGCCACCCTATATCGGAGCCTGGCGGCGGGGGCTTGAACCGCATGTGTTGCCAATTGGTGCTTTGGATGTTCTCGAAGTGGTCGGCTTTCGTTATGTCGAGCTCCTTGAGATCTTCATTGAAGATGACGATAGGGTCCCGGATGAATAAGTGGGCGAAGTGCGTTGCCAGAAGGTCGTCCATACCACCCTGGAGAAGCTGTGCCTTGATAGACTCGTCGATGATAAGGTCGGGGTCAAAATACTCTGGTCGAAGACGCGGATCCGTACTGATGTAGGTTGAATTTGAAGCGTAGCGGGACTTGGGGATGCGCCAGCGGCTACCTTTCAGGGCCTGTCCCAACGTCAGTCCTCATAGCTTGCTGCCTGACCGCAAGGGCTACTCACCTTCTCCCCTAGTTCTTCAGGGGTACGATCATCGACAGCACGACTGATCTGATTCCAGCGTACATCCGTGTCAGCCAGGAAACCTTTGTAAATAGGTGTCGCCGCTGTCAAAGCCAACATGATGGGCCCTAGTGGACTCAGCTGGTCGTACATCTTCCTGCCCTCAGTAATGTTCTTGGCTTGGAAGGTAATCTGCAAGCAGCAGCTGCCCATGCCAAATGCCATCGCATCCATGTGGATGAAGTTATCAGGTGCCGCGCCATTCCTCACGTCGGCGTCTTCTGGCCACTTGTCAAGATCGTAATTGACACTAGGGTCCTTCCATGGGTTTGGCGTATTCTCATCATGGTACACCGGCACATTGACTTGGACCTTCCTGCCACGTCGCCAGCGGATGTTGGCCGCGAGTGTAGGGAATCGGATATGAGGGTTAGCGATCTCATCTGGAACGAACTGAGATCGGAGTTTCGATCCTGACGGGGGATAGTATGGGTCTGTGAAGACCCCTGGGACTCCAAGCCGAGGGAAGGTCGTCAATGTGATGGGGTATTCTTCAGACTTCATATGGTCTTTGGCAATCTTCCTCCTGTATCGTTGTCAATTTGGGTTCGGCAGTACTTATTGGGGATGCAAGTATATACCTGATCTTCATATCAGGCTCGACTTCTAGGAGCTCCTTCAAGTCAATACCCCATGGTTTACCTGGCGTAGCCTCGAGCATGAACCTACCAAACTCGGGGTGGAACACCGGCAGGGGGTTTGAACTCTGAGACTTGAGCTCCTGAAGTGCGGGAACGCATCCACCCTGGGTGGAAAGTTCCTCATCTGCGGCCAAAGCGGTGAGAATATCGGCTTGCCGGAGCGACAGGAGAACCTTTGGGTCGTCTTTAGAGTATGTCACCACCAGGTACTCCACCTATGCACCAGTTAGAAACATGCGTGGCCATGAGAGGGTGTAGTGACAATCACCTCATCACCCCATAGCATTGCGTCGCGTTCCTTATGCTTTGCCTTGTTCCAAATCTCAAGGAGTTGCTAACATGGGTCAGCACACACCCTGGGCAGCGCACTGATACTTCTCTCGTGGCATTCTACCTTGATACCCCATTCTCTCACTTGCTGCGCATGCTTCTGAGCATCCGGCCAATCAAGGGCGGTGCCCAAGGCTCTGCAGGCCGAAGTGTTAGTGAATGTTGTGTCACCAATGAGGTCCCCGATCTCGGTCGTAAGAAACATACAAGAGACCCATGTTTGATGATCTATGGTCTGAAGCTCCGCGACCCGAAGTAAGGACTTGGTTGATAGCTTTTAGCTGAAGCAGGCGAACTTATGGTGCTTGGTGCTGGGTGCTCGCGGAAACAGGAGGACCTTTGGGTTCCTTAATAAGAAAACGGCGAGCAAGAACGGCAGATGGGTGATGGCCCAGTCGCGTTGATGAGTAACAACGACGTCGCACGGCAAGTCAGAGGGCTTATTCACTTGCGGTGCGCCTTATGAAACATTTGCGTGTCTGACGCTTGGTTGCTCCGCAATGTTGTTGGTGGCCGCCTCGAGGATCGCACAGATTACCAGATAGACGGCAAACTCAAAGACAACCCGGCGCAGTCTGCGTCTGGATGGACTGACTTGCACTATTGATTCCCAGCAAGTCGAAGGACTCTTGGAGATATCGCAAACCCCCACAGCCTGGTTTCAGGGTCTCGTGGCCATGACAACGAATCAGGATATCTGACGTGGTGTGAGAGGGGTGGCAGGGTGGCTCGATATAGCAACCGTCAACCGGCAAGGCAGCGGCACAAGCAGTGAGCACGCAATCGCTCGGGCCAGTGACTGGGCCAGCGACTGAGTCGATTGATGCCCCGCGTTCTCGGGAGGCTCGTTTTGTATGGTGACAGTATCTCAATATATTGTTTCCGGCCTGGATCAGATGCGCGCGATGCGAACAGCGAAGAGCGAAAAACAGAAAGAAGTGATATCGTGACGCTCAGCTGGTGAGAGACAAAAATGCCATCAGACTTCTTCTTGCCGACATCACTACCTACCTGGTTTTTCCCATTGTGCCTCCGCTTTGCGCGCTAGGATGAGTCGAAGGGCAGCTTTGCCGACGTTGACCGAACCCGCATCCGACTTGCTTAGAAATCCGTTGCATCAAGTCAGCATCATCACCGACACCAAAGTAGATTCCGACAGTGGCACCGTGTGGAGTGGGCAATCCAGTATTGTGGCTGGGGCTTGTGACCAGCCACAACGCCCTCCCCCTTCAATATTTCCCCCCTGATTGCTTCAAAAGGACGGACTGCACAAGACAGAGAATCAAGTAACGTTATACCCATAGGTTTTAATTTTATAATTCGATTATGTGATGGATTTAACATGAAGCGGAACTTATAATGGTACGACTATGCAGTTCGTTGAAGACAAAGGACCAGCTCTACTGATGAGAATCTTCCCAAATAAGTACCCGTAGGATGGATGAAATCTATAAGCTACAGTGGTCACATGGCCACAAGCATCGTATGTACAAAGTCAGAATGAACTCGGAACATTGTATCGCTCAAATTACAGACAGGTCCCTCGAATATACTCAACACACACCATCAGACCCGCCCAGACTTCTCATCCGGACCGCTCGAAGAAGTCTCCCGCACATGTCTCAGCGCCTCTTCATCCACAAGCTGTTGTCCAACAATGACGCCGAGATCCTACAGAGGTCGGTCAGTCAGTCCAACCTTTGATCTCAGGCGCAGTGAACATGGCACAGAAAAGACTCACAGGCCCTTGGAATGTCTTGCCGTACGCGAGCCAGTACGCACCGACCACGACCAGGAAGATGCCAATGACGACAGTAACGTAATCTATCAGGCTCAGGTTAGATATAACTAGACCTAGACTCCGCCCATTCTGTATGTTCGGGCCGCTTGGAGACTCACTCATGTTCTCGCCCGAGACCGGCAGCACGGCCGGGAAGCAGAAGAACTGAGATCACCAAGTCAGCTCTCCTCTCGCATCGCCCATGTCATTACCAGTAAAATAGTGCATCACTCACCACAGACGTGACAACAACAAAGACAGCGGCCACCCAGTTCAGGACCAACCCGCTCCTCCCCAACGCAAAGTACGTCCGCTCCGACTGGAACTGCCTCAGGAACCCGCGGCCGCGGACCAGCAGCGCGATGACGGGGATCACGTAGGAGACGTTGAGGAAGATGGTGCAGCTGGCCACGTAGGCGCTGAACGCGACCGAGGGCCCGAGATAGAGCAGGCCGAAGAGGACGTTGAAGAGGAAGGTGAAGATGATAGTGCGGACGGGGACGTCTAGGCCGGGATTGATGTGTGCGAAACTGTCTTTTAGTCAGCTCTTGTGTTCTTCCCCCCAAGAAGAGGAGATTCAGGGGGCGGGGGGTCTACTAGTTGTGGTACACAATCCCCTTGTCCCGAGCCATGGCATACAGCAGTCTGCTTGAGCTAGTGACGCATCCGTTCGTGCCGTTTATGAAACACACCGCCAGCATCAGGGTCAGGATCGTTGCCCCGGCCCGGCTACCGGTGGACTGCAGAATGAGCTCGGCGATGGGCATCTTGGTCGCCGTTCCCAAGACCGTCTCGGTGTCCGTGATGCAGAACAGTATGACCAGAATAAAGACAATGCCACTGCCGAGAAAGTCAGCAAGAACATGGAGCTTCGCAGGTCATGCGTGTAAACTCACGTCACTCCACCGACGCAGACGGCGTATAGAATGGCTCGTGGCGCATCGACCGACGGCCGCGGCATCTCCTCCGTCATGTGCAGCGCGGTATCGAACCCAATGAGCGAGAGCGCCGACTGCAGCAGACCCAAGATCCAGGCCATCCCATCGGACCACCCCGTCTCGTTCTCGAAGTCGGCGAAGACGAAGTGGGCGTCATTCTTGTCCGAGGTCGCGAGGAGGACGATGCTGGTCACGATCACAGCCAGTAGCGACCAGTATAGCGCCGCGTCGTTCCAACGGCCTAGTATCCTGTTCCCCCATATGTTCACGCCGGTCGTGAATATGAGGATCGCGAGGAATATCAGGTATGTGGCCCATGATTCGATCACGTAAGTTCCGCCCGAGGCGATGACGGCGGCGGCCTGGATGAACTGCGCTGCGCAATTGTGAGCGGCCGCCTTGAAATTATCACCTCATCATGATGCTCACCAGCAAAGAAGCCCTCGGTAGTCACGAGCGTGAGCCATCCAGCAATATTGGTCCAGCCAACCCAGAAGCTCTGCAAATGTGAGCGTCAGTCTCACTCATCCATCTCCTGTACCAACAAGCTTCGGATCAAACGAACGTTGAACTTCTTCCACCTCTCAGTCGACAAGGCGTAGACGAAGTGGTATTGCCCGCCTGCCGTAGGCCAGATAGCAGCTAGCTCGCCCAAGCTCGCCGCGAGGGCAAGATTGCACAGGACACAGAAGATAAAACCGTACAGGAACGACACGGAGCCGCCAGACGGCAGAACTAAGCCGATCGACCCGGCGAGTGCTATCCAAGTGCTGCGTGCGACCCTTCAGCTGCTGCGCGACGCTATGCTGAAAAATGCGGTATTGGAGGTTTGATCGTGGGTCTTACTTGAGGATAGCGAAGGTCAGCGCGACCATTGTCAACCTCGATAACCGAGGCTGCAGACGGCCCTTCCCGGCCCCTGACGACGACGACAACGATAACGACACACTCAACATCGGCATGGCGTTGGATCAGGAACTATACGATACCAAAGATGTAGGCAATCCATCCGTCTTACGAAGTAGGCTTGCTAAGTGGCTAGAAGCCGCGGGAAGCGGTGTGTTTAAAAGCTCATTACCTCCGTTACGATGCGACGTCATAATACGAATGGCTCGCATTTGACTCATGCCTCTACCGAGCATGACTGCTGCTTTTCTGTAGAGCTCACGCCCACGTAAGGAGAAGTTCGCAGAGCGCAAGCGAAGATGACCTTACACGCTTGGAGCTTCGGCAGAGCTGAGAGCCTTTCACCCAATCACATATTCTTCCTCTTCCGGTTCAGCCCTTTGGTGTCGCTATTAAAGTTGCTATTGGTCTGTTGCTATGCATGTCGGCTCCTACAGGTAGTAGGCTCGATCTGACCTCGACCAGGCATGACCTGTTTCACCGCTTCTTCCTCGGTGCAACAGTGAGATATATAGTAGCAACTGGATTTGCCTGTTGGTACTAGCTAGAGGTCGATACGTCCGGAATGTGCATGTCTCCCGCCTGCTTTTGCTGGAGCCCTTCCTACCCTTCACGATCACATAGAGAAGCCCGATGACAAACATCGGGAACTATAGACGAAGTCTCGGAAGATTTTAGCTTCGAGTGAACATAGCTGAGCGATCGCAAGATATCACCCTGCGTCAGAGGCTCCTAGCAAAGTGTAGAGAAACGCTTTGAACCAAGAAGATCTCATGCGTCACGCCTCATTTCGGAAGCCGTCGTGCATTCGACCCGGGCCAAGACCCCGCAGATAAGTTCTCAGGAGCCCGCCGTGCGTTGCCTGTTGGATATCGGATCTGGTTCACTTGCGAGGGTGCAATTGACAGCTCTGGCCCACTGGGACCCCGAAAATGTGTGACCTGGTGGAAGTGAGGAGCAAGAACCAACCCCAGTTGGATGCATGCATGCAGCTTCGAATCCAGGAAGTGTATCCAGTAGGTGCAGTAGCATCGCAGGCGGGCAGCGGGGAATTTGACATGCAGGCAAGGCAAGGAAGCTTGGAGCTGTCGGGTTGGCTCTATGCTTGGCTCCTGAAGAGCATGCACGTTCCTTCTCGACGATATGGAGATGCTGTTTCCTCCCCTCAGGACAAAGGGACAAGGCCGACGTGGAACCTGCGACGATAATGTGGCGCAGAGGCGCTAGAGGACTCGCCGAGCAGCTTTGGAAGGAGTATGCGATCGCTCGTTCACCAAGCTAGCCTTCTTTCTATCGGATGCAGGGTCTATTTGTACCTGGTGTGTGACGACTTGAGGCACAAGCGCGTGAGCCGCAAGGGGATAGATACTGCAGCTTCTCCTCGGAGGCAAGATTTCGTGAAGTACGAAACTGATGAGTAGCTGAGGGGACCAATAAACAATATGCAAGCTGCCTCTGCAAGGGGCTGCAAGACGGCTTGCCCGGACTGATGGCCGAATTTCGAACACATCATGAGCTGTGGACTGGGATAACCAGATCCGAGAAGCCTTGCCGCTATCCGTGGAAGTGTTTGCGATCTGCCTGTTGGTAGACCCCGCATGCGCAGTGTATGAGCCTCCACACAGTCGTGCGTATAAGAGAGCCTCGAGTCGTGAAGAGAGAGGGTAAGAAGAGAGGGGGTAAGTCGCTCGAACCTAGTACCACTTCTCAACAGATACCGGTGCTGGACCCTGAATTATAACCCAGACAATGACTGTCACTGTTCGTGTCGGGGCAGTCCAGGCGGAGCCCGTTTGGCTTGACCTTGACGGAAGCGTGGACAAGACCATCTCCCTCATCGAGAGCGCAGCGGCAGATGGGGTCCAAGTTTTGGGATTTCCTGAAGTCTGGATCCCAGGATATCCGTGGTGAGGTCAATCGTCAAGCCCTTTCGGTCCCAGGCTGATGTCGACTTGTGTGCAAAATAGGTCCATATGGACGTCGAGCGTCATCGAGAATACCCATATCATCCACGACTATATGGCCAACTCAATGCCTCGAGACTCGGCGCAGATGAGACGCATACAAGCTGCTGTCAAGAAGGCGGGCATGTTCGTCGTTCTCGGCTACAGTGAAAGAGACGACGCGAGCCTTTATATGGCCCAGTCGTTCATCTCAACCGAAGGAGAGATCGTCCATCACCGCCGCAAAATCAAACCCACGCATGTCGAAAGATCGATCTGGGGAGAGGGGCAAGCAGAGTCCCTCAAGTGCGTTGTACCATCGCAGTTCGGCAAGATCGGTGGGTTGAACTGCTGGGAGCATCTGCAGCCTCTCCTCCGCTACTATGAGTATTCGCAAGGGGTCCAGATACACGTAGCAAGGTCAGTCTTGCCAAACCATCCATCACTACTGCGATCCTTGCTGACCAAGCCAAAAGCTGGCCCGCGGAATTTGAGATGCCTGACCCAAAGAAGATCGCGTGGCTCTATCACGAGACTGGGGAAGCAAGCTACCGAGCCTCGCAGTTCATGGCAATGGAAGGACAGTGCTTCGTTCTAATTGCGTCTCAAATCCTAACAGAGAAGAACCTGGAGAAGAATAACCTTTCCGGCAACCCCATCACGAAGACGGTAAGTTCAACATCCCCCTTTTGTTGTTCCTGGGGCTAAAGTGTGCCCCCTCTCTTCTAGCCTGGCGGTGGATTCTCGATGATTTTCGGGCCCGATGGCAAACCCCTTTGTGAGCCGTTGGGTGCTGGTGACGAGGGCATCATGACAGCGGATGTCAACCTGAGAGACATTGACTACCCCAAGGCCTTTATCGACGTGGTGGGTCATTATGCCCGCCCCGACCTGCTCAGTTTGTTGGTGAATCCCACCAAGGACACGCCTGTGACGATGATGTCGAAGTAGTAGCGGTTCGGCCATCTCCATGGTCGTCAACGAGCAAGTGCCAGTGGCATTAGCCTCGACAGTGCTGTTGATGGGTATGTTACTGCCAACCTCCCTTCTCAGATAAACCACGGTGATGCGATGCGGAGGTCGATGATATCCCACCACTTGAGATTAGCCGCTCGGCCAGTGTCCGCCAAAAGGTCCCGCTGCTTCCAAAACGACTCGATGATGTTTCTCAGTACGAAAACATTTCCAATATGTCTCCTCTCGTCCATTCGATCAAGAGTCCGCAGAACTTCTATCCTCTGATCATCTGTTTCGGTTTCACAAGCAATGACAAAAAGTGGCCAAGGACTGGTACAGACATCTAGGCGGCCAAGAATTTGAAAAGCTTGCTCGAGGTATGCCGACCTATACTCTTGTGTCTGTGGAGAGGTACAAGTTCTCTGCAGGTAGAGAAAGGTTGCGATACGGTACAGCTCGGCGGTGATATGCGTTTTGGTTTGCTCCTGCTGGGGTAGGGAGCTCGCGTGTACTGGATCCAGTCTTTGAACAAGTGTAGCAATCTTGCTCTCATAAGCGTGGAACTCGTCGGCTTTTTGAGCTCGCTCTTCACCCGACAGTGTGACAGGTTCTCCTCGTAGCTCGTTTGCGCGTAAGCCATTGACGTACGCAATAATCTCCATCACTTCCACAGAACAACCCAACGACCCAATGATCTACCAATCGTTAGCCAGCTGTGCCGTGCTGAGGTGGCTGTAGGGAAGCATAACGTACGATGGACCTGTCAAAACTAGCATCACGTAGAAGGCGAAGGGATGCTGGGCCTTCAGGCCATTGCTGAAGAGGTTGGCTGAACCCGCCCAGTATCTCATGGTAGAGAAACCACGTGTACAAGAACCTGTATGCCAGCCCTCCACCGTGGATACTGGCAAGCTGATGGAGGATGTTCTGAGCTCCGTAAAGGTGTAGGCTCCAATTGCCTTCAGTTTCATCGAAGACCTTCCCAGAGTAAGCAGACGTATCCAGTGATCGGTCTATGGAGTGGAACCTTACGTTATAGACGCAGAGCATCATCGACGTCGCGAGTTGCGTCTCTGTTATCCCTACAGACTCGGTTGACAATGAAGAAGACAGCGATCGAATTGCTTCGGCCTTGTACGACAAAGCATACTTGGAACCCCAAAGGTGGAAAGCAGAGACGGCCAGCATGGCGTTACGGAGACCATGCGAGGCTTTACCCAAGGTCGAAAGAGCCATGGGTAGTAGATCGTCGCGGAACCCATTATTCACGTCAATCGTGGAGATCATGCGCGACAGGTTGTGGTGGTCTGGAGTAAATGTCAGTCCATGAGGACTGGACGAGTGGAATTGAGCCAGCCTTACAATAGGATATCAGATGGGATTCTCGTTCTTCGAAGTCTGGTATCAGTGGGATACTCCGTGCTGGTCGTGGCTGTCGGCGGATAAAACACAGCCCGTTCAGCGGTATATCATTCCTGGCAAGCGCCAGATCCCCATAGGTCGTGTTCAGGAACTGTTTGCCATAGTGCGCAGAGTCAACGGTGTGATGATCGGGATGGATGAGCTGGTTCGGGATGCGGCTCAGTCTGCGTCTGCCATCTGGCTGGTCTGGCCAAGCAAGGCGGATCCCATATCCCAAACATTCTCTACCTGTACGAAGGCAGTTGTTGCAGGCAGGGGAGCCACGATCGCAGCCGATTTTGCGCTCTTCCGAGGAGTTGGTAAGTATTGTGGCAGCTTATGTAAGTGTGTATAGCGAGCTTACTTTTGCATGTCCAACACCCCTGCGCTCGTCTTACAGTCTCCATCTTCCCACAGAGTCGGTCGGAACGAATAACCTCAGTCCAGAATCATGTTCGGCATCCGAGCCTTGCATGCTTAGCAGCCAGGTACGGGTCAAGCGACCGTTTGAAGATGACAAGGCTGAGAGGGAGGACCCACGATGGAGGATCCGGGGTTCGGGGGGTATATTACTTAGATTGCGGTGATAACATGCAGTCTTTGTCACGACTCTGCCATCATACGCCGGGCACACTGCAAAGGTTTCCAGGCAGATTAACCGAGCTGGGTGATTGGCAACAGGTCTGGCGCGCGGGCGGTCTGAAAAGGGTGCGACCGCGTCGAAGGCGGCGGAGGGCGTAGGAGCGACAGGCATGACGGGGCACAGTCACAGCGATATCGTTGGAGAACAGAGAATCTCCGCAGTCGCTGACCAATAGGATTCCCAGCGCTGTCAGGGTCCCCAGCGACCAGATCCCGAGTGGCCGGAAAAGACCCCGAGCTGGCGTTACCAGCAGGCACATGAACTTATGACAGTACCGGTACACCTGCATCTCCGCTGTCCGCTTGATAAACGGGATATGTTGTGCACGTAGTATGCCGAAGATCATTAACGAGCTTTGGAGTTCCTGCAGCCTCTTCGACCCTCCTATCGGATGTTAGGAGACAGCACAATGCCACTAGGCACGGGCTGGGAACGTAGCTATACCTCACTAGTGTACCTAGCTAGGTAGTTGCTCGTATATCATCAGCATCAGAACACCGGCGAGAGTTGTTAGATACTAGCACGAATGTGTTGAATGGGAGCCGGAGATAGACACCGGAAGATCTCCGGTGGGACAGAGACGCACAGGGCATCTAACCCACCAAGAAGACAGATGATCAATCTCTGCACGCAGAGCAGAACAATCAATAGAATCAATCAACATCCGTGTATTCAACAAAAGTCGAGACGACGGCAATAAAGCTCTAACCCGGAATGTTTATTCTGACGGTGTAACTGCCTAATCTAACGGTGTCCCATCCGCACTAGGCTTGATTTCGTTAATAGGCTTCGATACACCTTATAAAGTATAAGTTACACTTAAACAGCCCGAATGCTATGTACTTTTCCCTATCGCACGTATTACTTGCAATGCGAATGAGATGCGGAGTGATCAGATGGATAGTTAAGGTTTAAAAACGCGAAATCTGCAATGAAAATCTATTCGGAGCGAGAAAATGTCGCTTGCTACGCTATGCCCTTTTTGGACAGCCTCTAACAGCCTTGCCGCCAGCCTCGTCGTCGCTACTTCCTTAAAAATGGCTGCACTTAGAGATAGGCTTTCTAGGGAACAGGTTGTTTCTTAAAGACGAAAATAATACCTGGATCTTGGTAGGCGATGTACTGGAAAACGGGTACTGAGGCCCTTAGCTAGAAACGGCTAGTTCTTTGTGGGATACCGTCAGATTAGGCAGTTACACCGTTAGAATAGACATTCCGCTCTAACCCGGTGATGATTAGGTTAGGTACATAGGGAACTGAGGCACCGGTGATCAGGGTCTTCTGAAGAGAGACGGCGGGCCGTCTGACAAGACGCCAGATATTGTTGCAGAATGAGACGGCAGTTCGTCGGATCTATCGCCCGGAATCTGGGGATGCATAATAATAAGACGGGAGAGCGGAACAAAGGGCGGGATGGTGGCAGCTGGGTGGGATTGGGCCTCGGCGAGAATGAAGGTCTGGGCTCTGGGAGATATGGGGGCAGGAGGTTTTCCATCTCCAACAGGTCAATGTAGAGATGAATGGATGTGGCTTTGACTGGACGTGGCTGTGCTTCGTCTGGCATGTGGCTGATGGACCTCGCTATCGTTTACCCCTCTGCAGCACATGAACGCATTGGGTAGTCGCCGAGGTCCATTCACATGTGCGTGGGCGGATGCGGCGTCATGGGCGTTGAAACCTTGAGCTTCCTCCATGCGACAACCAGCCCTTCGGGTTAACACTTAAAGCCTACAAGAAGCCGCAACACCCCTCCTGCGTCAACACTCAACCTGAATCCATACAAATAATACACATTTCTATCTCATTGCTAGAGTATCGCGCTGCTGCAGCATCACTGATTCGCAGAATGGGTCTCAAGAACGGTAGGTCTCTTGCCTTGTCCAAACCCGCTTCCTCGGCTATTAAGGAGAGGAGCTGACATGTTGTCCAAACAGACAAGTTCCCTTCTTCGGAAGCCTTCGATATGATAAACTCGGCCCTTTCAGTGAGCGAAGCCGACCGAAAAGATGCCATCAAGCAGGGAAACGCCGTCTTCGCCTTCAACCTCAAGAACAAGGCCGGAGAGGTCGAGAGCTGGCACATCGACCTGAAGGAGAAGGGTGCCGCCGGCACTGGTCTGGGCACAAAGCCCACTGGTAAGACGCCGGCCGCAAGTGACAGATACTGGGGGACCACATAGCGACTGACTATCTGCAATGTGTAGTGACCCTATCGCTTTCGGACGAGGATTTCGGCAAGCTCGTGGCTAGCAAGGCGAACGCCCAGCGGTTGTTCATGTCGGGGAAGTTAAAGATCAAGGGCGACGTGATGAAGGCGACCAAACTGGACCCGATCCTGAAGAATTCACAAACCAAGGCCAAGCTATAAGGTCATTGTTGTTGCTGCGGCCCGTTGTCAAGTTAGACTGGTGGGCGGTGAACATTGATGTACATGCCCTTTAAGCGATTATACTAAGTGATGCCTACGTTGCTTGCGGTTCTCATCCAAGTACAAGGATTGCCACCACCACAGATTTAATACTACCTGGATACCAACCTGGATACCAAACTCTACAAGTCGAGCGAACTCCGGCATATGTCACGCGACCTAGTTTTCAATATCACAAATCCAACGTGGACGAAGTCCTTGTCCCCGTCGAGGACTGTGGCTCAAAATGCATGCGCAAGTGGACTATAGCTTGAAACGGCTCAGCGAAATAAGGTAAGGTATATAGTTTGAAGGCTGAAGCACGTGGTCAACTTGCCTGTCCATCATGTCAGCAAGAGGCGGATGCTCTCGATCGTATGGTCTTGCAAAAATACCACGAGCATCGTCATGCAGAATATTGAAGGTTTGGCTTTACTAGACTATACCTATCTACATAGGTAGGTAGGTACATTGTGTATGTTTTATTATGTGGATGACTCGTCGTTGACGTGTATTGCCGTAAATGTTGTCGCAATAGTAGGTAAGTACCTATAGGTAGGTAGCTTTGTGGGGAGGGCGACATGTCATAAGCTTTCAATGTTTGAACGATGGCACGGACCGTTCTTGTTTGATGCCTACCTTAGGTACCCGTCTCCGGGGCTGCAGTTGGAGGCAAGGTAGCAAGGTAAGGTACCGCACGAAGAAACACTCAGTTATCCGATTGTTTGCACGGGGTCCATGTGTGAGCTGTTACAGCCAATAGGGAGGCTGTATGTAGGCTGTAAGGTATGCTGTAGCAAGCAACGCACGTCGCGCTGGAAGAGGAGAGTCGAAGATCAAGCGGCAGCCTCAGGTCACGCTGCCACGGTCCACGGAATGTTCCTGCCCTGTCGCTCTTGGCTTGGCACCGAAACCTGAAGCTCTCCTCGTGTGGGTCCCTTTTGTGCTAGGCCGCTATTTTACGCTAGACGCCGCGCTCTTTGTCACCAGCACCAAAGCACGCTCCAAACTCGCACTGCCCAAATATTCAAACCTGGCATCCATCGGCTTTGTCAACCTTGACGGCAAAATCTCATTCCCTGCCATCAAGACAACCAAGCTGCGGTATCGAGGACCGACATCGACATCGACTTCGACTTCGATATCGACGCCGGCCATACATGCAACACTGTAGCCACCTGTCGCATGACAACAATAAACGTTGAATCCTCAGGCCTCTCTGCCTTTCTGGCGTTCTCCATTCCATTCAATTCTGCCCTTCATTCACCTTCCCGTTCTAAACGCCCTGCCACCTCCCACCCGCTTCCAACCCGAGTAACCCTAGCTCGACCTTTCCAGCCCGACGCGCCCGACCGCGTGCTATCGCATCCCTCGACTCAAGACACCCTCGTCCCCGACCTGCAACGCGTCGGACACGCAGAACACGATGAGCTTCAATAACACTCCTCAGAAGTCCCGCCCGGCGCCGGGCCAGCAGGGCTCGACACCTTTCCGCTCCGCCTCCGCAAGCAGGTTTCGGTCGTCGCTCGTGCCCATGAACAGACCATCGCCCATGCGCTCCCTCAACCCGTCGAGTAAGCCCGCCGCGGGCTCGAGCACCCAACGCGATCTCTTCGCTACCTCTACGCCGCGAACCACACGCACTGCACAGTTCGCGCCAAGCCTACCTGCAGCTGCAACTCGACCAAGCCCCGGTGTTCGCAAGTTCGCCCCCCAGAAGAGCGCCCATGGCGGCATGTCCAACAGTGCGTCTACCGCGCCCTTCAAAATGAGGATACCCTCTCCGGATCCTGAACTTAACGGTGAGGTCCTCTTGAAGGCAATACCCGACGACCCCAACCGCACAGGCTCCGCCTACGCCGACCAGTTCCTGGCTCACAAGTGCCCAACCCATTTCGACGACAACCAGCGACGACAGTTCTTCTGCGTTCTCGATTTGCGCAGACTGAAATACGCCGCCAACGAGATCTTCGCCCAGAAGGACTGGAAGCTGAACATCATGAACTTTTCCAAGGAATACGAGAAGAGTCGGGGCATGATCATGCTGCGCTACGGACAGTACGAATTCAAGAATGTGAAGCCATCCGAAGCGGTTCTCAAGAGATGGAGGGCCAAGCACGGCCTACCAGACCCTGAGCCCCAGGAAGATGACATTCCATCGAGCGGCTCGGCCCAACTCAAAGCTCAAGCCAAAACCGGGATTTCGGGCTCGACGAAGCGTAAGGCTGACGACGAGTTGGTATCAAAGGATAACGCCCTAATGGCCTCCACCGCCAACCGAAACAAACGTCGCAACCTGACCCAGGAATCGACCGATCCTGTTCTGAAAGGGCCTGCACCTTTCAAGAAGAGTAAACGCAAGGCGGATGAAACCGAGGACCTTGATGAGAACCAGCCTAACAAACAGCAAAAGGCAACGCCTTCTGCAGCCACGTCTAAGTTCGAGAGCATTCTCAACAAAACGCAGAGCGGCGGTGCTTCGCCCTTGAAACGACCTACTCAGGGTTTAACACCCTTGGGCGCACAGAAAACTCGAGACCCTCAGAGCTCAAGCTCACCCAACAAATCGGGTCTGTTTGGAACACCTAGCAATGGGATGAACTTCGGACTGGCCAAGTCGACTAATGGTGGTGGTTCGAATGGATCAATACTTTCTGGACAGAAGCCCTGCTCAACTCCGGCCAAAAATCCTGGGAATATATTCAGCTATCTCTCCGAAAGCTCTGCCAGCAGCAGCGGCAACGAAAATGACAACGCCGACGATGGTGACGACACTGTTTCAGAGTCAGAGCAAGAACCAAAGGGCCATGATGCTGCTGCTGCGCCGAGTCATGAGCCCAGTACTGTTGCTAGTCAGACAGGATTGACACCGTTCCCTGCCAGCAAGACAAGCACTGCCAATATCTTTGGTAGCGGCTTGTACAAACCTTCTAGTGATGCTTCTTCCAAAGGTGGACTCTTTGGGCGTATCCAAATAGGTGCTAACGGCCAGCCTGTTCGGGCGACCCCAGACGTGGAAGAAGAGGGTGTTGGGGCCGCGGCTGCAAAAACCACGCCCCCGATGGAGCCGAGCAAGACTCCAGCAAAACAGCCAGGTGACTACACATTCAACCCTGCAACAACGCCGATTTCATTCGGGCAGTCCGGACCCGGCTCCTCAAAGCCGCCGAGTGCCACTCTGAACGCCGAAGCGGTTAAGGAGCCTACCAAACCCGATTTTGCCTCGACGAAACCGTCGCCAATCTTCAACCTGGACAACCAGCGCAAATCAGAAACTCCGACGAACACGCGGGGGCTCTTTGGCGTATCTGAGCCGTCAGTTTCAAAGCCCAACAATGGATTGAGTTCCATCTTCGCTGGTCAAAAGTCTACCCCTGCTCCCACTGGTCTGTTTGGTGCAACGCCGGACAAGTCAGTCTCGGAAAACGTCGCGAAGCCCAACGAGGGATTGAGTTCCATCTTCGCTGGTCAAAAGTCTACACCTGCTCCCACTGGTCTGTTTGTTGCAACGCCTGACAAGTCAATCTCTGAAAACGTCGCGAAGACGACTGAGTCCAAACCTTCGACTGCTCAAGGACCACTGTCGGGTTTATTTGGCAAGACTCCCACAGACACTACCAATACCCCAAAAGCCGTGACCCCCTTCGGCGGCGCTGAGAAGGAAGATGAGTCGAGCTCTTCAGCTCCGAAGGGACAGTCGCAGCGTAGTATCTTCCAGACATCTTCAACCGGTGCAAATGCTGATTCCCAAGCCAAGACTCTCTTCGGCGGAAATGGCTTGAAGCCCAATGATTCTGTAACAAATGGCCGAAGCACCTCTTCAGTGTTTGCTAACAAGGACAAACCCTCTACCTCAAGCCTATTTGGCACCACGGAGGGATCGACCATGTTTGGAGGAGCCAAGACAAACGGAAGTTCCTCTGAGAATACGAAGTCGGTATTTAGTACTGCTGAGAAGCAACCGTCCGCAGGTTTCTCTTTTGGGAGCTCCAAGCCTGGCGCGCCGAGTGAAGCTGACAAGGGCAGTGGACTTATGCAAGAAACGAAGCCCACATCTGCTCCTGCGCCTGCCCCGTCGAAGCCACTCTTTGGTGTTGAAGCTCCCAAGACTGCTTCCCCGGCTCCTCCGTCTTTGTTCGGTAACCTCGCATCGACAGCCGGCCAAGACAAGCAAGAGGAGCCTGCCGCGAAGAAGCAAAATACATCTGGCAACGCGCCAGCTAGTAACGGGTCTATCTTCAGTTTCGGTGCTCAGCCAGCCGCTGCTGCGAACGCGCAACCCTCATCTACGCCGGCGGTGAGCTTCAGCGCCGGCTCGAATGCCAGCCCAAGCGTCTCGTTTGGGAGCTTCAACTCGCAGAACAGCCAGGCTGGCCCAAAGAAACTTGACTTCCAATTTGGGGGTGCCAACCCTGGTGCAAGTGCAAGCCCGTTCGCCTTTGGCCAGGACTCTTCCGGTGGCTCGGGTTTCACCTTCACTGCAGGAGGAGGCAATGGACAATCCGCCAGCAACCCTTTTGCTGCAGGCGAATCTTTCTCGCCAATGTCTCCAAGTCTTGGGGGGTCGTCCACAACGCCTACTCCATCCTCCAGCTTCAACTTCAACTTCGGCCAGCAAGCATCTCCCGCACCCGCCGCGGCTCCAGCTGCCTCAGGCAATGCCTTGTTTGGGGGGGCATCAAATGGAACGAATGGAGGTCCAAGTTTCAATTTCACTCAAGCTACTCCGCAAAGCACGCCAAAACCCGCCCCGGCTGGGTCGGGAGTTTTCGGGGTTCTAAATGCTGGTGGCGAAGGCGCACTCGGAGCCAGTAAGTTGAATCTCACAGCAGTATCAAATTACAAGTCGACTGATATTTTGATAGATTCGCCATTTGCAGCACCTTCTAGCATGGGCACGACGCCTGTGAATGGTACGCCCGAACCGCAAGCTCAGAACGAGGACGGCGAAGAACGGCAGGCGCAGCTCTCGCTCACCGAAGGTGGGCCGGGCGAGGAGGACGAGCTGATCCTGCACGAAGTGCGTGCCAAGGCCATCAGGTACGAGCCGGTACAGGGCGGTAGCAGTAAGTCCCCTTGGTCTACGAAAGGGGTGGGCCCTCTCCGTGTTCTCAAGAACAAGGGGACGGGGACTGTGCGTATCCTGCTACGTGCCGAGCCGAGAGGTCATATTGCTATGAACAAGACGATCCTCTCGGACGTCGAGTACACGGTCAAGGAAAAGACGGTCAGCTTCGCTGCTGCCAGCGACGATGGGTCGTGTCTTGAGACATGGCTTCTTCAGGTAAAGAAGCCGGAGATGGCACACCAGCTGGCGGGCGTAATGGAGTCGAACAAGAGCGCCAACAAGAAGTAGTCTGGGACCACGTGGGTACCATGTCGATCATGCGACCAAACGCATGGGTATAGTAGAGGTATTCTCGTCTGTCTGACACTATGGTCGGGGTTACGCGTCCTTCGGACTGACTGGATTGCGATTTCTGTGTCTTGAGCAAGTTGGAAGCAGGAAGCATAAGCAGGGTTTTTCGCATCAAAAACGGGGGTTTATTGCGGCTTTTGCAACTGTTCACACTTGTACTTATCATTCATCTATATTGTACGTGGTTACAAAGATTTTTCGAGGATGATAGCGCCGGTAGAACTGAACTGTGTGTTGTAATGCCGTGACGTTGACCGAGGAGCGTCTCGCCTGCGTGAGGAAGGTGTACCTAGGCCTGCAGATTGATCGTTGTAGGCGTGTTGGGCACCGATGCTTGCTCGTTTCTCTAGCCGCGTTTGATCTAACCCACTCAGTAGCAAGCAAACCCATTTATTTGCCAAAGAATCCGCCGGATTGGGTTTAAAATGCACCTATACTGCTAGACGGCACGTCCCAGAATGGAAACTGGATAAAAAAGGTAAAAAGGTTCGGGTCGTAGCGGTTGTCCCCAGCGGTTGTGCCCTCCACTGCAAAATTTTCAATGCTGCGGAAAAGGCAAACTTTCTGGCCGTCCACGAATAAAAACCACCCGTCATTCTCCGCCCACCGTTTGACGACAGTGACAACAACATTGCGGAACAGAACTCAGCACTTTGGCATCGCGACCTCAAGCTGTTATCATCCCATTCCACCTCTATCACCCTCCCACGGGCAGCAGCGACACGCATTCACACGAGCGAGCATGTCTGAGATCACCCATCAGACCATCAAGGGTACGTGCATTGCCATTGCCGGGTGGCTTTTCCTTATCGGTCTAGTGCTGTCGGGTGTGTGATGCGTGTATACCACCACGTCTGGACGCTACATGTATACTGCGCTTCACTCTGTCGGGCCTGCGCTTGCTCTTGGGCATTTTCATACCGCCGGTAGAGCACTGCAAAGAAAGCTGGCTTCATTTTCCCTCGCGGCCGGTGTTTGTGACCACCTGCACGGCATCGTGGGCTCTCACTTGCATCACCTTGTCGTACCTCCTTGCAGCTGCTCTCCGCACATGGCCGATCGAGACGTCGACTACTCCTTTCTCTTATTTCCTACTAACATGGTCCTTCTCCTGAATCTAAATCTCTTGCGAACAGCTCTGCTGCTTCTCTTCCGATCGACAGACACCTTCCTAACTGACAATGATTAGATGGCTGGTTCAGAGAGATCTCTGAGATGTGGCCCGGTGAGTGACCGCTACAAGCTTCCCGGCTAGCACGCCAATGTCCATGGCGGTCTATCTAACCGGGGTTCGACGCACGCGTACAGGCCAGGCCATGACCCTGAAGGTCAAGAAGGTCCTGCACCACGAGAAGAGCCAGTACCAGGACGTCCTGATCTTCGAGTCCACCAACTACGGCACCGTGCTAGTGCTGGATAACGTCATCCAGTGCACCGAGCGCGACGAGTTCTCGTACCAGGAGATGATCACCCACCTGGCCATGAATTCCCACCCGGACCCCAAGAAGGTGCTGGTCATCGGTGGCGGCGACGGAGGCGTCCTGCGCGAGGTCGTCAAGCACGAGTGCATCGAGGAGGCCATTCTCTGCGATATCGATGAGGTAGGCCGGCGTTCAACCAGCCCCTTGTTCCCGTTCACCATGGGATGGAACCAGTCAGTAGGGAACGAATTCAGCTGACATGTCGACCTCAAGGCCGTCATCCGCCTCTCCAAGGAGTACCTCCCCGGCATGGCCGAGGGCTTCAAGCACCCCAAGGTCAAGGTGCACGTCGGCGACGGCTTCAAGTTCCTCGACGAGTACCAGAACGCCTTCGACGTCATCATCACCGACTCGTCGGACCCGGAGGGCCCCGCCGAGAGCCTGTTCAAGAAGTCCTACTTCCAGCTGCTGCACAACGCCCTGCGCCCCGGCGGCGTCATTACCACCCAAGGTTGTATGTCTCCTTAATATCAGGAAAGTTTTATCATTAAAAAATCGAGGGTCGTGGCTGGTCATCATGTTGTTATCTCTCTTTTCGGCACTCGGCTTGCCTGGTTGTTTGCCAACAACCTCCCTCCTCAACAATACCACGGAAGCTGTCTTTTTCCTCCATGGCAGTCTCCTTTTCTAACTTCCAGCCCTAGATTATACCTTTCCTCCCTTGCCTTTTCCCTTTGTGTCGTCCCTTTACATCGTTCTCTGCCCCTTTTGCCTACCCTAGGAATTTTGCCGAACGAACCCTCGATGTCAAGCAGCGTCTCAGTCCCTTTGATGAATCCCTTCAGTCCCCTCGACACCCAAAATCATCCATTCACGCTCTTTCCTTTACTCCCTGTCCCACCAGGGAACCAGAAAAGGCTAACGCGCTCCCCACCCCGCCAACAGCCGAGAACCAGTGGCTCCACCTGCCGCTGATCGCCAAGCTCAAGAAGGACTGTGGCGAGGTGTTCCCCGTGGCCGAGTACGCGTACACGACGATCCCGACGTACCCGTCGGGCCAGATCGGGTTCATGGTCTGCTGCAAGGAGGAGGGGCGCAACGTCAAGAAGCCGCTGCGCTCGTGGTCCCCCGGGGAGGAGGAACGCCTGTGCCGCTACTACAACTCGGAGATCCACAAGGCTAGCTTCGTGCTGCCTACGTTTGCGGCCAAGGCGCTGGAGAATTAGGGGTAGGGCGGGTTGACTGGTTGACTGGTTGCTTGGGTTGCTTGGGCAGTCGGTCGGTGGTTGATGGGGGAAGTGAAGTGGCCTGTATCCTGTGACGCGGGCTGGGGGTGAGGCTATGCTCTGCTCTGCTCGGGTATGGCTGGATGGCTTGTTCTGTACGCGTGCTTGCTGCAGCCAGGTTGGATGGTCCGTGGATGGGTAAATGGTCTAGCTACCTGCGTAGAGCCTTGGTGGTGAATTAATTCATCATGACAAAGACCGGACGGAAGTCTTGCGTACATTTTCGTTGATGGCTCTTCGTCTACGTCTTTGTTTAACCACACTTTTGTTCCCAGGAAAGTGACCACATTGTGTTCAGCTTCAGTCTCGAGGCAAACAAAGACATTGTTGAGAAGAACGCCGTAATATATTAGCTCTACCATCGCCAGTCGGCGATCATTCAAAAAGAGTCAATTCGAGACTGCCATTCCACACACACTTATAGCACAAGACGTTGGGCCCGACTCCCGTATCTTCAAGCAGACCACCGGTCTTGTTCTACAGCCACCCCCCCCCCCCCCCTAGCTAACCATGGAATCTCTGGTAGCACCCCGCACGTACAGCCTGCATGTCGAGACCCGCCGCCTCCTCCTCCGCGAGTTGCAAGAGTCCGACATTATCCCCATGCACCGGATGGAGAGCCGGCCAGAAGTAGCCCGCTTCCACGGCGTCGAGCCCAAGACAGAAGAGGAAGTGGAAGACAACGTACGGGACGCGATGCTCGATGCTAACTCAGACACAGATACTCAATCGAGCTTGCCGTGTGTCTGAAAAGTAAAAGTAGTGGCAGTGGCAGTGGCAGTGGCAGTGGCACATTTATAGGCACGATAGGCTGCCGGATCGACTCGCGACGACTCGGAAAGGGAAAGGCCACTTTGTGGTATACGATCGATACCCCGTTCCAGCGGAACGGGTACGGCGCGGAGGCTCTGGGTGGGTTTATTGAGGTGTTGTGTGTTCAGAGCGCTCTCAAGGTTGAGGTTGGACTTGGTGAGGGAGAGGGAGAGACGAATCTTGTTGCGCCCGTGTCGGTGCTCCAGCTTGAGATTGATACGCGTAATATTGCTAGTCAGGCGCTCGCTGCTAGGCTGAACTTCAGGTATGTTGAGCAGTTCACGGAATGGTGTAAGGGCGATGAAGTCGAAATGATGATCTGGAGACGATTGTTGGTGGAGACAGAAGATCTGTAAGTACCTAACCTACGTAACCTTTCTTGCCACAATATATAACTACAGGTCAACGAATCAACTAACCCTTTTCACTAAGTCATGTCATAAGTATTACATTTTGTGAGCGAGTGCCAGTGAGTGCCTCGAACGCCTAGCTAACTTTCTTTCCTCTTGCCTCGTTTCATGGTATAGCCTTGCCGCCGAGGACTGCAAGATAATCGATGCCTTGTCAAAATCGAAGGAATAACATGTGAGTACCTCTTCGTGCAGTCCGAATCTAACATTAGCGATATGACATATCCATCTCCATTATTTACCGTGTGATGACGCTCTGAGATGCGCGGACAGCAGAGGGAACATGGACAATTGCATAGGTAACCTTCTCTTCCCCGGATATACAAAGATCATGGTGTCCTAAGTGATAACGGGCTGCTTTCGCGGCCTCGGGCTCGGCCTAGCTTTCGCCAGAGAGCTCGCAGCACTTCCCGCCTCCGAGTATCCAAGGTATTCGCCACATCTCGCTCATCAACACCCAACGCCGCCTTACAAGAGGTCATCGCAATCCTCCGTTGACCGAGTCCAGCATGTCCATCTCGATGTCTGCTCCCGCGACAGCATCTCCGCCGCCGCCGAGACCGTCGCCGAGCCTCTCGACGGCGCCGGCGGCCTGGACGTTCTCATCAACAACGCGTCTCGAAGATGACCGATCTTGACTTAGTCCTGGCTATGAACATCATAGCGGTCCACGACGTGACAAACGCATTCCTCCCAATGCTCCGAGCAGGTCAGGGAAAGAAGATCGTCACCATGTCGTCCACGCTCGGGGCACTCTCCCTCGCACTTACTCCACCCCTCGTCGGGGTTCCGCAGCCGCTGCCAGCGTACGACATATCGAAGGCGGCGCTGGGCATGCTGACCCTGCAATGGTCGAAGAGCCTCAAAGACGAAGATTCTGCGTGTGTGCGGTGAGCCCTGGCAACCTGAAGACCGAACTTGGTGGAATGGGCGTGCCGGAGAGAGCGCGGAGTTAGCTCCGGAGATGGGCCCCGGCCACGAGATAGTTATGACGTTATCCTGCGCTGAACATTGCGACAACGGCAACACAATCTTCCAATCTTACTGGCGCCTGGCGAACAGTTGAGGAATATTGAACATCTTCTTTCTCGTCTTATCCTGGTCTGCAATAGTGGATGCGGCGCTTCTCAGTATCTGCTCGGCGAGCTTTGATCTCCTCCAGACCCCTGGCACCGAAGAGCTTCCAACTGCCTGCCCAGGCGCAGAGAGGTCTTCTCGCGTGTCCGAGAAGAGCTGCTATACCGGTTTCACGGCCACTACTGCAAGCTTCTAACGCTGCTACCATGGCTGACCGGCATGTATCCCTCGCGAATCGCTGCGGCGAGTCGAAGAGCCCATACGTCCGTTCGCACATGGACAACCCTACGGCATGGCAGCTTTGGACGCCCGAAACGCTACAGCTCGCCAAAGACACAAACCGCCTACTCTTTGTGAGCATAGGATACTCTGCGTGCCACTGGTGCCACGTTATGGCCCACGAGTCGTTCGACGACCCACGCATAGCGCAACTGCTCAACGACCACTTTGTACCCATCAAGATTGATCGGGAAGAGCGGCCAGACATAGACCGCCAGTACATGGACTTCCTACAGGCTACTTCGGGTGGTGGAGGCTGGCCGCTTAATGTCTTCGTCACTCCAGACCTCGAGCCCATCTTCGGTGGCACGTACTGGCCTGGGCCGAAAAGCGAGAGGGCTGAGACGGGTGGCGCAAACTTCGAGCAGATACTGCTCAAGGTCTCAACGCTATGGAAGGAGCAGGAAGATAAGCTCAGAGAGAACGCCAGACAGATCGCGGCGCAGCTCAAGGAGTTCGCGCAGGAGGACACGCTCGGTGAAAAACCAGATGGTGAGGACGGACTGGAGCTTGATCTGCTGGACGAGGCGTATCAGCATTACAAGAACAGGTTTGACGACAAGTATGGCGGGTTTGGTGGTGCGCCGAAATTTCCGACACCCGTGCATCTCAGGACGCTCCTGCGGCTCGGAAGTCACACGCAGCTAGCCCGGGATGTAGTTGGCGACACGGAGATAGAGCACGCGCGGCATATGGCAGTCAAGACCCTGGAGTGCATGGCCAAGGGTGGCATCAAGGACCAGATTGGACACGGCTTCGCGCGATACTCCGTCACGAGAGACTGGAGCTTACCACACTTCGAGAAGATGCTATACGACAATGCGCAGCTGCTCCCACTGTACCTAGATGCCTACCTGCTCACGAAGTCTGATCTGTTACTGGAGACTGTGCACGACGTGGCGACGTATATGACCACCGAGCCCATGCAGTCCAGTCTAGGTGGCATCAACGCTTCCGAGGACGCCGACTCGATGCCAACAGCCATAGATCACCACAAGCGTGAAGGCTCTTTCTACGTCTTCACGCTCGACGAGTTCAAGCAAGTACTTACTGAGCAAGAAGTCGACGTATGCGCCAAGTACTGGAACGTACAGCCGAATGGCAACGTGGACCGGCGATTCGACCATCAGGGCGAGTTAGTCGGCAAGAACACTCTCTGCGTAATGTACGACACCCCAGACCTTGCGAAGGAGCTCGGCATGAGCGACGAGGAAGTCAAACGCCTCATCTCCTCCGGACGGCAAAAGCTGCTCGCATACCGCGACAAAGAACGGCCCCGACCGTCGCTGGATGATAAGATCGTCACAGCGTGGAACGGACTCGCCATCGGCGGACTCGCACGCACAAGCGCGGCATTGTTGTCCAGCGCACCCCACCAGTCGTCATCGTATCTCGCTGGCGCGGAGAAGGCAGTAAAGTGCATCCGCGACAACCTCTTCGATCCCAAGACCAACACCCTACGGCGAGTCTACCGTGAAGGCCCAGGCGAGACGCAGGGTTTTGCAGACGACCACGCTTTTCTCATCTCCGGCCTCCTCGACTTGTACGAAGCTACCTTCAACGATGAGCACCTGCAGTTCGCAGACGTGCTGCAGCAAAAGCAGAAGAAGCTTTTCTGGGACGAGAAGAATTACGGCTTTTACTCCACCCCGGCAAACCAGCCCGACATACTCGTCCGCACGAAAGACGCGATGGACAACGCCGAACCCAGCACCAATGGCGTGAGCGCACAGAACCTCTTCCGGCTGGGCTCCTTGCTGAACGACGAGACCTACGAGAAGATGGCTAAGCAGACAGTTGGTGCTTTTGCGGCAGAGATCGGACAAGAACCTGGCTTGTTCTCAGGTATGATGACTAGTGTTATCGCGTCGAAGACGGGTGTCAAGGGGTTGATGGTCGTAGGTGAAGGCGATGCGGCAGAGGCAGCATTGAAGAAGGCTAGGGAGACTGTGAGGCCGAATTGCACGGTCCTGCAGGTTGGTGGCGGAGCGAGCAGTGAATGGCTACGAGGGCGAAATGAGCTGCTGAAGGATCTGGATGCGAGTAGGCAGATGGTGCAGCTCTGCGAGGGCGGTGTGTGTAGACTGCTGGAGGCGAAAGACGTGGAAGGATTGTTCTCCGATTGAGGCTCCTCGAGCTTAGTTGAGAAGAGAAGTCTTGCTAGAGGGCGTTCTTGATTTTGATGTAGGAGTGAGATACCCTACAGCAGCAGCACAGGAGTAGGTAGCAGCTTGCAGAGAGAATTATACATTGCTGACGCCTTACCTTATCACGTGCTATCATCTTCCTCTGCAAGTAAAACATATCTCGTCTGTACCTGCATGATCCGTCAACATTGAAGGCAGCAATGATGACTTCGAATCTTCGATTGTACCAAGATTCATTCTTGTTCACGCAACTGTGCTGGTTCTCCAAGCCGAAACTATACAATACCCTCACCAAGGCCTTTATCAGGACAGGATTCCCTACTCGTCCGCCGGCCATCTATCGAAATCTGATACATGTCCCCTCCACCCTTCACGCCGCAGCATTAGCAAGCATAGTCTCCTCCGGCTCGAGACCAGACCACCCCCAGCAAGCCCGCCAGAGCCGGTCCTGCGCCCCCGCATCTCGACTGATCTCAGCATCGACATCCGCCCTCTGCCCGACGTAGTAGCCCCGCCTGCTCCGGAACTCGGGCGCCACGCTGACGGCGACGACATCGCGTGCCGCGTCGGCCGTGGGGCGGAACATGGTGGTGACGTGCTTCAGAACGGGCATCAGGAAGTTGATCGTCGCCATCATCCGCTGGACCGGCTTCTTCATGTGGACCTGGGATCTGGACGCGGCTAGGCCTCCCGGGTCCACGGCCAAGACGGTTAGGTTGGGGAGCTTGGGGTCCTGTTTGTTACGTTCGTGATATCAACAAGCAGGGTTCTTTTTCGCTTTTTGGGAGAGGTGGGAGAGGTGGGAGAGGCAGGGGTAGACGCACTGCTTCAAGTCTCCTGTTGAGATCGTGCATGAACGTCACGTTCGCCAGCTTGGCCGTCCCGTAGCGCTGGTACCCCCCTATCATGTGCGTCGCCGGGGCTGGACTCGGACGGCGGCCTCACCAGTCGCTCGATCTCGCTGGGGAATTCCGGTCTGTAGGCCGAAAGTGGGTTGGTCTTCTCGGGGAAATGCGTTATGGAGCCGAGCATGATGACGCGCCCGTATGCCATGTCCATGCTTCCCAGAAGCTTGAGGACCAGCAGGTAGTGCGAGAGATGGCAGACTTGGAATGTCGCTTCCAAGCCGTCCGACGTGTATTTCTGACCGGCTTCGAGTGACAATGTAGCCGCGTTGCACAGGATCGCCGAGATACGGGGAAGGTTTCCCAGGTCGATTTGCCTCGAAATGTCGTCCGCGAACCTACGGACTTCGGACAGCTTCCCGAGGTCAAGCTGCTTGACTTCGACTTTGGCTCCGGGAGGCTGCTCGATGATCTGCATGAGTTTGGCGGTGTTGAGATCCTTTTCCGGCGAGGTGTTCCGCACTGCTGCTACGACTGTGTACTGGGGATGTGATGTAAGAAGAGTTCGGACAACTTCGAGAGCTAGAGTGCCGTTGGCACCTGTGATGAGGACGGTTCCGGCCATGACTTGCGGCGCTGTGGCAGTAGCAAAGAGACGGATGACTTGAAAAGACCTCGGACTTCGTAAACTTCGAGACAGGAAATCCTACTTATACCTCTTTGTAAACGAGACATCACGCATCACAGTATTGCTGGACGTGTAGCAACTATATCGGCTTATGCAAGCCGATATACATCGCCAACCGCTTGACCTCATTTAGGCAATGTAAAGCTTGGCAAGTTCTACCTGCGTACGAGTCATTATCTACGCAAGGTCAGATACTTGTCAAGGCTCTGATTGCCGTTGACCCAGTTTCGCAGTCGTTCCTTAGAAGTTGAGTGTTGTGATCATTTGGCTTATATAAGCCGATATACATCTCCAGCCCCTTGACCTCTTTCGGGCAATGCAAAGCTTGGCAAGCTCCACCTGGGTATTGAGTCGCTATCTCCATGTAGGGTAGACCACGGACATAACATTCCATAGCCCCGGAGTCGAAAGATCGCAAATCAAAAAGGGGGGGACCTTGACGTGTATCACACCGTGGACGCTGTAATGGCCAGTCCCCAACTTTGCCATGTCCAGATACAGATAATGCAAGCCTTGGAAAACTCACCATCTACGCCGCGCTGTTAGCCATTACTGATCCTCTTCTCGAAACAGCCAGCGGATTTGCTGACGGGAGCCCAATCGGACACTGGTCATGTGGTTGAATGGACTGCAATTCGTCCACCAGTCGTTCCCGGGTGACACCAGCACGAGGAGGCGGCAGAAACGTGTGGTCCACTCGAATGCTGCGCGAGCGGCCCACGCAGAGGCCCGGCGCTGCCGGACCATCGAATACCAGGCTTCCAAGACCCGGGCTGCAGAGGGCAGCCAGCTATCAGGCAGTAATGATTCTGGATCCGGCGAAGTAGTGGCCTCTAGAATGCCGAGACAGCTGGCTTCTGGCCGGAAAGACCCCTTCACGAGCTTCGTCCGTCCCTTCAAGCCCGTGGAGCACTTCCTCCTGGATTACTGTATGTTGAATCTGAACTGAATTGGTTTGCGTAAAAGCTGTCGGACATACTGATTCGCATCCAGATGTGACAGCTGTTGTGCCCCTGATGCGCTGCAACGAGCCCGAGACCTATTACGTTGAGCGGATGGTTCGAGCGTGGGTGCCACTCGCGTTGACAGATCCAGGGCTTTTGAACTCCCTCTTTCTGACCGCATCCCGGCACTTGTCCGGAAAATATCAGCAGCAGCAGCAACAGCGGTTTACAGAGCTCTCTGCACAGTACAAGCTCGATTGTGTGCGGTCGTTGATGGAGTCCCTCTCCACCAGAAGCTCCTTTGACGATGCCACGATAGCAAAGAGCGTGATGTTGGCATATGACGAGGTATGGTCGGATTTTATTCAAGGTGATTAGCTGAATACTAACTACTGAAGCTGACGGTTTATGATGCTGCTATGGCGAGGAACCATCTAGCGGGTGCTGTCAAGATGGTGCAGCTCAACGGCGGATACCAGACGCTCGGTCTGGATGGCTTCCTCGAGAAGCTGATTTGCAGTCTTCTCCTGAAATTTAGCGGCGGTACTCACACTCCTCCCAGACTTCCCAGACTAGGACCGGTGTCGACGTCGGAAATGTAATAAACAGAGTTGAAGACCAGAACGGAAATCATGTGGCCGTCAATCGGAACTAGATCGATAGCCTTTAGCGAACGAGTAGGTCGAACACAAAACTTCGTTCACCGGTGATCAAATGGTGCTTCAAGGTGCATTGGCAGGAAGAAGCCTGCGATGGGAAACCCCAGCTCATCAGCATAACCGTTAGGTATACGACCGCCTGACGCGACTCTTCAGGCGGACATCGACTAGCAACCGTCTGACAGATCATGGTTCGATGAAGCATTATTGGTCACTGTGTATATTGCGAACCCTACGAACAGGTCGTACAACTAAATGTCGGCAGCTTTGCGAGCGGCATGGTAGAAGTGGGCTCCCAGATCTGTTGGCATATCCTGCCCTCGTGCCACCGAGCTGCGGTCATAGTTTGCGTCGTGTAGCAGAGCTGAGGGCGCCGCGAAGACAGAGTTGGAAGTGGGTTGTTCCTCGGAAACGTTTTCCGGGTGGAATGCGGAACCAGATGTTAGGCCCATCGTCGTATCCGGAACCAGCTGACTTTGACCGAGGAGCTTCTGCATCTGCACATCACGAGCTTGTAACTCGCTTCTGAGTCGTCGAACCTCCGCTTCCAGGTCAGGGCTCGGAGCTTTGACGGTCTCTTCAGCGCGCTGAAGCTTACGTGGAGGAAGCATTGAACCTGCGGTAGGCTCATCGGCAAGGGCCTGTCGTTTATGGGAGTGATTCCAAGGGCTATTTCCGCTGGCGGTTTCTTTGCTCGGCATTATGTCGCCGATCACGGGCTGTTTGGAAAGAAACCTCTGTACCGCTTCGCGAGGTAGATCTTGTTCCCGGACCCAAGTTGGTTTCCTCTCCTTCTGCTGGGGGGACGAGAACCTGAATAGCCGCTCCGTTCCACCACCCTCCAGGACCGTTGTCTTGCCCCTCATGATCGAAAACCCCTTCTTGAATTTCGGGACGCCAGCCGCTTTCCTCGCGAGGTATCGTTCCAGGAGCACGGAGGCAAAATCCGTTCCAGTTTCCCAACTTGGTTTTGGACGCTGGCCAGTCGCTCGGTCTTTGGTCCAACTTACTTTATATTGCAGTACGGAGGTACCGTCAGACATTTCTGTTTCCTTGTCGTTGGGACACCCAGGAGATTCTCGGTGCGGAGGCACTTCACTGGGTGTTGCGGGCGCTCAATATGATCCGCATCTCAAGTGAAGATCCTGTGGCATCTTCGCCTCTGCTTTCCCCGCCGCTCTGGACGCTTGGCGCCACCTTCTCCTGGTCATGTTAAGCTTGGATCATATCTGCCGGCACGAATTTCGCTGGCTCCCAAGACGGCTTTGACTGGGGTTTCGCTGGCTCATAGGGCGCGGCACGCTTTTGTTTCCAACAAACATAGAACCATCGCTCGTGTGTGTGTGCCATCCGCATGTACATAGTCTTTGTGTTTTAGTATACTGCGGACCTTGGCTTTCTTATTCTCCGCGTATAGGTTTTCTTTGGGTGGGATGGCGACATCCGTGGCGTCGACCGGCTGCCCCTCGAAGTACTGCTGAATCTTTTCTTGCGGTATGTTGGCGGCCGGCTCCCAGCTTGGTTTCAATCGAGGCACCAAGTTTACGGAACCTTTCTTCAAGCCTGCCTGCTTCCAGTGTACATAGCAAATCTGTTCGCGCAGCCCATTTTCGCGGTCAATGTACCTGTGGGCTTTGATCCGAGAAATCTCGTTCCCTTCCCTCTGGCCTTGGTTCGGCAACTGGATGCGAGTGTACCGCAAATATTCCTCACTCACAGTGGTGTATGCAGCGTTGAGGCTCTTGGCTTCCTCAATGACAGCGGCCCGTGGAGTAGGGGCTGGCTTCTCGCGAGCTTTAACGCTCAATACCTTCCCATTGTAGTTCTGCTGTTTCGGGAGACTTCTCCGAGAAGACCCGGTCAGGGCGGTCGCTATCTTCTTGGGCTTGACTACCCGTTTCCTTGGGGTGTCGACGTTGACTCCCATCTTGGCACCAAGTTCGTTCATCTCGGAAAAGAAATCTTTGTGATGTGCAGCATTGGCAAGCCTTCGTGCCTCAAAGGAAGACATGACTGCGGGGGGAGGCGAAACTGCGGTTGAAGGCTGGCTGCGAGCAGAACTCGGTGAACTCTCAGATTTCAGCTCCGAATTGGTGGATGCATGGAAGCCTCCATTATTCTCGTCGTTGATAGATGGCCCCTCCTCCACTTTGGTTGAGTGATCCACCGACAAACGGCCAGACTCATCAGATCCGTTGAAATGTTGATAGGCGGCTGCATACGCGGACGCGTCCAAGCCATCATCAGCAAGCTCTTCCATATCCGAGCAGGTCGCGACCGAGCTGCTGTCATAAAACTCATCCGGCGTTCCAGCTAGAAGGCTATCAGATGCGGGCCATGCTGCGGGCCATGCTGCGGGCCATGCTGCGGGCCATGCTGCGCCCAGTTCTGACGGGAGTGCCATGTTGTGTCCTGAAAGACACCGCAAGTCACGACGAGACAGGTGGTTGATCGGTGGCCCAAGTCTCAAGGAGAAACCTGGCAGGTCGCAACGTTGGTCTGAAGTTGACTACACGGTCCCGTCATGGTAGGAGTGCACCGCTACGAACACAAATTGAAGATCAGCGGTGCGATCGCAAAGGGAGTTTAGTTTCATTGAAAATAAATGTGTTCTGTCTCGGGATGAGGAATCTCGAAACAGGCCAGGCATTCAAGCACAGACCCGCAATATAATACTGTGGCGTTCTTGCGGCTGACGTTGTTATCATTCCCCCAGCTGCCCAGCACCAGCACGTGCGCAGGTGCTACTCGTGCCCCGCACCATTTCCACCTCGCTGGGGCTCACCACATGATGTTAACTCAGCGCTCAGACGTGAGGTGGTAGTTGCACGCTGTGGCCAAGTTGCTTATAAAAGGCGGTATCTTCTGACTTCAATTGACAAGCATTTGGGGGTTTGGACGACACCATGACTCCCAGCCTGCTTCGACTCAGCCTGGTGCCTGCCTGCCTGCTTATTACCCTAGGTGCTTGTCTTGGGTAGCTACCATGTCCTGGCTAATTATCATATCGTGCTATATCGTGCTATAACCGTCAGATCATCCCGAAGCCTCGTGTGGTGGTTAGTAGTTACAGTCCCGCACAGACGGTCAGCTATCAAGGAATCCCCCTGATCTCGGGAGCGCGATCTAAGATCGGTCGTGATGATCTTATCACCTATGTACTTATTATCTATGCCTGATGCCTGCCTGCCTGTCTGCTTGCTTGGTCTGCCATGTGCCCTCAGGCTCGGCACTAGCCGCGAGCGGACGGCGGCAGTTGGGGTGTATGTACGCTACGGTACGGTACGTAGGGAGCGTTGCAGCGGCAGGATGCCACGACGGAGGTGCATGTGTAGGTGTATGTGGGTGTGGACCTATGCAACATGTAAGAAACGTGTGGGCGGTAGGACAAACGGATGGCTGGCTGACGAGGCGTCATCATCACCTTTATTATCATCATCACCATCGCGATCACCCTCGATACGCACCCGGTCATGGTGCTGCGAGAGACGAGAGACGCACCAACGCGCGCCTCGTGATGAATGGCCGTGCCGCAGGTGGGAGATGGGACAGTCACATCGGCGTGCTGACGAGAGACGGAGACAAGACGTATTACATGGCTACAGCCTACAGGCTTACAGCCCACCATCGCGCAAGTTTCTGCGCACAAAGTCAGACTGCGGCGTTGCGGTTGTTGACCTCCGCCCAATCATTCCACGGCACCGGCAGTATATGCAGAGGCCTTGAATCCTTCCGCAGCTCGTGGTGGTGGTGCCAGGTAACGCTGATGACGAGGTGGACGCTGGTGCGATGGAACGGCAGAACGATAAACGTGTGGTCCATCTTTAGGGCGTGAGCTTATTGGTCCAGGGGGTCGGGAGGTTGGCAGGCTTTGGGGGCGGGCGACTCCAGGCCTTAATATGGTGGTATGACCCAGGAGAGAGGCCTTTACATACCTTCATGTTGGTAGCCGTTGGGCTCGGCTGTACTCTTCAACGCGCCGTAGGGCTATGTAGGGGTGGGAATTGGCCTTCGGTGTAGATTAGCGGGTGTTTGAACCACGATATTCAAGCTCTTGTACCCAACAGGCGCATGTGGTTTGGACCTGTTGAATTTAGGTTGGGGTTTCTGTGATAGAAGTTGCCGTCCATCTTGGAATGGGATACGACAGCTGAATGACAGCTGAATTGAGTTCGCAGCCCTACATGCATGTTTCCACTCGATGTGGAATGCGTGATGGCCTTCTCGGTCAGTTTAGTGGTTTGTAAAGTAAAGTAGGCAAACGAAGAAACTAGAGATTATTGTCTTTGCCACGTTGAAGAGTATAAAGAAGAGCTTGTCATCTTGAGGCAACTTCTTCGCTGTATATGTGTTATTGCATGTAACGTCTGTCAGCTCATTCGCATCCCGGAGAGATGGTACAGTTCTGGACCTGACGATTGTCGTTCTTTGGTGTTTGTCGTAAACGACCTCTGAGTTCGTAGAGATTCGCGTCAATCGTGGATGACAAGGCGCAACGACGCACTGAGCGGCAGACAGGTGAAGGTGACCTCATTGATTGGAAGCGTCTGACCGTAAAAATCCACAGTTAATGGGGCCAAGCAGGCTAGGCCTAATGCTCTGTACAAGCACCAGGCTCTAACGCGCCTGGCCACGTTTTTCCAGGGTTCGGAAGGACCGGGAAGTTCCAAGTTACCACAGCACCACGCGAGACTCGCTCGGCGCGGTCAGAGCTCGGAGGTCAGAACTCTGATCTCGGTCAAGCAGACCCACCGGCGGCATGGCGGCATGGCGCTATTCGGTACCGGTTGGAGGTTGCTACAGGTAACAGTGCTCGATGCCAACATCGTGGCAACCCAAGCAGCATGTTCACCATGTGGTGACTCCCATCAGTGGTGGCCACTGGCCAGGCCAGTTCGACGTCGAAACATAGCGAAGTGCACTGTTGGTTTTGGGTTGCATCATGGCATGGCCTGGCATCCTGCCGGATCTGCCCGCGATTGTGCCGTTAGTCATTGGCCCATTGGTCAAGGCAACCCGAGGGCGAGATCCTGCCCATCTACGAGTTCGCTGAGGCGTGGAATAGGGGCCTTGCGTTACAGACTCCTGCTTCTTCGCAGGCACAGCCTCCCCAATTGCCAATGTTCATCGTGGGGCAGGGGCGCATCACGCATTTCGGTCCGTGGCAACTTACCAACCCTGTGACGAAGACATACCTTATCCAGGACTCGATTCTCTATTTCGCTTCCACGAGCACGGTGAAGTTGGTGCGCAGGCGTCTGTGCAGATATCCGTGTCGAAGATGGCTGTTGGACTAAGTGGTGCTCTGTCTGTCATTAGCGTATGTGCGCTTTGCCTCCTGTCTCTCCATCGACGGAGTGCGACGTAGGGAGTCGAAGGACAGACAGACTGTGAGGAGAGCCGCCCCATCCAACAACACAGAAATGCTGTCAGCTTGGGAACAGGCAACGAGATGCGAACTAGTAGCCAGTCAAGTGCCGAACAATGGGTTTTCTCTCTCTCTCTCTCTCTCTCTTTCTCGCTGATGTCAGCTGAGTTGTCGTGATTCGCGACTCCGAGAGAAGGGAGATCAAGAACATTGAAGGTTTGTTAACAGCCTTATTAAGCGACAAATTACAATATAATAATAATAAGAGGCCCGAGGGAAGGTGCAAGGGAACGCTCGCTTGGTCATACTGCTGCCACACCTGCGCCGACATGCCCCCGCCTGCCCCGTCAATATGGTACTGCGATATTAAGATATACTGTAAATTGGACGTTTTCTTCCATCTACCAACCTTAAAGGCTCATCGTTTGTTTGCCTCTACCCTCTACCTGCGGGTCACTTGCAAGTAAAGGTTGTTCACCAATGCGAGGGATGGACAATATGGTTTTAAACATGCCCCTTCATCATCACTGTTCACAGCTGGACTACCTACAGCCTACAGGTACCACTACCAATGGACATTATTGTAATGTCACAGTGGATACGGAGCTTCTCCATCGTCGGTGTGGGGCTGTGGTACAGTGGTCCTGGCCCTCTCCCCTCTCGGGAGTCTGCCAGCCATCCGTGCCATGTCCCATGTCCTGGCATCATCATGGTGGTGCTCGAGTCCTGTCCCTGCTTCCCTGCCAGGCCTGCCCTGGCCCTCCTCATGGCTAATGCATCAATAGCGGCGATCTATTCCTGGAAGTGGTGTTGCAGAAAGGAGCCCAGTGTCTCACCTAAGTCTACCAGTCTCCATTCTGCCTGGTGCACGCCATACTGGACGCGCCAACAGTGACCAGACGGATACTGGTGGCGGCGGTGGGAAAGCCACCCGAAAGCCCAGCGGTTTGTCAATTCAGTTTTCCAGACCGGGCCCTCCAATCACAATTTCACTGCGAGATCCCTTACCTACCTATCTACCTTATTACTCCGTAATGTACGGGCGCACCCATGTGGTTATGGCAGCCGTGTAATGCAGGTAAGATAGGTCGATGCATCGCCTGATGGTTGCGGACTGGATGAATGGACTCTCTGTGTCTGTGGTCTGGTCTGGCTGGTCCTTTTCTGTTGCTTCTCTTCCAACCTTCTTCTACCCTCCACCGTCAACGGCCTCACTCATCACCTACCCGCCTGCTCTCCTTTCCTCTTTCCCCTTTCCCATTTCTCTTTTCTCTGTCTATAATCAGGTGTGCGAGCGTGTGCGTGCATCGGGGTACATAGTATGTGCTGCGGCAGACCACATTGAAGCTTACCTTCCATACTACCTACATACTTTCCCACCCCCGTCTGACATCCCTCTCGACTCGACTCGGCACACAGCACACGCCTGCCGACAAGTGCGCGGGCTGGGGGCTCTGTAGTAATTCCTAAAATAGTTCAGAAGGCGGCATTTATCACCGCGCAATCTTGTTATTTAGTATTACCCAACTACCTGCACCCCATCATCAGGAGCCTCCTACTCTGCTACTCTGCTGCCTTCTTCGACGAAGCCCATCCGCTTGTCTGGTCTGCTCATCCTTCAGACTCATCACTGGACCCATCGACCCATCGAAAAGGTGACCGGCCTGTTGATTGAGTGAGGGGAACTGGACAGCCATACAGCCGAGGGCTCCAACTTCAAATTTCAAAGCAAGCCCGCTTCGAAACTGACGCCGGCGACCCGACGACTGCTTTCGAGACGGCGTCGTAGTTTAGTCTTCGACGGCCTGCCAGCTGCCCGGCTCTCGACCAACGGCCTCGCTCATGTTGGTTTAGCTTCCAGCGCTTAATCATCGAAACTGTGCGGGCTAGCTAGCCAACTAGGAGTCCTCCCCGTGGCGCCGCTGCAGGTGATAAGCACAGATCCTGTCGTCTGTCTACCGTACGACTACATATATATAGCCGGACCCTCGGCTTACGTCTTCGTCGCGCGCCCACCCCTTCCGTCCTGCCCACGAGCGACCGTTGGAGAGACGTCAAGATGTGTTTCGGCAGTAGGAAGACAGATGAGGAGGGCAACAACCGCTCGCGGGAGCTCGACAAGATCATCAAGCAAGATGAGAAGCGCATGGCCAAGGAGGTCAAGCTCCTGCTTCTAGGTACGCATCCTTATTCCCGGGACCCGAGACGCTTCAGCCATCGCCGTGTCTCAAGCCCGTAGTGCACCAACGCCTGACCTTGACGCTCTCTTGCAGGTGCTGGCGAGTCGGGCAAATCAACTGTCCTGAAGCAGATGAAGTTGATCTATGCCTCGGGCTTCAGCAAGAACGAGAAGCTCGAATGGAAGCCCGTGGTGTTCAACAACGTCATACAGTCGATGCGCATCATCTTCGACGCCATGGCCGACTACTCGATCGAGTTCGAGAACAATGACAACGAGGTGAGTGCCTTGCCGGCTCGCGTGGCACAGGCTCTAGCCTGTGTCGTTCTGAGACACACTCATTGCAGGCCGCTAATGTGCAACCACCCGCAGAAAAACAAAGCCGTGATCCTCCAAGACAAGGAGATAGGACCAACCGATACCCTCCCCGAAGACTACCTCGAACCTATCAAAGCGCTATGGGCCGACGGCGGGGTCCAAAAGGCTATACTGAAGGGCAACGAGTATGCCCTTCACGACAACCTCGCGTAGTACGTTGGCCATTTGATGCAACCAGTTCTTGATGATGCTAACTCCCCGGCAGCTTCTGCGAAGACGCCGACCGTCTCTGGGCCGTGGGCTACGTACCGACCGACCAGGACCTGCTGCGATCGCGACTACGAACGACTGGCATCACAGAAACTGTTTTCGACCTTGGGCAATTGACGTATCGCATGTTTGACGTTGGTGGCCAGAGATCCGAGCGGAAGAAGTGGATTCACTGCTTCGAGAACGTCAACTGTCTTATGTTCCTGGTTGCGATTAGTGGTTACGACCAGTGTCTGGTGGAAGACAAGGATGGGGTAAGTCTTGCTCGCATATGTTTCTACGTGGAACAAGAGCAGAACAGGTGACTGACCGCACTGTGTCCAGAACCAAATGAACGAAGCCCTGATGCTCTGGGAATCGATTGCGAACTCGCACTGGTTCACCAAGTCGGCACTCATTCTCTTCCTCAACAAGATGGATCTCTTCAAGGAGAAGATCGCTACCAACCCCATCACATCGCATGGCTTTGTCGACTACCAAGGCCCGACCGACGACTATAGACAAGCCAGCAAGTACTTCATGGACAAGTTCAGAGCGCTGAATCGGAACCCCGAGAAAGAGATATACGGGCACTTTACAAACGCTACCGATACGAACCTGCTGAAGATCACCATGGGCTCTGTGCAGGATATGATCATACAACGCAATCTGAAGCAGTTGATACTGTGAGTCGTCTGCTTCCGATTAGCCTTCCGCGAACTCCGGTCCTGCGAAACCAAGTTTGGCCGCGGTCCTGTTCAGGGAAGAAGCGCCATCCATTTCGCAGGGCCTCCCGTTCACCCCGTACCTCGGGCAAAGAAGTGCACGGCTGAACAAATCGGAGCATATAGGATCAGGTGAACGGCATGGCAACCGCACAGTTTACGATGCAATTCACCCGTACGTTACGCTCGACGGCACGAGGCAGATTCGCCCCACGTTTATACTATACCACCACGCAGTCCGCAGTCTGCGCACTGCTTCCTTGTCCATAATAGCATATTTCTGGATGGGCCGGGGGACACAGGACACTCGCGCCCATTCACATCGCATACGACACACCGCAACACCTACATACCCCAATGATATCCCCACCATCACCACCGATACCACCGATACCACCAATACCACCACCATCACCACCAGCAGCGCTGTGTCGCTGTCTTGAAACCCAAGACCTTCCTCAACGACGAAGCCGGTGTTTCTTGGCTGGAGGACGTCATCTGATACCAGCATCGGGCGGGCGGGTTCTCTACTCTCTTCTCGACACGAAAACGGTTCCCTGCTTACGACCGACGGATACCATTGATGATTCTTTTTTTTGATTCTGTGAGCGATTTGGACACGAGGTGACGACATTGCAGAAAGGGGGGCGCCGCCCCCGGGGGTTGCACGTAGATATCAGGCAGGCGACGCCAATAAAAAATACCAACATATTAGAACTCAGTTTCTCGGTTCGAACATGTGAACCGAGTGGATGCTATCCTGACCAGTGAAGCATGCCGCCTATCTCGAGCGCCGCACAACGTAGTACACTGCAGACAGTGCGCTCGCATAGGGCTGGCGACTACTGCTCTGTGCCCTGCTGATCTTGACGCTACAGTATAGACATGCCCATATCCCGCCTTGCCAGACCGAGCCCAGCACAGGGGTAGGTCAATAGGCAAGCCATGGGTCTCGCGGGGGGACGATAAGGGGTTTAACGTGGCGGGCGTTTCTGTTCTTGATATAGTTCTGTCCTACAGGTAGAACAGATAAGTAGATGAGCACCTTGCCGGCTACCGTAATGCAACCTTGAAGGACTCGCACACGTGAAATTCACACGTGGACGTGGAAGCGGGCTTAGGATAGGTAGTAGATAGCATGCTCGTGGTTACACGGGATGGAGGATGGCATCATTGAGCATGGCACTCCCGACGATGGGTAGATGCATGTCGGGTAGGTACTTGTAGATAGGGCACATCGGTAGGTACGTACGTGCAGGATGCGGCGACGGTGTATATAAATACTTGGAACTGGTATGGTGGATGTGATACCTTGCTTTTCGACGAGTAGAAACGACTGTCGAGACATGGTCGGCTTTTGATCTTAAAGATAGCTCCGGACCGTGCTTGTTACCCCAGTGAATACCCCAATTTCCCCTTACGCTGCGCCGTCAGATCAGGTACAGCTTGGGTTATTTGGGTTTAGCGGCACTCTGAATCAACTATTCTGACTGGTCGGGTGTTTCTTGGGCCCTGGGGGCGGGCACTCGTGGTGGAAGCTGGGGTTCCCCGGTAGTCATCAGCCATTCCCCTGTCCAGGGATGCAGGTGCAGGTGCTAGGTGTTGATTGTGATGAGCATGTTGACATCAGACGCCTTCCAAGCTTCCTGTCTCTTGGATATATCTGATGGATGTTGCTGCTGCTGCTGTTTGCAGTTTCTTGCCCCTTGAAAAGACGAAGTACCTGGTCTGATGATCCTGAATCGGCTTTGGAGACTCGAAGACACTCACTGTCTCACTCGCGAACGCGTTTCGTACTTACATTGCTACATTGCTACATACATTGCTCCTGCCAACCAACGCCTGGAGTCGGCATACCTAACGGCCAGATACCAACCTCGTCGTCAAGGTCACCAGCACTTAAGCCATTGACATCAAATACTGCCTAAGTAGGCACTGATGGAATACAGTCATCTTTTATCACATCCACGCTCTAATCAGCACATATCGACGAGCACCACAAACAACCCAATGCCCCAGCGGCCATGCAGTCCGAACCCAAGCCCGCGCACGACGTCACGGCGCCCGACGACCGCGCCACCTGGACCGGCAGGCTGAAGCAGCGCTTCCCGGTGCTGCGCAAGAAGCGCGGCGTCGCTCTCGTCGTCGCGCTCGCACTTTTACCTCTTCTCGCCCTGCTGGGTCTGCTGGCGCTGCGGAATCGCGGCGGCGGCGGTGGGAGTGGTGCCGATGCTGCGGGGGGTAATGGTGGTGGTGCTGGGGATGTGATCACGGATGATGCGTTTTTCTACGGCCAGTCGGAGCCCGTGTATCCTTCTCGTGAGTTGCTCTGGCTGCTATGCCGTGATTGGGTCTGGGCTGCTGCTGTAGAAAGAAGGAGGGCATACTGACGGTCGACAGCTGCGATGACGGGAGTGGGGGCGTGGGCCGACGCGACTAAGAAGGCGGTTGATTTCGTCAACCAGCTTACCATTGAGGAAAAGGTACGTACGTCTCTTATTAGAATGATATAGCAGAGTCCCGTATCACTCAATACTGACACGCAGTAACACAGGTCGGACTAGCTTCCGGCGTCGTGTCCTCCACGGGAACATCCGGGACGCTGAACGGCTGCTCGGGCAACATCGCGCCCATCGCGCGTCTGAACTTCACGGGCATGTGCCTCACCGACGCGGGCCAGGGAGTGCGCGCCACCGACTTCGTCAGCGGGTTTCCGAGCGGCATCCACGTCGGCGCCAGCTGGAACAGGGCGCTGGCCCGGCGCCGCGCCGAGAAGATGGGGCTGGAGTTCAGGGTCAAAGGTGCGAATATCGTGCTCGGACCGGTTGTTGGACCTGTCGGACGCGTGGTCCGCGGCGGTCGTGGTTGGGAGGGCTTCGCGGTCGATCCGTGGCTCTGCGGTGCGCTTGCCTACGAGACTATTACGGGGATCCAGTCCCAGGGGGTTATCACCAGTACGAAGGTACGTAACCATCAGTTGCCAGTAAGATGATGATTTGCTTACGAGACACACGACAGCACTTCATTGGAAACGAGCAAGAGACGCATCGGCAGCCGAACAGCGATGGTATTGAATCTGTCTCGGCCAACATCGACGACAAGACTATGCACGAGCTCTACCTGTGGTAGGTAAGACCCGTGTGTTCTGACATCGGATTTTCATCTCTATTTGTTTTTATTGTCTAACAAGGAGTAGGCCTTTTCAGGACGCAGTCCACGCTGGCACAGGCAATATCATGTGCTCGTACAATCGAGTAAACAACTCCTACGCCTGTGCGAACAGCAAGACTCAGAATGGACTCCTGAAGACCGAACTGGGTTTCCAGGGCGCAGTCACCTCCGACTGGGGCGCTCTCCACGCTGGAGTAGCGAGTACCCTGGCTGGAATGGACATGGTGATGCCCAACTCGGACCTCTGGGGAGACAGATTGACAGAGGCAGTGAAGAACGGATCGGTGGCCGAAGGCCGGCTCGATGACATGGCGACGAGAATCATGGCCTCATGGTATCAGATGAAGCAGGACGAGGGCTTCCCCGAGCCTGGCGTCGGCATCGCGCCTGACCTGACTCAACCACATGATATCATAGATGCTCGAAATACCTCATCACGGAAAGTTCTGTTGGATGGTGCCATCGAAGGTCACGTCTTGCTCAAGAACATCAACAACGCCCTACCTCTCCAGAAGCCGAAACTTCTTTCCATTCTCGGCTACTCAGTAAGGAGCCCCGACCAGTGGAATTATAAGGCCAACGGCGGTGTGGCCGCGTGGACATTTGGGGGCGAATCATCATACTTGGGTCGCGACACGAACGCTGGATTTGCCGGCGAGTGGAATTCCAGCTTCTCACAGATAGCTCCTAATGGCACGCTGTTTAGTGGCGGAGGGTCTGGAGCGGCTACCCCTGCGTCGGTCAGCTCGCCCTATGATGCCCTCGCGCAGCGGGCATACGACGAGGGCACAGCGATGATGTGGGATTTCTTCAGCCCAGATCCAGATGTCGTGGGCGTTTCAGATGCCTGTCTCGTCATTGTGAATGCCTTCGCTTCGGAGGGCTTCGATAGACCTGGCGTTCGCGACGACTTCACGGACGGTCTCATCCGTCACGTTGCCGACAGATGCAACAATACCATTGTGATTTTTCACAACGCTGGTGCGCGCCTGGTCGATCAGTGGATCGACCATCCGAACGTCACGGCACTCATGTTTGCCCACCTGCCGGGTGAGGCGTCTGGTCGGGCTCTCGTCTCGTTGCTCTACGGTGAGTCGAACCCGTCTGGTAAGCTGCCCTATACAGTAGCGAAGAACGAGTCGGACTACGGGCACCTGCTGGCGCCCGATATAGGTGAAGGTCAGTATGAGCGGTTCCCGCAGTCCAACTTCTCGACGGAGGGCGTGTACATCGACTACCGTCATTTCGACGCCCAGAACATCACGCCGCGGTACGAGTTCGGCTTCGGGCTCTCGTACACGACGTTCGGATACACCAACCTGCAGGTCTCGGTGCGCGACGGCGCTAACGTAGACGAGTACCCCACGGGCGCTGTCGTCGAGGGCGGCCAGGCCGACCTCTGGGACGTCGTTGCGACGGTCAGTGCGGATATCACGAACACGGGCCCGGTGGACGGCGCCGAGGTGGCGCAGCTCTACGTTGGGATTCCGGGTGCCCCAGAAAAGCAACTCAGGGGCTTCGAGAAGCCGTTTGTCAACGTGTCGCAGTCGGCCACGGTGCATTTTGAGTTGAATAGGCGCGACCTTAGTGTTTGGGACGTGGTGGCGCAGAAGTGGTCGTTGCGGAAGGGGGAGTACCGCGTCTTTGTTGGGGCGAGCAGTCGGGACTTGCCGCTGCAGGGCACTTTGGCGATTTGACGGCTGCTGTAAAACTGCATGGTTTAGGAATCAGGAGTTCGTAGTGGTGGTCTTAGCTCGAATTTAAACTTCGTGATACCTCTTGGAGACAGCCGTGGACGGCATGGCATTGGAAGGCGTTGGGGTTTGAATTTGGTTCGGCAAAGGAAAGCCGTGGTCAACGTGGAGAAGCCGAAGACGTCTGCCGAGACAAGACGGCGGCCCCGATTTGAAATCAAATACTTTCACAGTCAGTTTTATTAGTTCTGCTACAGTACTTGCACAACTCAAACTACATAGCGGTAGGGATTATTAATAAGCTAACACGAAGACCTCCGCGGAGCGACCTACAAGCGGCTGAAAGTTTTGCGCCATAGACATGTCGGCCCGTTCCCCATGCTGTTACCAGAGGATCCCCGGCCTTACTTTATGTTCTAGCAATGGCTTTTCAACTAGGTATTATAGCAAAGTCTAATAAAGTTTACCCGTCTAGGTTAACAAGCAATTCCGCGGGAAAGACGGTAAGACCTCAACCACTCGGGCAGCTGCCGGGATGAATCGATGTCGGTTGGGCGCAGGTGCCGGAATGCATGTGACACTGACAACGAGTTGATGCAGGTAGGTAGGTCCCTGGAGCAAGAGAGAGGCAGGATGGAGGCAGGAAGGAAGGAGGCAAGACTGGAGTGTCACAGTCACAGGCGGGCGTCTGCCTGACCTTTTATCTCGGTTTGTCTCACTCGTTGTGTCTCACTTTATATGTACATATGGCCTGACTCTTTTGCAGGTCTTGTCCTTCCTACCCGCCATGCCTGCCTACCCGCCATGCCTGCCTACCCGCCTGCCGTATCCTGCAAGAGGCCCGAAACATGAACTGATGAAGAGGCTTGTTTCTGAATTATGCAGCTAACAATCTACCTGCTACAGATGTATGTACGTTCACCGTCAGACCGTCGATGACAGTCATGACAGTCCAGAACTAATGCACCTACTAGGTAAGCAGGTTTGCCAATGCCGAGTGGCCCCCGATGCTAGGTGCCCAGGTATCAACACTACTGCAGGCCACGCACGACCCCGGGCGGCCCAGGCCTGCCTCACGGTCCTGACCGGTGACTGGCTCGATCCACGAACCCAATGCCATGGATCTTGCTTTCTTGCTTCTTGTTAATTGCACCGCATGACGATGATGCCCGTACACCGTGTCACCACTCACCACTCACCACTCACCACTCACCACTCACCACTCACCACTCACCAGCTAAAGGCGAGAAAAGAAAATAACTCACGCAGCTGCCCTTCATCTCGCGATGCTGCACTGCAGTATCGGACGAGGTCATCACCGCTGCTCTGCTCAATGCTCATCACAGGCCTTTTCCGATTTCGGTCATCGAGAACCACTGAACCAGACGCAGTGGACGGACTGCACTGGAGTCTGGCCGTGACCGGGAAGGGAATCCTTCTAGATTAGCGAAGGCCGATGCCCTTTGCTTGTTATTTGAAGTCATGGCCCATTTCTCGTCAGCGGTCAGCCTCGCATGGCCAGCTTCATGAACTATATACAGCCACTTATAACTCAGGGCTACCTGGCTACATACCTACCTCACCGACTCCTGAAGTGATACTGCTTGGACGAATGGAACGCCACCAGCCTGAGCCAAGTGGTCACTGGTCAGGGTGTGGTCTGGACCCTGGTGGCGACGCTGGCGACGTTCTCTCGAGTTGCAGTAGCACCAGCGCCAGCGCCAGTGCCAGTGCCGGTGCCAGATCGGAGACCTACATGCCCCTACATGCCCCTACATGCCCCTACATAATAGTACCTCACTTGTCTCCTATCTCCTAGCCTGCCTCTTCATAACGCCTACTCCAACGTTACTAGCAAGGTTAGCCCGTCGACCCCTAGAGCCCTGATCGCGGGGATCTTCCAAGTTGATACGGGACGGCCACCGGGCAGATACCACGCCATAATTTCCCATGCTCTCGAGTCTCCAGTTTGTTTCTCGCTCCTGATTGCTCACAACTTCCGTCTTCGACCCGACAACGGCGAAGAAATCACCTGACCGATCCTCAACGTCCTGACAGCCTGAGTCGTTCCTCGAGCTCTGTTGTGTGGGACCGCGATCCAAAACTACTGTGCCTACACAGCCGACCAGACACACAGCCAGCCAGACAGCCAGACAGACAGCCAAAAGACATCGAGGCGGGCTCCCCTTCGACGCTGTCGTGTTCCACTGATCCATCATCCCTCCTCCCGCCCTCACAAGAGACCGGACTTGGCAGCATCCCCTCTGGCCGTCGCTAGCTGTTCGGAGCACCTTGGTCATACATACAAGTGCTGGCGTGCCTACTACAACGTTGCCTCCTTTACCCGAGACACCACCCAAGGTCTGACACTGCCTTGTGTGCTTGTATGCATATCGATCTTGATACTGTCAGAGAATCGCCCGCTCTGGAACCCCAGGACCTACATCAATGACTTTGCCGGATCCTCGGGACTACATCATACTTGGTCTGTAAGGCTGCGCCCACGCCCAAGACATTGTCCCCGTGCACACCACCCATCGCCACATCGGACTTGTCAAAGCAAGGGGAACGGCAGTGTGGTCGAGTGTCAACGTCCGACTCTGCTGCCGGCGTCGTCTTAGATACCTTGCCCCTAGGAAACCTCGGGTATTCCATCCATTGGCCCCTGCTTCATTCTGGCCGCCTACAGCTGGCTCCACGACACTCCAACTCCGGCGACAGCCATCATGATGCGGGCAGAACATATCTCATCGGTGCGGTCGTACGTGCCTGCGTCAGATACCACGTCGACGGCGTCGGGGTCTTCGCCCGGTCCATCACCCAGACGACAATGTTTCTCGGCAAGCTCCAGTACCGCTTTTGACAGCAACACCACTATGAATGGAAGGCACTTGATGCTCGAGGGCCAGGCGCCCAGGGCGTGTGAGAAATGCCGTGCTTCCAAGCGGAAATGCGACAAGAAGCTGCCCTTCTGCGACAGATGCACCAGGTATGCTCCACACCCGCCACGTTCCCCTCTCGTAAGGTGCCACAGGGCTTCTGCTGCTGATGTCCGACGAGCCCCTTTGGTTGCGTGGACAGCAGGAGTCGGGATGGGATCAGATCATATTCATTTATGCCTTGCTGGGAGATCCACCAGTGGTAAAAAGCTATGGCAACTGATCGGTTAGGACAGGTTGAACGCCAAATGTTATTATATACAAGACCCGGTCGTCAATAACCCGAACAACATTGGCGCTCAAGTCGTCCTGTTTCAGCATCACTCGCTTTCGAGCGACGCACTATTCGCCGGAGTTGAGCCGCTCGAAGGCATCACTATCTCGCAGATTCTGTCTCTCGTATCCCTGGATGCTGCTCAAGGAGAGTCGTCACATGTCGACTGGCGCTATTCGATAACGCTTTTCTTCCACTGCATCCATCCATGGTTTGCTGTTGTCCACCCGGCTTTGTTCAATCAGCAGCTGTGCCGGCTCCTCGCCATGCTTGATGCGCCTTCCCCTGCAGACTCACAGTCATCACCTCCTTATTCGAACAGCCACACCGACAACCAAGTAGCCATGCAGGCCACCCCTCCCGGGCACACCACGACACCTGATATGGTGCTCAAGGAGGTGGCACTACTCGTTGTCGCCATGTACCTTACCATTCGCATGCGGATGACCGACGCTGGCGAGCAGCACATGTTTGATGAGACGTACCGCACCGCCAAAAGGATGTCGGGTTTATTACTAGTTCGCTGCGCGGGCGGTCCGCTGCCGAGCATCGAGCTTGTACAATGCGGTGCCTTGATTGCGATGTACGAATATGGTCATGGTGAAATGGAAGCGGCATATCAAACTTTGAGCCAGATCATAGGCGTGGCTCGGGTCTTGAATATCAAGCCAGGCCAATTGCATGACAGCGGAGATGACGAGCCTATGTCGAATCTGGAGGAGGAGCAGAATGGTTGTCTCTGGTGGGGGATGTTCATTCTCGAACAGTGAGTTGAACACCTTTCACAGCATCGGCTGCGGTTTCCTGTACATCATTCCGGTCGCTATTCCGTTCCATGCTATCACCCCTTTCCGACTGTTGTCCTACAATGTTGACATCTTCCCAGATTCATACACCAAGATGAGACCACAAGGCACTTGCCGTTCATCCTGGAGAGCCCGAGCCCAAGTACCTTGCTTCCCGATACACCTCCTCTGACGCCATTGCCCAGTACCCTGGGATCCGCGCCACTCGATGTGTCACCCTTACGTTTGTCGGCACCGACGATCAACCGGCATCTGGGTACAGGTATACAGGTCGGCTCGAAACAGCTCGGCTCCTTCCAGCTGTCTGCCAAGGTTTCCAGCCTCTTCCACAGTGCCTTGAAGCTAGACAAGGAACGGGAGATGAGGCCGGGGAAAGTCCCCCTTATCAGTACATATGCGGCCTTGGACGACGAGATCAGGAAGGCGACGCTATCGCTTATTGGAGACAGCCTAGAATGGGAGACGACACTTGATTGTTTTGCTATGCTTATAAGGTAATAAACCTCCGGATGACGGGACTGGATTCTCCATTGCGTCCTGACGGCTTGAACAGAGTGCTGACGAGAACCAAATGTAGCGCATTGTTCGCATTGTACATACCCTACCTCCCCATCCTCGAGCAAACATCGCCGTCCCAGATCGAATCTTCACATGAGTTTACGGTTGCTCTGACGGCCCTCCGCTTCGCGTGCCAGATGTCCACCGACATATCATGCAAGATCAACGAACAGTTTAATGCGGCGCCGAGGTCCCCAGCCTTTCTATGTGCGCCCGCCGGCGCCACCTGCTACTTCGTCATCATAGCCTGGGCCAGCATGCTACGCATCTACCCGGAGGACAGCGCCAAGGGCCACGCGGCCATTGGTGAGAAGTTCGAGAGCCTGCTGCTGTTCAGCTTCCGTTGGGGCATTGCCGGTACGTTCACTCTTCGTCTCTTTCCGTCGTTTGCCCCTCGGCGACGAAGTAATTGCTTTTGGGCCCAGCCCTCCTGTTGCACGTGCCACAATATACACGGCGTTCAAGAAGGAAACATAAACTGACCGAGGTTATCCATCGCAGAGAAAATGATGAGCTCGCTCGAACGCAAGACGGGCCTCGACCGAAGACATTACCTCAGGAACACCTCGATAGCCCCGCCGCCTCGCATTAATAGCTACGACTTCCGATGACGTTACGGGCCCCTAAGACACGTGCAATATTTGGGTCTTGGTGATTGTATAAGGTGATTTCGAGCGGGCGGGGGGTTTAAAGGGGGGCGTTAATTGTCTGCCTTGTATATGGTGGCTTCATGCGCAACAGGCGCACGGAGGGAATCCCACTCAACCTTGGCGTTATTGTTTTTTTCTTGTCTTCGGAGCATATGTCTGCAGGCTGAAGGTTGAAGGGCATTGGAAACGCATCGGGGGATTTAGGACAGGCGAACAGAACGGGGGATAAAAGGGTACTAGGAGTTTACCCGGCGTGTCGACATGCACGGTTTCGGCCACGAGAAGGGATATGTAAGAGATTCGTCAATTGGATGCGGTGGATTGGACGACAGCAAGATGCTTGGTCCCCAAGGGGAAAATCAAAAAGGGGGAGAGGGGCTGCGGGAGAGACGGGATACCTAAAGTACCCTGCAATGGCTATTACGCCATCTGGAGTCATGATACCCAGGAGGGTTGGCTCCTGCTAGTCCAACATAAGTACCTATTTATGATGCTGCTTAGCCTTCCTGGCAAGCAGCAAGTGCGTTTGCACCATGTAGAAAGAAAGAAATCTTCAACAGACGCGAAAGGCGTCGATATATACTGATTATCTACGTAGTACGCGAATATACTACTAATTGTTGATGAGGATGATTGTGACTCGAGACAAATCTGCTATCTGTGACTTACAGGTTCTTTCCTGTCGCAGGAGGTGCGGGATGAATATATCAAGGGGTTTGGGTACTGTGACCGCTTGACTTGCTGCATCTTTATTGCGGCTACATGTACGTTACGCGACAGGCGAGTAAATGTCTAAGGTAGACAAGGTAGGTGGAAAGGTTACCTAACCTACCTACCTACGTAAGACAAGACTGGCCCGTAGTTCTGATAAAAGGAGACCAGAATGGTCTTCTTAGCAGCGTTCTGGTAAATACATCCCACGATATTACGCACTAATGCGGAACTTGGACTCATCAGCATGTTCGGATATTCATCCACGTGGTATCATTGCATCTTCTCTGTCGCCATAGTTCCTATTCATACATACAAGATGGGCGGCAGTCAGCATCGCTAAGAATAGTTCCGACGCAATGTGTTTTTGACGTAGTTGATATCTGCCCAGTGGGTATCGTGTCTGTACCAGGCCGCTCCAGAATACAACTGTAGAGAAACAAAGAAAATCGCCGAGCCCTTGACCCATCCATGCCTGACACCTACCCAGTATCGATGCACTCTGTCCCGACCCAGCTGGTATATATACAGATTTGGCGTTGATGCCTGCGCCGTCATGTTCTGTCCTCGAGGAAGATACCATCCTCATAACCCTCATAGCACCTGACTATCGTGATGACGCCGTGTTCCTATAGAGATATCCTACACTGCCTAGCCGTTGCTATACCGCGTCCGCCAGCTGAAGACCGTAGGAAAAAAGCGAGGAGAAAGCATCCATCCGTGTGAACGAATGGGACACCAAGCCAGTGTCATAAGCCGTTACTCCCTACCACGAGCACAAGCAACATCCCATTCAGCACGCATAGGGCTAAGAATGTTATCCACACGGCGGAGCAATACATGTACCCAGTTGGGAACTGGCGGTACAACATGGCGCCAAGCCCCATGCAAGCGCAGAACAGGCTAGCAACTGAGCCAACCGTTACGCCCGCGTCGACCTCGAGGCGCTGTCGATGCCGTCCCGTCGCGATCAGCACACCCGATATTATGAGCAGCACAAATGCGGCCGCGAATGCCAGGACAACGCTTCGGGTTAGGATGCGATCTCGATATATGGCCACTTTGTGGTGCACGAGGGCCGCCTCTCCGCCAAACGAGCGGGAGCCCAGGTGGCGTTGGTCATCGGACGATGTGTACTCCTCGTCGGTGGCTTCGGCATCGGTCGTCGGAGTGGTGGCTGGGCGGGTGATGCTGAAGTAGTCAGTGGGTGTGGTGTTGGAGTCTATCGTGGTACGGTTGTTTGTATGGCGGTTATTATTATTGCGATTGTCGTGGTTGAGTAGTGATTGCGTCTCCGGCGATGATGGTGATGCTACTATTGTGCTGCCGGAAGAAGCGGATGTTACCCGTGATCTCTTCAGCCAGTGCCGCATCTTGTCGACGGGCGCCGTGAACAGGGTCTTGATATACACGAGGCCCGGAATGTCGGCGCTCGCGTCGGGGTCGATGTAAATGGCGTACGCACCGTCGTCGTGGTCGCCGTAATCTCCGGCCTCGCTGCCGTGCTCGTATTCGTTCCAATATGTTGTAATGAGCGCCGGTGGTGTGTGAGCGCGTCGCCTACTGCCGCGGCGGGAAGGCGATCGGGATTGCGATAGTTCGGATGCGGTTGTGCCGACAGGCGATGCAGCCTCGAGGGTAAGGAGCAACTCTTGATACTGCAGCTGTAGTGGCCGAAGGTCCCGCGTCGTGAAGCTCTTGGGGGAACCGAGAACGTTCTCGTTGAACCGAGCGCTCAGGGTGGTGGAAGCGGTCCACTTCTACAAGATGCCAGGCACAAGTCAGTGATCTGTTTGTGGTCTCGTCTTGTTACACGATACGTGTTGAGTTATCCGTCCTGCATGACTGTGACGGGTTCCTACTCCTAGCGGTGGGTTGCATACCTTGTACTTCTTAAGGATCTTGCGAAAGGCGGTAACTTGAGCGTCGACAAACCTGGCCAGTGCCCTGGTATCCCGGCCGCACTCTTCAATTTGCGATTGGTATCTCGAGAAGCGTCGTTGTCGCTTGACAGAGACGCCACGGGAGTCGGCACATCGTATTATCAGCTGGTTTAAGAGGTCGGAGAGGTGACCTGCGCGGGAGTCAAAGTTTCGGTTAGCAACGCCAATGAGCAACATAGGTAGAACATACGTAGACGGCGGGCGATCTCATCGGCCTTGCTGGTGACAAAGAGATGGACGCGGCCGTGCTGGCTGCACAGCTCGTGGTAGAAAGCATTCTCGAACTTCTCGAGGGCGTGGTCCTGCTGGCCCGGGATTGCGATGGCGGTGGCCTGGGCCTTGGAGGTATGTGTCTTGATCTGGTGCTTCAGGGCAGTGTAGTCGATGTTGTGCAGACTCCAGCCCGGGACGGAAGCCTCCTCGAAGCGCTGGCCGTATTTCATATTATTTGCACGCTTGGCATGTCGTCCCCAGCCGCTCTCTCTTCTCCCTTCCTTTTCTTTTGTTTTCTCTCTCTTCCTTCTCCCTTGCGTCCAATTGGGTCGGCAAGTCTCAAATGTGGCAGTGCCTTTCTGCGTTATAGGAGGTGTCGGAGGTGTCGGAGGTAGGATGTGATGGGATGTAGGGCGCAACACCAGCTGAACGCGAGAGCGACTGGAGGTTGCAGGCGACGCAGCGCAGCCGCAGCGCAGCACATGCACAGAAGAAGTGGACGAAGGCAGTTGGCGGACAGGCGGAGTGAGCTGGAGTCAGTGGAAACTTGCAAGGTACGATGACATGCACTGTGGGTACGGAAAACAACCGTTTGATTCAAGGCAGGAACCTTCAGAGTCCAGGTGCAACCCGGCGACGGAACTTGGTGCAGATAAGAGTCTTATCAGTCGATGACCCTGTGGTTGAAACTTGATGGGTAAAAAGGAACAGAAATATAAGTTGCCATATTTTCGGAAAGGCTGGTGGTCTCTTTATTTACCGGTATATGTCCTGTTGGTCTAGAACCAGCGACAAAGAGACCGAGACACAGGTATACTACCTAGGTACCTACAGAGGCAGTACCTACATGTGTCAATTGGCGAATCAGCAGCCAGCATTGTCCACGTACGGTAACCCGTCGGCACCCTGCTGCTCAGCCTCTGCCTCCCGTCTGCCTTCCAGTCGCCCGCATACCGGTACTGGGTTCTCATTCGCCATTGGGCCCTCTTTGCCCTTCATTGGTGACCTGTGCTTCTACTTGCAGATGTGCCTATCTGGAGATCTGGATGACATTACGATTACTGATGAATACGGGATGCATACACCCGACCTCTCTGTCGTGCTACTGGTTGTTCTGCATGTGCCTTCCCGCCGACCCCACCGGGCAGCCATCCCGCCATCGTCGCACGCCTTCATTGGACGATGGGCCAGTGGAAGCTGGAGCTTATCTGCCTCCATTCTCGTGCTGGTCCAACGCTGTCGCGCGACCCCTTTCCCCGTTCGGCCGTCAGCGACCCCCTCTGGTTCTGTGGTTCTGTTCCTGGCGGGGCAGCGGCGTTGCATCTATCTCCTCTTGAGTCCTGTTCCATACCTTACCTTATGATAGAATGTCGGGCAGGCGCGTTGATTGTTGGGATCCTGGATAATAATTTGGGGGTTCACATGCCACTGCCAGGATCAGGCATAAACCCCACTCGGCGTAGACCTGAAGACATCTCGGACCGCAAGCTTCCAAAAGTCGCGACTGTCACATGGCAAAACATGAAGATAGATTCAACCAAGCCGCATAGCATCGGGCCCTGGGACCCATCTTGACTGAAAGAAATCAGGCTAGCTCTATCATGAAGATGAGCCTCCAGTTGAGTTAACCCGCGGAACAGGGGGGTATTGGAAGGTCGCTGATGCACGGCAGTAGTTTGCAGATGTCGGCATTGGGGACGCAGCGGGACACTCAACGACAGCAGACAACCTCCACCCTTGAGTGCTTCTGTACAGTAGGTATATTATCTCGAGGCCAGATGCCAACGTACATACCTAATGTTTGATGCATGTCGAAAAGGAAAGGGTTTTCACGTTGCACGACTTGACCGAGTGACCCAGACCTGTTCCGGTCCCCCGCTCGGCTTTAAGACGGGCCACCCCAGGGCTAAAACCTCCTCCGTTCGTCCATCTAACCGGAAACAACAAGGGCTCGAATCAAGTCCAATGACAAAAAAATATAAAACGTATAACACCGGGTGTTGAATAGGAGCCGGAGATAGACACCGGAAGATCTCCAGTGGGGCAGAGACGCACAGGGCATCTGACCCACCAAGAAGACAGATAATCAATCTCTGCACACAGAGCACAACAATCAATAGAATCAATCATCATCCGTGTATTCAACACCGGGGATTCGCTGGTCGTTACAGACCAAACTGTGGATCCCAGTCACTAGATCAGCCACTAGTAGCTTATTATATCTATTATCCTTTAGAAACAAATACGATAAAGTTATTTAAAATAGCTGCCTTAAATAACAAGTACCATTTTATTATAATTTATATATTGTGAGATTCTAGAAGGGTCACAAGCCTTGGGGGTGTGAGCGGTCGCTGCAAATGTTGTTGTCATTCTCAAGTATGCTCGGCAGGGCTAATCTACAGCTAAATACTATACTGCACCATGCCAGGATAGATCCACTGTTTCTTTGATAGCCCTTTAGTGGGTACTGTACCTAAGAGCACCATATCTGGGATCCAACATCTGACATAAAGGTTATAACGTAGTAAATAAGGTAGTTATTTTCTTATAATAAACCTTTTTTCCCCCGCTACGTGCGTTATATATAGCTTAAAACCGTGAGATTATGTTATATTTTTATTGAAAAAGTTAAATAATGCGTGCCGGACTTTTTATAATAATTGTTGGATTTATGCGATTCAACCTTCAAACGATCCATACCAGATCTACATGTATGATTAAATAAGAGATTAGATACCGGATTGTGAGGACACTTAGCCAGACCTGCAAGTCCAGCTAGACCTCACAATCCAACCATCAGCAACATCATGACCTTGACCCAATACTTGAGTATTATGATTGATCGTTCAAGCCTGTTTCAACATAAACTATATTAAAATTACATATGTTAAATATACTATATTTAATAACGTTATTATAATTACATGGTTGTAATATAATTATTAATTATATAACCTCTTTTTAAAGTTAATAAAGCTGCTCTTTTAAACAAAAGTTGCGTTATTTAGTTTGTTATAAGTAACATTTAATAAATAATACCTAATTTAGAATAATAATACTACTTATTTTCAAATACCGTTTAAATAGTTGTATTTTTTCTATCTCGTATACGTTAGCTTTTACCTTTTGAGCGAAGTAGCGTTTTATAAATAATACTTGCTTTTAAGTAGTAAGGTTATTTATTTTACATATTGCCTAGGTAGTTATATTTTAATTAAATCTATTGGCCCTTACTCCCTGGGCTGCGCGCAGCGCAGACTGGAGCGAGCTGATAAGTTTGTATAGATCTAACAGTGTAGTAGTTGTTACAAGTCTAGGCGACTTTGACCGGTGGCGACTCCGTTAAGTGAGGAGCAAGTATAGTCGGCGCGTCGATTTCATCTGACGGTTTCCTCGCCTGAACCTACCTATCATACGCTCGAAGCTAGACTATCCCATGCTGTAAGATATCTATAGCGTGGGTCTCGCCACTACGCTCGAAGAGCTTCTTTCGTCATTGTCGTTCCGAGTAATTCCTTTATATCAGGTGCTCCCATGCGAAAGAAACCGTGGAAGTTCTGGCCATCAAGAGCAATATATGCCACTGTTGGTCGTCATGGTGGCCCAGTACTGATCGGGCTGCATTTTGGGCCATGTGTTAATCTGTGTTATTAACGCCGCTCTTGGTATTTCTTTTCGATAAGTTAGCACTCTAACTAGACAAAGCGTTTTACGTGTCCCTCGAGGTAATAATTTGGTCCCCATGGTGACTGTCTATTTCGTTCCTGGTGTTGCTCACCCTGTCTGTTGTAATGAACCCTTTTCCCTAGAGGCGTATGTTCAGCTCAACTCTCCCTGAAATCGGCAATACCCCTCAGGCCTTTCATAACTTTCCACGAAACAATTTAGTCGACTTCCGCCAAGGCAGGTCGCAGCATGGTGTCACCCCTAACCACCACTACTACTACCACACTATACAAGCGAAACCGGCGCTGACGACTGCGACGTGGGACTCGCCTGCGGCCCATACACGTACGCGACGACTAGCCAGATACTTAAACTCAACAAGCAGCTGGCTCGCGGCAGTGGAAAACTGGTGCTTGACGTCCCCCCGAAATTCCAACACGCCGGGGACCCCGTCAGGTAGCACGGCCGATATCCCAGCCTCACGCACTCTTTAGAAGCTACGTAAATTAAGCGGCCTTGAAAGCGGTCAAAGTGACGTCTAGGGCGTGTCCGTGGAGCGGCATCAGACAAACATCTTCTTTAAGCCTCAGAAACTAGAAGACAGACCTCCGGACTGCTGCCTGGTATTAAAGGCTGCGGAAGCCTGCCGTGTCTCCCAGCTTACGAGTGGCGCTTGGGCGACTGCCGGACTGGGAAGATCTGAGGTTAGGTATGCTGGGAATATGAGTGTTGCACCATCCGGCCGCGGAAAAACAACAACCTAGTAATATCGTATGTTGACTCGATGTGAGCGACCGGGTTATATGAAGATTTATGTAGCAATCAATATGAGCACTGGAGGATGTCCAGAAGATGGAAGGTGCATTCGAGTGAACCGCGGGTTGGGGTGGACGGATCTTCCCGTCGCGTATGTGGATCTGGTCTGAGCTTCATTTCTTCCTCTTCCCGGACGCCTTCAAAGTCCAAACATCCGGCTGCCTTCTACATACGGAATCTCTCATTCCTTTCATAGTCGTTTCAGCGTGCAACAGACTCATTCACGTTTTTCATTCCTCTTCTCATCCTCGTTCTGTTCAATCTGTCTTTGAAAACCGCCATCTCTCCCTTGTTCCGTCACTGTGGCCCCCCACCACCCCCCCTACCTAGTAGCAAACGGCCTCCTCAACGCTCAGGTCGGTTGCCGTGGAAGACTACACCTCGCTCTTTGTTCCTGGACAGTCAATCGATACTCTTGTCCGTTCGTCACCGCTCACTGCGAATAAGTGTGCGGTTGATAATCCCGTCTTGTTTTTCTTCGTCTCAACCGGAACACCTCGAGGTCCGCGCCCACGATGTACAGGTGTCAGACATGTTCCGCTAGGTTCTACTCTAAGAGTGGGCGCGAGGAGCACATGGACGACTACTCCCACTGGCGGTGCGACTGGTGCGACCGTACATTCAGAACGGAACGTGCCTGCGACCAGCACATGATCACCACAGGCCACATGAAGAAGGTATTTCTTTACCCTTGCGACACCTGCAACGTGGTGTTCCGCTACGAGGACGACGCAGACGAGCATATGGAAGACCTGGACCACTGGAAGTACCCATATTCTTGCGACACCAACCTGACCTTCCGCCACGAGCAGCATGCGTACGAGCACATGGAGGAAAAAGGGCGCCATGGAAATTACTGCTCGGACTGTGATCGCCACTTCGTAAACGAGAACGCGTTGAAGATGGTAAGACGATCGATCGTCTGTCGTGTCAAAACTGACTACCCTACTGACATGCCCGCCAGTACATGAGATCTCGCACCCACCAAGGCACAACCGTCTCCTGCCCGTTCTGCAAGGTCAACCATGTGACCGCCAGCGGCCTAAGCCACTACCTGGAGACCGGTTCCTGCGCCAAAGCTCCTCGCCTGAACCGGGACACCATCCTCCGCATCATCCGCGAGCGTGACCCAAACGGCCTCATCACCAACAAGCAGCTCACATACCACGGCGGCGGTGGCACTACATCAACATACGAAGCCACCGATCAAGCCTGGAACGGCTCGTGCTGGGAATGCTACATGTGCCATCGTGGCTTCCGTACGTCCCATGCGCTGAACCAGCACCTGAAGTCATCGGCTCACCAGCAGAAGGAGTATCATTGCCCGAACCGGCGCTGTGGCAAGGAGTTCAAGGCGTTGGCCGGGCTGTTCAACCATCTGGAGAGCGAGACTTGTGCGTTTATGAGGTTTGAGAACGTGCAGAAGCAGGTCGAGAAGGTGTCGGGTGTGAATAAGCTGATTGCGTTCGGTTGAGCAAACATCACCATGGATCGGCTGAGGGTGGTAGTGACTTGAAAGGTGTACAGTACTGGTAGTTAACTATTGCACCTTGCACAACACATGGATACATCATCATAGATGACACGAGTTACCATATCACCGACTCACGGCAGTATGCTATACATCATCTACAGCTCATCTGGTGAGGCAAGCCCTAAAGCACGACGCCTGGTCAGTGCGTCTGCATCCAAGTACTGACGGCAAAATGGGGTCATACGTGGTGAGTTTTTCTTTTGGCACGAATCTCGATCTCGAAAGAGGAAGCCTGTCCGTAGATCTGGTAGTAACCAGATGATTCGGAAGAGACCGTCCTTCTCGCCCCCTCACATAAGACCAGAAGTAGAAATCTGCAGTTTGGATACTCTCCCGGCCGAGTCTGAAATAAAGCAGATCGAAGCCTAGTAAGCCCCGACGGAGAAGATGGAACCATAGCCATATATGATAGCAATGTAAGTTGAAAGTCGTAAAAGCTCTTAAAGGATTGCTGGAGTTACATGCGAGTATTCTGGATGGAAGGTGACCCGACGTTCCCACACCAGAAGTACCATAGTCACGCTGAATGTGAGGACATCTCACTGGGAAGAAAGACTGACTATTTACGTTCTGGATTTCCTTATATATTGCAGTGTGAGTCGACATTCGCGCAATCATGGCAGGTCATAATATCATGGGACGTACTTATTTTGTTAGATACAAGAACTCAGGCTTGGGAGCATTGTCTAGCTCGTGGGTGACAGCTACTACCCCTTTCCTACTTTGGCGCATTGGGCTCTTCGAAGCTGATCTTCCCCTGGCTGATGTCGGGGTAGACGTCAAACCGCCTCTGGGTCGTAATGGGGATGTTCCTCCTCGTCTCGTCAATCTTGGCACCGTCGAGCTCCCACGCAACTGTCGCCTCCTTCTCGTCCGCCTCGACCGTGACCTGGGCCATGGGGTCCACGATCAGGCTGTGGCCCCAGGCGTGGTAGCTGGCGGTCGTGTCGCGCGCGGGGCTGCACATGGCGACGTAGATCTGGTTGTCCATGGCGCGCGCCTGGCCCTGCAGCCTCCAGTGCAGCGGGCCGGTGGTCGTGTTGAAGGCGCCCGGGTAGACCAGCGCGAAGCAGCCCCGGCGCGCCGCGATGGTCGCCAGCTCCGGGAACCGGACGTCGTAGCAGATGGCCACGGCGATGCGGCCGTAACCCGGCAGGTCCACCAGCGTCACCTTGTTGCCCGGCGACAGCACGTCGCTCTCGCGGAACGTGATCTTGCCCGGGATGTCGATGTCGAACAGGTGCACCTTGCGGTGGCTCGCCAGCAGCGAGCCGTCGGGCCCGAATACGAGCGACGTGTTGTAGTACTTCTTGGACGCCGGGTCCGGGTCCGTCTCCGGGATCGAACCCCCCACGAGGAAGGCCTTGGCTTCGGCGGCCATGGCCGAGAGCGCGTGGTACGAGGGCGATTGCTCTTTCGACGGCGGGCTTGGGAGGAGTGTCTCGGCATAGGAGGGGAAGTAGTCGCATCCGTACGGCGAGTTGAAGCACTCGGGCAGCACGATCAGCTTCGCGCCGTCCTTTGCTGCCTCCAGAACCTTGTCCCGCGCATGCGACAGGTTCGCAGCTTTGTCGGCGCCGCTGACGAGCTGGATGCAGGCCAGCTTGAGGGGCTTCTTGAGAACGGGCGAGGTGGAGGTCGCCATGGTGCGTTTGAGGAGATAGCTCGAGAGGATGGCTCTGAGAGGCTTGGAACTCGGGGCTGGACTTGCGATTGAAGACGGATTGACGAGGGACTTGGCGAAGAGACTCAGAGTCCTTGTGAAAGGTCTCATGGTGATCGCATCGTGTCGCATCGGCAATTGAAGCCTGCGAGATCGGGAGTCTGTGGAGGTTTACCTTTACGGTCGGAGGGGATGGCCGATGGTGGGATGCTCCCCTGATAGTGGATTATCGCCCACTGATCGGACTCTAAGTCCGCTGTGGCCGACAACCTTCGGCCTCGCTGACGGCGATAACGTTGGCTGGCTTTGCCCCTGAGTTCTACGAGCTTCATCCTCCAGTGTCCATGGACCAACTTTTCACCCATAATAACTCAACCCCCTTTGGAAGTCTGCCCCCTTTGGAAGCCAGACCATACCATTGTCCACCGCAGGCGATTGCATGTCATCGATGTGCATTAGTTGTATCTGAGCTATGTGAGTATCCGGGCTCGATACCCATAGACCGCCTCAGTCCTGCGGTTTCAACTGTACTTGGCGAGCATCTCCGAACAGAATTGGTTGTCCTCATTTGAGCCGCCTCAATAAGCATATGCAACTAGGCATCCTGTGTAACAGTTGATGCTGTCGAAGAGCCGGCCTCATGGAGAAGTATGCCTTGCCAGCAGCATAGCACGACAGGAGACGACCCAGTTTTTGATCTCACGCATCCGAGGAGTCCTGCCATGCACGGCGAGGCAGGGGCTACCCCATAGAAGCACGATAATCGAGACAGGTTGCTACCAGTCACAGCTCCTCCCCAGTAACTCTGCCAGTTTCTCCAGATACTGCTGATCCACCTCGTCGAACCCGTTGGGCTCCGCGCAGTCGATATCGATGATAGCCACGAGCTTCCTAGCCTCGCCCTCGCCCACGACAATAGGCACCACGATCTCGCTCTTGCTGTCTCCGTCGCATGCTATATGGCCGGTGAATTTCTCAACATCCGGTACCAGCTGTGTGGCCTGAGTCGAGGCCGCCGTCCCGCACACTCCCCTGCCGAAGGCAATGGTCTGACAGGCCACCTTCCCTTGGAACGGGCCTAGAATGAGCTGCGGCTTGGTGGTCTTTTGAGGGTCAAGTGTGTAAAAGCCTGTCATTCAAGGTTAGCCTCTAGGAATAGGGATATGCGGGCCAACCGGGGTTACTACCTGCCCAGTTCACTTGACTGCTTCGTGACGGTAGGGACTTGAAGGCATGCCATAATAATGAGGCAGCATTCGCCAGGTTACTTCGAAGCACTCATCAGCTTAGTCCTTGCAAAGCAGCGACTGGTACGCTCCGGGCGACGCTCCTAGACGTACCAGACCTGATGTGAAGACGTGAGCATGATACCGGCAATTAGGGATAGGGGATATATGGTCTAACCCAGTTTCTCTGGCCCTCGAGGAGACCTTCAGCCTGCAAAAGAACCTGTGTGTACGCCTGCTCTTTCGACACACCTTCGGCAAAGGTGGACGCGTCGGCATGTACCTGGGGAGCACGTGTAAGGATCCATGTTGAGAGGAGGGTATATCTGGACTGGTCCGCACCATCTTCGAGACTGACTTGGGTCGCGACAATCTGTGAGCTGGATTAAGCAGAATTTAGTACGCGTAATGGCATACTTAGAAAATAGAAAGCACGCGATGCCGAGATCCCAAGGCTCTATATCCACTAAGGGACTAGCGCGGCTGGCGTTAGGTGATTGGTTACTAATTACTAAGGTAAGGGAGTGTAAGCTCCCCTCACGACACTCGATGACAATGTTATCCGTTACGAGGCTGTATAACACAGATGGTATTCTACAGTAAAGATTTCTACACGCCATGCAAGGGACCGAGATCGGTACTGACCGTTATCGAGAATGTGCAATATAATAAGTTCCATCTGCCCCCTACAGACATGGGACCCTTTATCTCCGTTAAAGCCACACATATAGCCCAGTGTGCCCAGCTAGGTCGCTTTCTGGTTCTTGCCTCTCCTGTCGTCCCTCTCGGAGCGTATACGGAACACATACATTCAACACTCACACATACTCGTCACGGCCAGCTCATCGCAGGATGCCGACCAACAAAAGCGCCAATGACGCCCTAGCCGGGCTGGCGAAGGGTGGTGAGAAGCTAGGTCTGGTCGTGGGCGGAAAGAACATCGAGCCCGGCCAATACATTCCCAAAGCTGGTGTGCCTGTCAGAAGTAGACCTTGACAATTGGCTGACCTGAGTGACAGAGGCACAAACTGCACCAGAGATCTCCCTCCCCAACGCTGGAGGCGAGTACATCGTCGTATCTCTCGACATGGTAAGCTGACAGTTCTCTACTTTTCGGTCAGTAGCTCACTGAGCCCTGACACGCCACCGTGGACTTCTAGGACGCACCCTTCCCATCCTTCAACCTTCTAGGTCCCATCCACCACTGGACCCAGCCCGGCTTCACTCCCACCACCCCCGGTGAAGCTGCGCTCTCTTCTGGAAACACGCCATTCATCGCCAATTATATCGGTCCCGCGCCACCCCCCGGCAGTGGGCCTCACAGATACGTTTTCTTCCTCTATCAGCAGCCCGAAGCCTTCGACGGCAAAGCATATGCTCCTCCGAATGGGCAGACGGTGCCGAACATGAAGCGGATGCGGTATGATCTGGATGACTTTGAGCAGAAGGCTAAGCTAGGCCCGATTGTGGCTTGCAACTACTTCACTAGCAATTGAGGTGGACGACGGCGACACACAGCTGTTGCAGTGTGATACCGCTGAACTTATTGAATGCAATTTGCCGCTCTTGACGGTCCGCATATCCTCGAGACCCCTCTTGCCTCATCTGGACTTCTGGTGCATTACCTACGGATGAAACCCAACAGACAATCAATACCTGATGCACGATCCCGTCTCTTGCTGACCAAGGGTAGCACTCCATAGCCGTCCCGTCTGCACTTGAAAGCTTTTCCCCTCTCCTTCGTGTCCAATGGTCCTCATGTGCCCCAACAAGACACTCGTGATCGCCGTCTCTCGAAGACGCTCAAACCTCGCTTTCATCCGTAGTAGCCCACCTGGGCCAACACCATGAACCTGTGCTTGATTACATCTAACGGTAAGTGTATACCACATTCGGGCCGTATGGCGCAATGGTCAAATGCGCTTGGTTGTGTTCTCGTTTGTGCGGTGGGCGACGAGAACAAGTGGGTTCGAATCCTGCTACGGCCCCCTTTCTGACCCGGCTTGTGCGAGTCGACAACCAGCACACGACAGTAGAGAGGCCCCATTATCACAGAGCCCGATAGCCAAGCAGCTTGTCTCCATAATACACACTCCTGCAAGGTTTTTCCCCTTATGGTTTCTCTCGCCAACAGATAACAAATACCTATTTCATCCACCAATGCGACATATATCGAATGGCTACTGGAACGATGTGTACATCAGAGGACTGAGGTCCACTGGGTCGCTTTGTCACTAGACAGGAGGTTTTTCTGACAGAATCGTGCTTGGGTATTGACTAAAAACCATCTGGACACTCCAGGTTGGTACCGCTACAGCGAGGATAGGCTCATTCGCGGATCTGAATGTATCTAGACTGACACCTCTACAACCTTGCGATGCAATGGCTCTGGGAGGCGTGGTTTGCCCTGTTGATGGACTGCACCCACGATAAATAAAATCAATCAATCAATCAATCAATCAATCAAGTATACCACATTCGGTTGCATTTGCCCGTGGCTGATTACTCAATGAGAGCAAGCTTTGCTACGAGGTCGCCAGAACCGTCGAGAGACTCAGAACCAGCTAAACCTGGGATGGAAGAGGACAAGTTCAGACATGATCCCCTGGACCTCCGGCGACATGCATTTCGGCTGGTATGCCTCCAGAGAGGCACGGCATCCGAGATTAAGTGTGAGCTCATCCACACAACGCTCGATGGAAACGTCATCCCTTACGAGGCTGTGTCATACACATGGGGCTCGGCAGTAAAGACGGACAGCGTCGACATCCAGGGCACGAGATTGCGCGTTACGCTGAACCTATGGAACATACTTCATGGCTTGCGACACTCGGAAACAGACCGCTATCTGTGGATCGACGCCATCAGCATCAACCAGGACGATCCCCACGAGCGAGGGCACCAAGTCCAGCAGATGGGACACATTTACAGCGGCGCTGAACGTGTTATTTTCTGTCTGGGAAGACCAACAGACACTTCTCATACTGCTATGAGTACTCTAGCTGAGTTACAGAAGGAAGTGTCCGGTAATCGTTGGGCACGAGAAGACAAGCGGTGGGATACAGCTTGGGAGACAGTACGGGCCAGACTCCGGGACCGGCACTACGATTTAAGCCACAGGCAACGCCTGGGTATGAATTACATCTTAGAAGGTCCTGGTTTCGCAGAGTATGGGTCTTGCAAGAAGTGGCCAACGCTCGCACCGCCTTGGTTTACTGCGGCACCGATTGCGTCTCGGCACGAGTGTTCGCGGTTAGCCCTCGGCTTTTCAGTGTGAAACCAGACTCACACTGTCAAGCGGTCCTTGACATGATGCCGAAATCATCCACAAGCGTATTGGGTTGGATCCAAGACCGCAGTCTCTACTCCCTTCTCAGAAGATTCTCAGGCTCAGAGGCAACCGACGAACGCGATCGGGTATATGCATTGATTGGGCTATGCACACCGCCAAGTTCTCTGTCGGTGGACTACACGAAATCCGTCACAGATGTCATTGGCGACACGATGGTGAACATGTTCCCTACGAAGATATGGGGTCTACCGAAAACTCCTATCTACCTGATGGACAACTTCTTGGCTTACCTGGAGAGCATCGACTCCGATCTTCTCCTTTCTCATATAAGGTCATCAAACACGAAAATGGTACAGTCACTTCTAAGGTCGCGCGATTATATCAGGATCACTAGTGAGATGGCATCGGCCGCCGCGGTGGATGAGACACAAGGCAAGGAGATGATTGCGATTCTTCAGCTGCATGGGAATAGGATAGAAGTCACCAGTGACGTTCTGCAATCTATAAAAGGGAACCAGAACCAAGGAAAGAAGATCATGGAATTCCTCATTCAGCGACAGGGCATGGAAGCTACCTTCACAGACCTGTCTATCCTTCGGGAGACTTTGCTATGGACGGCCGCGGATGGCCATGACATGATCCTTGGCCTATTGCTGGATGAAGGCTCAGACGTTGAGACACAGGATAGAACATTTGAACGAACCATGCTCGCACAGGCAGCAGCCAATGGGCACTTCGACGCTGTGCGTACTTTGCTGGATGCAGGTGCTTATATTGACTCCAGGGATTTAAATCAGAGGACACCATCGTGGTTGGCAGCAGCAAACCGCCATGAAGCCGTACTTCTCCTGCTGCTGGATCATGGTGCGGACATCGATGTCTGGGATATTCTGGGCGAAACAGCCTTGTGCTGCGCAGCAAGAACAGAGAATGAGAGAATGGTCCACTTGCTGGAGGAAGAGGGTGCCGCAATAGAAGCTGTGTTTTCTTATGACCATGGTCTGGGATACAGAACAGCTCGGGATGGGTATCGGCAACCCGTCAGCCTCTCGATGGACGATGGCACCCGCATGAATGTTAGGACAGATCATACCTGGACGCCGCTATGGAAGGCAGCAGCGAGCCACAACGAAGCTGTCGTCCAGCTACTGCTGGCAAGGGGTGCACACATCGATGCCATGAATGGCGTTGGGCCTACACCTCTATCGATGGCAGCCGGGGATAGTGACGAGACAATTGTTCGGCTCCTACTCGACAAACGTGCGAATATCGAGGCGAAGGACGGTTTTTTTGGCTTCACACCGTTGTCATGGGCAGTGAGGGAAGAGCGATCTGCGGTCGTGCAGTTGCTGCTGGACAGGGGCGCTGATCCGGGAGTAATCGGTAGTACGTCACCGGTGCAGCTAGCATTGGAGAGTAACGATTTGGATGTCAGACGTCTATTTGGGTTGGAACGCCGAAAAGGATCCAGCCATCAGTCTAGTAGACGGCCTAGGCGGTAGGACCACGAGGAACTTCAACAGGCAGTAGGGACCGTGTGAGGATCGACTATTACCCGACTCGTTATCAACAATCCCTACGATCCTGATTTTCCAAGTGACTTCGACATGAGATAATCCGCCTCTATACTTTCCGCCTACGCATTTGGGTCCGATGAATGAGTAAGCAAGCTCACCAGATGCCAGCTAGTGCTGAGCCTAGAGCGTGTCTCATAGTCGAGAAACGGCATCTCTTGAACAGGCACGACCCCTTTAGGCTAAACCAGACGCCAGGGCTAGCCAATCACCTTTGGGGTATGAGCTCACGGTACTGGTGGCTTTCTTAGAGATGAAGACGGCAAGCACACACAAGCCTCGATGGTTGAATACCAGGGCCATGGGGACATGTCAGGTCAGATCGTAGTGCCTCTACTCTTACGTCCATTTCCTTCGTGTCCGACTAATCAATGCATGGAGTCACGAACAGACTAATGGCGAGGTCATGGTAGCAATATCCTCAACATCGAGTGTGACTTGCCCAATGCTGTACCGCTGTATTGATGCTATCCTAGACCGTAGCCGCCCGACTTCTCCCTAAAACCTTGATATGAGCCTGCCACCTCTCCGAAGACCAACCCATCTGTCCTGTCAGACTGTGATGTACAGCCTTGTGAAGAGATCTTAGCAATTTCTCACTCAATTTCCCTTCGCATCGAGTTCGGTGCAGTTGTATACGCCCCATCGAATATTGTAGCTAGCATCCTTATAGATGCCCTTGTCGTCGTGGACGTTACAATGCATCGTACCGCTACGCGTGACGGTCGAGGTAGTGTCGTCCTCGGCGAACCCCGCCAGCTGTCACAAGGCCGAACCATGTGGGGGGGGGGGGGGGGGGGGTAAATGGTATGTTGTTCTGCAGAGAGGTGCAATACTAGTCAGGCACGGAGGCCATGTATATGTACATGAAGGTTCTTTGTTCTCCTGGATGCTTCCTGACACCAGCACCGTCGACAATAGGTCGCGCAGATCCGTTCCGCCGATGACGAACTCCTTGTACTTGGCGATATCGCCGGCGTCAGCAGGGCGGATCCCGAAGTAGCAGCTCCCCTTATCATTTGTCCACGCCATGGAGGTGAAGTGGTCGGTGTCCTCTTGGCCCATGCCCTCGTACCAGTCGTAGTTCTCGAAGGCAAGCACACTTCGGCAAGCCGCCACGGAGGCGGGCGCCATGTCGAGAGCCTCGAAGGTTGAGTCGCCGCATACGTTGATTTTCTTGGGGGGCTGCCGTCCTTGGGGGGGTTGATGGCGGATTTGCCTTGGGACTGTTCGGCGGCGATGAATGTAGGGGTTTGCAGGGCAAGCATGGATATGAGTAGCGTAGCCCAAGCCATCGTGATCGTCTTGAGGTGAGAAGTTTCTTCTTGTGCGACAGCGTCTCTTGGGTAGGTAGAGTTGTGTCTTGAGGTGTATGATGGGTTATGTCTTGGGGTGTATGATGGAAATCTGAAATGATGAAGTGCTTGATGAGTGTATTGGTATCTCTAAAAGAGGGAATTTCTGTGTGGGATCTGCGCGAGCATGGCAGTTATATTCATATTGTTCGCGGGTCCTTTTCTTTGTTCCTTTTGCATGGAACGGTGTTGGTTGGGTCTGGGGCGAGATTTCGCCGGCGAGTCCCCCAACCAACCTCCCGCATGACGTGGATTTCGCACCTGCGTAGCAAACAGCGCCATTGAATGCAAGTTAAGAAACATCGATAACCTGAGCGACATTCCCCGAAGGCCACGTGCCTTCCAAAGGTAGACACCAGAATGATGGCATGCTGCATGGCCCAGGATGTCCAATGCTTGATGGGGCGACATGAATGATGCATTCCCCGTCGATGTTTCGCTGCGGTTAGACTGGTTTCACTTCGACGTTGACTGTCTATCCCAAGGTGAATGACAGAGGAGAATGATATTAGACGCGTCTGATGTGGCTCATCTCAACACAGTGAAGCTACCTAGTTACCCCTTCCATAATAGAATGCCGCCGACATATTTCTACCTCCATGTCTGCATCCAGGAGAGTTTAATCATTGTCATATCTTCAGCCCACCCAGCTTTAGTTTGATCTGTCCGATTCCTTCTCAGTCTTTCAACTTGCCTCGGAGTGCGACGCTAGGTTATTCCTCGTGATCAACAGCCATGAACCTGAACAGGGACGCGCCATATAGACTACCATTTTCGAGATACCACAGCTTCGCCGTCGGTAGAGTCCAGCCACGAAAACCATGCTCGAGCATTTATCGTCTCCCCTTTAAGTTGCACACATAAGCCCAAATCTACTCGTAGACCTATGTCTCCAGGTACTGTTCTGTACTTCAACACGATTTTCACTGACCTTTCCGCTAGTCTTTCGGCACGAGCAGATAGGTACATCACGATGTGCTGTTATGGGACCGGTCGGATGATCTTTATAGCACAATGTGTTTGAAGTTATGCGACCCGAGTGTATTGATACTGTGCGTCCCGGAGCGCATATTGCAATACGTCCAGCTCGAATCATCTCTAGTAAGCTATGATCTATCACCTTGTCACCGTCCTGTCCGAGTCCTGTTACTAGTCCGAGTCGGGGCAGATCACTTGCCAGTATCTGCGGCGCCACCCATGGCATGCAATTCCCATCATTAGCACTGGTGGCTGCCCAATGCATATCGCCAATCCCGTTATCCTTCTTTACGAAATACAGCGCACAATCTCCCTAGTCTCGTGTTATGAGACCCTGCGGCTCTTGTCTAAATTTCGGCAGTCGTTCCGGTCTATGCTGCCAGTGCCGCTCTCGTCGAATTCGTTGTCGCCGTTACAACCATGTTGGGAGGCAGTACTGTAGCTCTTGATTTCCCATGCCCAGGTGGCGGATGCCAGCGCGGTCCACAATGATAATTTGGCGAGCATTGCTGTCGTTGATGAACGGGGAGCCGGTTGGGATTGTGTGAAGTATCGATGCCTGATTCCGAATGTGTGAAGAGGGCGACAGGTAGACTGTAAGAGAGCGGTGTGTCTAGCTTGCGCTGGAGTATGGATCTTGTTGGCAGTGCGAATAATACCGTAGGCTTATGGGATAGAAAAAACGATGGTAACGTGGGTTGCTTCCCCTTCTTCTATCTTATAACCAACTAACTCATGTGTATTATAGCTTGATGGACTCGGTCATCGCGACGTAGGTGGCCGCATGATGTCGTCAATTGGCCATTAATAGAACACTCTTACTTTTGGTGACCTTTAAGGTTGTAACATTGCTACCTGCACATCGCAGATAATTTGAATCATATCATTACAACCTTGCCAATTGACCATTAATAGAACCATCCTTACATTCGGTGATCCTCACGGATATCCATGTCCATGGGGCTGTTGCCTTTTTTCACGGATAGCACTCGGCCGATGGACAGCCTTGAGATGTTATACTTAGCCGATTAACTCTGAATACAGGAAGAGAAAAAGACGTGCTGCCATAACAGACGGGCGTTGTCTTCATTTGCACCTAGGCAAATGCTTGCTGGTGGGATCGTACTAAGACATTGCCAGCTAGCCGCCTGACAAAAGACCAAATTAAAGCCTGCTGTTTAGCAACTCAGAGTCCACGATGGCGAAATCTACTACGGACCGCTAAAGGACGGGAAATATGACTTTTGCGAAGGATGCAGGCATCCACTTCCCACCTACTTCCAGGAAAAATGTCATCCCACGCAGAATATAGCGACTCTTGGCCCGATCCAAAGACGATAATACCGGCGGGACTGTTCCGGACCTTGGCCACCTCACACCGATGAGAACATTTGGGCTACATCGACACTACTCCAGCAGGATCCAGACTCACGTTCCAGGACGGAGATCCCGACTGAAGACTTGGATTTCTTGTCAATGAGTCCAGTCTGTCAGACGCCGAACCCAACGCGATGAGTTTGTGCCCACTCCGAAGACGTTGTCCCTCAGAGGAAAGTCTGAATGCTTAGTTAGCCAACCTCACTCAAATGCGTGCCCAGACAGCCGCGAAGGGGTTGCGACTTGCGAGACATTAGTAACCCGAATATAATTATAGTGCCCTGAGGCCAAGATGAAGTAGTTGGCCCTGCTTCAACAAATCTGCAGGTATCTTTTTGCGGCACTCATCGTCATCCAAACTCATGACACAGCATGGAAACTGTGCGTGGGTGACCTTTTACCTCTTCCGGCCCCATCTAGAACAGGGAACGAGGAAAGGAGTAAACTTAATATTATGGCACACACTCACTTCAATGCTTGATTATCTCGTTTTATCACAACTCACGGTATGTGGAGCTGGTATCTCCCGGGGGCAGCTGTTCAATCGCGCTTGTTCCACGCAAGGCTCGTTCCTCTGTTCACCAGGACGGTTTCAATTTGTAGCTATGACTGCCTGTGACTGTGGCCTTTCGCTGGCTTCGTCTGGGTTCTTCAGAGTTACGTTGGGCCGGCACATAGCCTAGAGCCAATCCATCATTATCAGTACTTGTTACGACACTTTGGGACACCTTGATGATTCCGTCTCCAGAATTATTCGGAACTATGAGAAAGTCAAATTCGACGAAGAATCGTGAAATTGGCTCACTGATGATACCAATGAAGCGCGATAAGTGTCCCGGCCCCAGGATCTTGCGCCGCCCATCTGACTGCAGGCATATGTAGGTTCTCTCAGGAGGTTTCGTACTTGCATTAGGACAGCGACGTAGAGTCCTCGACGAACTTTCCATATCTGACCTTCTAAACTGAAACCACAGCAGTCATGGCCATTGACGCACGATGTGAGATAGGCCGACATTACCATCGAGCAGACGCCATTGGCAGCGTTAAAGTCGTAATCCTGTGACTCGGTGAAGTGTTGTTAACGATGTAGGACGTTGATCCATTGTATATCATCCCATTATAAGTGATGGGAACACACGTGTGATTTTGACTCCCCGCTGTCGCAGGTGTTATCCCAAGCAATCTGCGATATTTTTCCACGTCTCGTGCAGCTGCATGACCAACCACGTTATCTCCGAGGAATCGCATCCTCATTTTGGTTGGCCATGGCGGACCTGGTTGCATGTGATAATAAGCTGCAAGGTGAGCCCGAGAGGCCGACGTAGACCTCCAGGAAGGATGGATGCAAGATATAAAAGAGGATGGACAGGGCCCGGGAGGTGTGGACTGCCTTCCCGCCAGCTCGGACTCGATCACCGGGCCGCGCTGACGGGAACAGAGGAAGGACCTCAAAAGGTGCGTCTGCAATGGCGGGAATGTACAGGTACATAACAGCATCATGGCACCACGGGCATGGTCCCAGCTGCCAGCCACGCGGGCGAACCTTATATTGCACGGGGAGTAGGGACCGAGAGTAGGAGTCTAGGGGACTGGCGGCCTCCATCAGTGCCTGCCCGTCAGGCCTCTCATAACATCGTTTTGTTATGATACCTAGCGGGCCACGTTCGGTTCGTCCCGTCTCGTGTTCATTCTTCACCCATCTCATCATCTAGAGGCCGTCCTGACTCAGGATCCCCGACTCCTTGGTTTCCAGGGCCAACGTTCTGTGTTTTCCATCGGCACTTAGCTCTAAGCTCTCGACCGCTCAGGCTGGCATTCTGGTCTGTTCTCGCGCCGCCTACTGTTACCGCCACAGGTGACGGGCTGTCTGTGGCCTTCTCCAACCCATCATGAGTGATGGTACCAGTTCGGGGTCGCACTCGCCTGTTGCTGTACCCCCTGATTTCTTGTTCCCAATTGCAGCATCCCCTCGTCAAGATGATCAACTAAGTTCTTGGAGTGACGCATGTCGCCTCACGACGCAGCTAGGATACCTTCACTGCTAACGCCCCGTCAGGAAGAAGAAGACGATGAGCCGGCGCACGAGGATCATCAGGGCTCGGATAAGATACCTTCAATACCGTGGCCCCGTTTGGAAGACGATAACGATGACTCGGCGTTAGGAGACGACCTGTGCGCCCCCGAATAGATAATTGGTTGTGGTGGCCGGAGGAACGTTATGCTGACTAAAAATCTGTAACAGCCAGATGTCGACTGCGTCCGCGTCGTCATCCATCTTCCACTATCGCATCCTAAACGGCCGTACCTACTATAGCGAGAGGTTTGGAGAAGACAGGTACTGGTCGCCTAACGATGAACGGCAGAGTGAGGCCATGGACATGATGTGAGCTTGTGGCCATTCACGCGCAGCGTTGACTCCAACTCTGACCAACATGGACTTTAGTCACAGTTTCTTGCGTCTTTGCCTGGACGGAAAACTGCATCTCGCGCCTATCGAGGACAACGTACAAGTGAGTGCTCGCACACATCATGTGCTGCTAGTTCATGACTAACTTGCTCTTCCAGAAAATACTCGACATTGGGACGGGAACAGGTGAGCATCTCGCCGTACTGCATTCGTTGGGCCGCTACTCACATATAAATTAGGAATTTGGGCCGTGTAAGAATTACCGCGGGTATCTTCGGGTTATACCGCGACTAACAAATTTGCTCTGCAGGGACATGGCAAAAAACTACGCCGGCTGCACATTCATCGTGACAGATCTGTCGCCGATCCAGCCCGAATATATGCCGCCGAACGTCATAATCGAGATCGACGACGCGGAACTGTTGTGGACCTGGCACCCGAGCAGCTTCGACTTCGTCCACATCCGCTACCTGATCGGCGCCATCTCGGACTGGCCCAAGCTGTTCAGGCAGGCCTACGCCGCGCTCAAGCCGGGCGGGTGGATCGAGTCATACGAGCCCGAAGCCGAGTACCACAGCGACGATGGCACGCTCGAGCCGGACTCGGCCATGGTCAGATGGCAGAGACTCTTTAAGGAAGCCGGCAAGAAGACAGGCCGTCCGTTCACCATGATCTCGGATAACATCACGTCTGATGGCATCCGAGATGCGGGTTTCGTTGACATCCACACCGTGGATTACAAGGTGAGATACGTGCTTCCTACAGTAAAATCAAAGGGTTCTCGCAGCGAACCTTCAACGTCTTTGCCCCTTGCCGAAGGGCCTGCCAGACTTGTTAACATGATCGCAGATACCAATCGGCTCGTGGCCCGAAGACCCCAAACTGAAAGAGATCGGAAAACGGGCTGAAGAAACGTTCTTGGCAGACCTCGAAGGTGAGCCACGCGGATATGTGATGATGGCTTCCATCGTTAAAAACTAATCTCTGGAAACTACCTTCTAGGTTACGCCCAATTCGCGTGGAACACCGTGCTGGGAATGCCCATGACCGAAATGCATATATTTCTGATGGAGTACCGCCAGGAGATTCGCAACCCAGCGATCCATACCTGGCTGCCCCAGCGCCTGATTTACGCCCGCAAGCCCGTGATGGCATGATATTTTGGTTTGTTCTGATACCCGCGATGATACCGGGCCCTGAGGTGGCTCGGGGAGGACCCAGTAGTCCGTTCGTCAATGGCACATGGAGGCAAGTAGTTGTAAACATAGTTCTTTCAAGTTTCTTATTCTGGTTGTCGCGGACATAGCCTAGATTTTGACCTTCCCCCAATACTTCCAGGGTATAAGAATCACACTATTTCTGCCCGCGTTATATCGTCGATTGTTCTCTCTCACGCCTGACGAGCTCAGTCTCACAGCAGCGACGTTCACATATCAGAAGGTCTCTTGGCCTACATTGCCCGGAATTTGCTCAGTTGCGTAACTGATCCGGCGCGTGGTGGAACTGCTTTTTGCTCCGTGAAGGGTCTTGTTGTTGTCCCTCACTGGGGGATCGTCCAATCCGCTCATCTTGGAGAATGAGTACAACAGACATCTGAAGTCTCGTCAATGAAGGCCCCTTCCAACCTCTGACCAATTACAGACGCGTCTTCATGGCCCAGGATTGATTGATTGATTTTATTTATCGTGGGTGCAGTCCCTCAACAGGGCAAACCACGCCTCCCAGAGCCATTGCATCGCAAGGCTGTAGAGGTGTCAATCTAGATACATTCAGATCCGCGAACGAGCCTATCCTCGCTGTAGCGGTACCAACCTGGAGTGTCCAGATGGTTTTAGTCAATACCCAAGCACGATTCCGTCAGAAAAAGCTCCTGTCCAGATAAAGCGACCCAGTGGACCTCAGTCCTCTGGTGTACATATCGTTCCAATAGCCGTTCAATATATGTCGTATTGGTGGATGAAGCAGGTATTTGTTATCTGCTGGCGAGGGAAACCACAATGGGAAAAACCTCACAGGAGTGGGTGTTATGGAGACAAGCTGCTTGGCTATCGGGCTCTGCGATAATGGGGCCTCTCCACTGTCGTGTGCTGGTTGTCGACTCGCACAAGCCGGGTCAGAAAGGGCGCCGTAGCAGGATTCGAACCCACTTGTTCTCGTCGCCCACCGCACAAATTCATGGCCCAGGAATCCTAGATATACTCAGAGAAGTCTCGGCTAGCCCCTTCTGCACTATCAGACTCATAGCCGGAGTCGGACAGCTTCTGCATCGCGCCCTCTGCCGACAGTGGTAGCGATAGCATATCCTCGAAGTGCATGCCTTCGACGAGCGAAACCTCCAGGTTCGCCAGCAACGCCGGGTCCATGAAATCGGAAGCTGAATTCGTAGCCTGCTAGGTCGTGCGGCTGCGAGAAGGACGGATCGTAGCGCGCCGTTGGAGGCTCCGTTCGATGATGTTGAAGTCCCGGTCGACTTCGACCCCCAGGAGCTGGCGGAGCAACCGGCTCATTGTTCTCAAGCCATGTCTGGTGTTATGGGTTTCCCCTGTATTCGTAGGCATAGAGAGCTCCAAGTAGAGTTCGACCGACGGGAAGCACTAAAAGCTCCCTAAAAATATAAATGGCTAATAGATGTTTATTCGAAGACGTCGATTCCTCACGTTCTCCTCGTGTGCCATCTATCCGATATGCAAGCACCGCGTACATACGTGGCAAGAGTACAAGACAGCAAGATGTCCGCAAAGCTCGAGCATGAGGGGCCAACCCCGTCCCCTACGCCTCCCACCCGCCACCACCCACCTAGTAATCATCATACCTCGCCTCATCCCTGCCCTGGTCATACGAATTCTCCATCCCATCGCCAAAGCTCCCGACATCGTCGCCAAAGCGCTCAACGTCGCCGACCTTGTCGCCAGCCCAGCCCGCCACGTCGTCTGGCACGTCCTCGACGTCATCGACGGCGTCGTCGAACTTGCGCTCGGCGCCGTACTTGGCGCGGTCGTAGCCCTCCTCGACGTCGTCCGGGATGTCCTCGACGTCCTTTACCTTCTCGCCCGTCCAGCGCGCGGCGTCGTCGGGGAAGTCGGCCACGTCATTTTCGATGCGGTCCTTGTCATTGTCCCATTTGTCCTCTGCCGCCGTTAGCATCGCAGCCAAGTTCAACCAGTAGCACTAGCAGTAGCAATCGCCGACGAAACAACCGAGAGGCGTGCGTAGTGTGATATCAGGAAACCGACACAGCGCAGACATACCGATCTTGTCCCCCTCGTGCATCAGCAGCGCACCCCCAGCCAGCCCCGCCGCGGCCCCCATGGCACCGTACATGAGTCCGTGGCCGCCGCTCTTCTTCTCCTCCTCCTGCTGCGCGTACTCCTCGCCGCCATATCCCCTGCCGCCGTAGCCCTCGCCGCCCTCGTACCGCTCCCCGCCATACCCGCCGCCGCCGTAGCCCTGCTGCTGCGGCGGTGGCCCACCCTGGTAGTACCCGCTCTCCTGGTACGCGCTGCCTGGGTGCTCAAAGGTGCGCGCGCCCGTCTGCTCGTTGATGAAGATCCAGCGCTGTGCCGGCTCGTCCCAGCGCGCGACCCAGGGTGGCTGGACTTGCGGGGGTGCGCCGCCGCCGCCGCCGCCGCCGTAGCCGCCTTGTGGCTGCTGCTGTTGCTGCGGCTCTCCGCCGGAGCCGGCAAACTCGCTGACAATTTTGGAGAGGAAGCCCATGGTCGTACTAGTAGACGGGGATGGGTGGTTTTGATTGTTTTTCCTGGGATTTTGCTCAATTGGTTGGTTGTTTGGTCTTTGGGTGGGGAGGAATGCAGAGTCAGAAGCGCGGTCTGTTTGGGAAACGTAAATAGCCCGACAAATAGCCAAAGAACCAGGGTTGCGTGATTTACCGGAGAGTCCGTGAAATGAGAGCAAGCAACTTCGGCGGGTGGTGATTCACTTCCATTGCTTCGAAAAGTGGGGGACGAAAATGTCAGGTGTGGCTACAGCTGACCGCAGCTGAAAGGGGTCAAGGGGTCCTTTGACGTACGGATATAAAAGGGGCTTTGGATGTTGGATCAAAGGATGGGTCTGACCTTGTTTCCAGGGTGTGTAAGGTACCTTTTAGTACTAGATGTCACCTTTAGGCCTACGGAAGGATCTATCCAAATACAGACCATTCTGAAATCTGACACAGATCGGGGAACGGCAAACTACCATTTACTCGAGCCCGAAGCCGTGCGGCACGGCCCGGACTGAATTCTTTCGGCCGCCACCAATCATCGTATTCTATGCCATCCACAGGATTGCGGGACAACACACAAGCTAATAGCTTCTTCGAGCTGCAAAAGCCATGCTATTTGTCGGGTTGTCTCCCAAGTATTTGAGTAAATTCTGTTAGCAACTGTTGAATATCATAACCACACGTTGTGATACGGCTTCTAGTAGCTTTAGTGGCTGCGGGCGCTAATGCACCCCGCGTTGGGGGGTTCACAACACCCGCAGCCTTCTAGTATATTGGCCTCTGATTGGTCCATTTTCGGACATTATCAGGGACCCCTGTTATGATGATTTGGTCACCCTGAGGGATCACCTTTCCATTATTATTGGCGCATAATTCCTGGTGATCTTCTTCTTCTTCTTCTTCTTTCCCAAGTCTTTCTCAGCGACCAATGTCTTTCTTACCGACCCAGATGGCTTTTAACATCCGGTCCTCGAAGTCAGCACACTCTAAGTTTAAAGTCGGTAAAACCCGGCAACATGGTGAGAACAACGCAAACAACCCAGTGCTTCTATCCATCATCGCCCTCCAAAGCAGAACTAGCAGTTCTTGGGGCCGACCAAGCAGCCTCGCGAAACAAACAGTACCTTCGAACCAGAAACATCCGCTTCGACGAGTCGTGGAGCAATCTCCGGCTTCAGGATGTGAAGAACCGCACTCAGAGGGGTTTGGTGCCGTACATGAAATGCACAAACCAGGAACTAGAGACATTTTGCCATCAGTGTGATGAAACCCAGCCTGCAAAGGTACATGAAGTGACGCAACCCGACGCTATTTTGTTCATTTTTAGATTCTAACTTGAGATAGGGCTCCGACGAAAGCAAAGAGGCGTACAGAGCTCGCACCATCTACCATCTCGAGCGTGCAGATGACAACATCAAGTTCGAGAGGTTCCTCGATCTCCTACCGGAGCTGCGCAACAGTATCTACGAGATGACTCTCACAGTCACCGTAGCCTACCAAAGTGACGACAACGAGGAACCGCTCATTGTCGACCCCATGGCATGCACTGAAGGGTCCACGGACTGGAAGGCGGCTCTCGCAACAATGGCAGTGACTCGCACTTGCTCGCAGATCTACAAAGAGGCGCTGCCTATCTTCTACGCTATCAACACCTTCAGCATTGGCAATGATTTCGCGATTTACGGTTACGGCGTGAACCGTAAACACAAGAGCGGCGAGCACTTCCGTGGTCGGGTGAAGAAGTGGTTGGACAGCGTTGTCAATCGCAATATAGGTCACCTTCGCCATTTGGTGTTTGATCTGAGGAACAACAGCTGCTCAGCGCCCTATGGTTATTGTGTGATGAGGGTAAAGTTGGACTTTGGAGCAGAAGACGTGGCCGTCATGCATATGGCATATATGAACAGACAAGTCTTCGTGCAAGGCTGCGAGACCTGCGCTGCTAAGGGCGTTGCTGTTGAGGAGATTCAGGCGCTGTGCGAGAGCACAGGTCGGAGAGTTGATGGAGCGCTGCGGCTTAGTGGGGAGTTGATGGATGGGATGTTAGGGATGTGCTGTGCAGCTGTCAAAAGGCCAACCAATTGGGGGGCAAATGAGCCTTCTGACAGCAGCTGTAGTAACCTTAGATAGATAGGGCGGTAGGATGATGATTCAAGGACGCGCTTTGTCTCGGTGTACTCAACCGGCTGTGCTTTTATTGTGGAGGGTCTTGGAACCGTCTTGCTCTGCCCTGCCGCAGCGAAATGTGCTTGTTCCGAATGTCAACATAGATATGGGTCCCCACTGCACAGCCAGATACAGATGTTCAGGCCCATTTCGAGCACAACTCGTAATTCTGGAATGGGCAGATCAGGAGAACAGGACAGTTGATGAACACATATATAGGCAAACTCATACACTGCTCGTTGCTTTTGTACACCCCATCACTCATTCGTAGTAAAATCCACAAAGCGCCCCCTTGAATGGCAATAGAGTACAAAATCTACTTACATGGATATAAGCATTGATCTTGAGTCTTTGCTTTGACGGTGTTTCTCCTCGACAAATACTTATCTGGAGCTCGCGGTTTCAATTGAGACGGAGTCAATCGATCCGCGCATCGAACCTCGGGATAGGCGTCCGATGCATTGCCGATAGATAACAGCCCGGAGGAGAGTCATGGCCAACGCGCCAATCCTGGCCAATCACAGCAGCGCTCGCTCCGGGGCGCGCTCCGAGACTGCAATGCTCAAGGTAGTCCGGCAAGTGCCGCGCCGTGATCCACATTGCCGGTCTCAGTTTGAACCCCACTCGTTTCGGGCTATCTATCACCTCGCCACTTGTAAGTTAGTCGCCCGACCTCAGTCCTCCGCGGGACGTCGGCACCGTCATAGACCAGCGCTTGTGCTCCCTTCACATGCAAGCGACTCAGCCTCCAGCGGCAGCCACCCCCCCAAGTAGTCAATTGATCTACGCTCTGGCGGGATTTGGGATGCAAACGGGCACAGGATGCAAAGGGAGAACTGGAGAATCCCGTGGTTGGTCATGATGGGATTCTTGCGAAAACACCATGCTGCAGCATATCTATCATATCATCAGAAGCGGGTTAAGCGTCCGCATTGTGAGCTTTTCCAGCGTGGTGTCCGGCGCCGGAATGGAAACAAGGGTGGCACCATGGCAGCCTAAGTTTGAACTCTTGAGATGTAGCTTAGACCTTGGGTTTGAGCGTCACGATTGACTTCCCGCCTGACGGGATCCCCAATCACCCCGCGCTTTCGACCAACTCAATTGCGAACCAGTTAGCTTTTGGGAGGGACTGCCATTCTAGATGCTTGACTAAGTTTTGCATAAGCAGAATCCGCGTCTCGGCAAAGGTAACATTGAAGGCTCGTCGTATTTTGATATGTAAATTGGCTCATCAGGAATCCTCGCACCTCGCCGTAAACTTCTCGTCTTGACTGTTGCCGCGATCATCGCTTGCTGTCAATAAAAAATGCTATATCTCAAAGTCGAAAGCATTAAATCATCGATTTATTTCATTATCAAAATAGAATTAAGTTACAAAGAACTTAAAAGAACCAACCGCTTTATCCTTTTTAATTGTTCAAGAATAATTTTAATTGCTTATAATTACAAGTATTATAAGTTAAAGGTAATAAAAGGGGGTTTCCAGGGCTGTGAGTAATAGATTTGCTTAAGGCTTTTAAAAGTGATTTATATTCCGGAGCTAGATATGTTATTATATAAGAGCCACTTCTTAGCCAATTACAGCATTGGTTTTCGATAAGGTTTTGCCGTAAAAAAAAGGAAAAAAAGAAAAAGAAAAAGAACATACTATTAACCGACTAATTAGATCGCTAGATTTAGCATATCGTTTCGATTACCTTACTAACTATTGCAACTATTTTATTAGCTACTGCGACAGCTACTTTGAATGCTTGCGGCGGCTAGCTTAGGGGTTTCGTAAGAGCCTCTAAGCTAGCCGCCAAGGCATTTTTACACCTAGCGCGGTACGCCGGCCGCGAGCAAGCCGAAGCCGACGTGCGCCGGCCGCGGGAAGGGAAGGCACCTGCCAGCAGTTGACAATGATCATAATCACGCGGAAACCTCAGGTATTTGCAAGCGCGAGCGCAGCCTCAATTCTCCGGGGCTGCGAGTAATAGAGCTTGGGGCATTCTCGGCCAATCGATTCTCGGAGCCCGCTCCGCCAATCAATGACCGGAGTTGACTCCGGCATTGAGAGCAAGTTGTGGGCTTTTGATTGGCTCCTAGGGATACGGACACTACCGCGCTGGATCCCGCAACCTATGCGCCAACAACCTGCACACAGCACCACCCCGGGCCTGCAACACCCACACGTTCACCCCATAGTTACCCCCTCTCTCAACGGTTGCTAGTCGTCCATGGAGACAGGAGCCGCAGCATATCCGTGCAGGTTTGCAACACCCAGATCCCGAAGCCTGGCCGGGTTTGCCACAGCCATTCGATTTCGATTTCGATTTGCCAGGTGCAATCTTGACTAAAAAGGAAGCGTCCCAGACCCGTCACCCGTCACCCGTCTGCCATTATTGATGTTCTCAACGAAGAATGTTAACTAGGAAACACTCTGAACTCACCAGCTATAGAACACTCTCGACCAGCAACCATCAACCAGCAACCAGCAACCTGCAACCTGATCGTGTACCACCACCACCACAACAACATCAACGACCACAGCCCCGTCACACACCTGGACATGCTCCAATTCCTCAGCCCTGTACCCAATGACACCATGAAGACTCGGAGTAGCACGCGCAGGTGTTCCGGCGAGGACTGGCTGTCCTACACCATGGCCGACAGCTGGAAGAGCATGTTCGACTTGCAAAAAGACAAGGTACTGCCTGACAACACCATGCGCGACGAGGAAACCCCCAACGGAATCGTATCCTCCACGAACACAACTCCTCGGAGCACGCTGTTCGAGAGCCTGCCCTCCAACAGCACACATGGCCATACCACACCCGACGAGAACAGCCCCGGCGGCTTCTCGCCCGGCAAAGACCATAGTACGCGCGACAGCATCGACGTCGAGCCTATGCCCAGTCATACCCTTATGTTCGACCCCGCCTTCCCCCACAACACATGCTCCCCAACCACAACCGAATCCAACTTCTTTGTCGCCGACGACTTGATCTTGCCCATCATCACCACATCGATGGCGAGTGACCCCTTGTACTTGCTATCGGAGCCGCTCATGGATTGGTCCAACCTGACACCGGCCGTCGCCGCCCCAAATGATACCGTCGAGAGTCATTTCGACCAAGTCAGTCCCTTTGCAATTCCAACTCGTCGAAGCTCAACTGACACCAGACCAGTATCCTCCCTGCACCCACGACGAGGCTTCCATCCGCGCAACTAAACCCGGGTGCTCTGAACGACCGCAAGCCGCATACGATAACCCTTATCAGCGATCAGCCCATCGCATGGGTTTACCTATACCGTCGCTGGACTTCATGAATAACAATGACCCCATTCAGCCCGTGGACTGCGGGACCATCCACCCCTCCCGGACGGTGAAGACAGGCCCCGAACCAGCGGAGAAGCCAGCAGCGAGAAGACAAAACAGGCAGCAGAGCACTTCGTCGACGAATACCGCCAGCAATCAGCCGTCATCCCATATAGACAAGCGGAAGACGCAACTGGAGCGTGACCGCAACAAGAAAGCAGCGGCCAAGTAAGTTGCCATAATCCTTCTCGACTCCACCAGCCCACTGGGCGGCAGCATGCGTCGAATATGCCCGAATATCCTCAGCCGGGAGACCTTGAACATGCCCATGGCTTCTTTGGTTTTTGTGGAGGATGTTTCTTTCTTCCTTCGAAAGACATCGCCCACTATCACAAGCTGTTGGTAAAGCAAACTGCTGACTTGCCTGCGACGTATAGATGCCGGAGAAAAGCCAAGGTCAGCGAGCACGAGCTGAAAGAGCGCGATCGTGCCCTCTCGCAACAGAACCGCGTCCTGTTGGCCGGCATCGACCAGCTCAAGGACGAAGTTCTCGGCCTGAAGCACGAGATCCTGAGACATACCGGATGCAGCAGCCAAGTCATCGATGCCTACATCGCCAAGGCGGCGCGGGACTTGAAATGAGCGCCGCGGTTGCTTGGGCGGGGTGCTGACCGACTAGGTGACAAGTCTCGTCGAGTGTGGTATGGTATACCCGGACCGTAGTCGGCGGCCCTAGTGAGCTGCAACACGCTCTGAGCTGGAGCGTGGTATCAGGCGTGTGCAGAAAAGGAAAGAGCTATGAGGCGTTCTGTGTGTCTCGCCGGGTGGAGGTAACGACGATATATGTACTTGCATGATGATGAACAACAGCGGCGCAGATGCCCTGTTTCTATGAAGCCAATAAATAAGAACACTGAAATGAAAGACTTGAGGATAAGAACACTGAAAGTGAAGACTTGAAGTGTCATGGACGAGGTGAGACCACAGGCTGGCTATTTGTCGACGCCGCCAACCTTCCACGATGGCCCCCTCCCCTCGCTTGTATACACCACCCGGGTCGTGTATCCGACGGAAATCTGACGCAAATCTGACTTCCTGCCTGCCTGCTTGACGAGGCGGGGCCCCACGGAGAAGGGCCGGGAGCATCCATCCGTGTGGCGTACGAGCTGCGGGATCGATGCAGTCGCCGACCACGTTGGTGGCGAATGAGAAATAGGTTAGAGCTTCCCGTCACCTCCCCACGCCGGGAACATGCAACCGGGGAAGACAGACTGGATGACTGACAGTCGGGTGCCGGCGGTAAATTCGGATATACACCTACGCAGTGTAAGATCTGTCAGGGAGTATTACACCCGCACGCACGCGGGCGGGGGTCTGTGGCGACGGGAGTCAGTCAGGTATGTACGGACGGACTGTGCGTACGATTCAAGGGTTACGGTGTGATGGCATGTCGCGTCATGCTTGCCTGACCCCGGATCTGGCGTGTCCGCGGGGACGGGAGTCAAGTACGCAACCTAGTAGGTAGGCAATAGACAACCTCAGCAACACGTAGGCAGGCTGTTACCGCCAGACTCGCGCATTGCATTTGGTATCTAGGTCTGTGTAGTATGATCCACCGCCTGCTGTGATAGCCCGACGGTGTGGTTGTGGTTTTATTACCTAGGCCGTCTTCGCTACCTACCATAGCTCGGGCGGCAGCGAGATGGACGCGATACGAGAGCGGCGAGCAATGAAGCAGACGGCGGACAACGACAGACGAGATTTTATTATTTATCATCACCAGATATGACAAAAACTTTGAGCATAAGATCTGGTCTGAGTGGTCTCTGTATGAGTAATTTATAGACATATTCGACCGCAACCTGCTGCACTTTTCATGAGCCTCGTGAGTATGAGTAGCGTGACCAGGTGAAGAGATTCCACTCCTCACTGTCGCAAAGGTGCAACCGAGTACATATCTGAAGAGGCCCCGAATAGAACACCATGACGTACGGAAGGCCAATTATTCCAATTCATCGTGATGGTATCGCAGCACGCGGAAAGGCACGCGTTTGATAATGTGATTGAGTACATGTGTGCAATTATTGATCAACGCCGAGTGATAACACCCCAAGCCCAGCAAATCACCCCAACCTCTGGAATAACGTGCATTAGCCCCCATTGTTTCCATCGTCCATCGCGGACATCTTGAAACTCAGTCTGACATCTTATCTTGGTTGATAAAATCTTGGAAGAGAGCCAAGTTGTCAAACTCTCCTGCCAGAGTCTCAACCTTTGCCTGCTCGGGATCTGTGAAGGCGAGATCCAGGTCGCCCATGAACGTGGCTCGCACTTGTTCTTCCATGTCCTTCTTTACATTGTCTAGCCTGTTCTCCTTGAGTTCGGCCATGATCTGCCGAGCGTCGTCTACCGACATGTTGGTATCCCGTAGTGTCATTGATAGCAGGCCCTGCACAATGACTTCGGATACGCGGTATGGCCGACTCAGACTCTCATAACCATAGATGCACAAGAGGAAGTAGAGACGCCACTCCGGGTCTTTGGTGTTGTGCAACATAGCGTTTGCCAGGTAGATGAGCCCGGTATGCCAGAGGATCGTGTATGTAGATGCAGCGTGATTTGTGCGGTACTCGACAATAAGATGCTTGAGTTGGTTCGTCGATGCAGTGTACGCTGTGTCTGGGGTGCTGTCTACCGCTGAGAAAGTCCCCATACGAGGTCGTAAATCACTTGGCCTTCCGATAAAGGGCCGGAAGATGTCGAGGATCACCGAATGGAACCATATACTACACCCCGGTTAGCACATTCGTCTGAAGCCATCATCCTCGGCGGTAGTCATTGGACTTGAGCTTTTCAGAACCACAAAGACTTACTGAATAACGGCCACGTAGTGTGGACTCCCTTCTCGTCGGAGCAGAGAGGGTGGGAGATTCTGCGCCCAGGCGATCAACTCCCTAAACTTGTGCTCTGCTAAAGCCATCTGAAAGTTACTGTCCGGGATGCTCTTCCCTGGGTAATAAATCCATCGAGCTCCATGAATGATCAACCAGAAGCGACAAAGTGCGGGGAACGTATTCCCTACAAGAGCTTCATCGACTTCATGAACGTCTCGAGGCACGATGCCCTGCTGGGCTATCGCTCCCTCCGGGATAGGTAGTATAGGAGGGCGCGGTGGGCACTCAGTGCCTGGCTGGCGGTAGAATAGTGAAACAAGCCTATCACGAAAGGTAAGCCGTTGTCATGGCGAGTGCGGGAGTTGTCCGACTTACACATTCCAGTTGAATACGCCCCACGCCGCATAGCAGCTGGCAGTCACATCTTCCTCGGACAGCGTCTCGCCAGGGCCCCTGGCCGCAGTTTCCAAGTTCCCAAAGAGACCTAAGCGGATGCCCATGCTCAGAGCGGCCTTCGTGAAGATGATAATTTCGTGATCCTTGCCCTGCCCCACGTAGGATAAGCTGAGCAAGACTGCACCGGCCATAGCGTTGTACGAGTCGCCTTCTTTCTCTTGGGCCCACATTTCCTCGGCCTTTGCGCAGAAAGACTCGGCCGTCCGAGCCGCACTCTGATCGAATGCGCTATACATGAGCTGTAACCTCATCAGCTAAGCTTATCTTGTGGTCTCGCATTTCCGCTTATACTCACACATCCCAAATACATGACAGCGTGGAAGAGGAATCTCGAGCAGTATCTTCCCTGTTGGTTGACTAGATCGGTAATGAAGAGACTCGGACTGAAAAGACCCAGAAGTGGATGGTCTGTCGTGATGTATAAGGAGATCACCCGAGCAGCAAAGTCATTAGAGATTTGTATGTCTGTCCAAGCTGCGACGTTCAGGTGGTGGAGTCGCTCGTCGCAGTATGGCACTTCACTGGGAGGAGAAAGGGGGGCTCGAAACTGTCTTATGGCTGAATCAGCATCGAGCCTGACCCCTCCACTCCCGTCCGCAGCATTGTCTCCTGCCTGACTCTGTCCCTCGTAGTCAGGCATCGAACTAAAGAGACTATGTTAAAAATCATTTTCAAGAGGGCCGAACAAAGTGATTTCGAAACAGATGTGCCCACTTACTTTACATCCGTGGATCCGTCCATGAGCACGTCTTCACCAACCAGTGCGTGGTCCCGAAACGGACGAAGCAGATGGCTCCTGGCCAACTCGGAGTTATTGATGGGGCGCAAGGACATATACGCCGTCGAGTTATGCTCCCTAAGTTCGGACTCGAGGGAGCCTGGAGTCGATTCAGGTGTGGCTAGGTCTTCCTCACCGTCGGTGTCGTCTGTATCCAGATTGAAAGACGACAAGGCCGAAGTAGGATCTTGCTTGTCTCTCAAGAAGTAGAGAAGCTTCACAGAGCGGTCTTCGGGCAGCGACATGAGGAGGTCCAGGACCTGTGAAGAAACTTGAAGCACCGTGACGGTCCTATCGCGGTAGACACATGTGGGTAGTCCACGCTTGACGCAGTGAGCACACATGGGCCGCGCACCGTTGCACTACGGGGATCAACACTTGACAGCCGCGGGCAGAGGGAGAGGGAGAGGGAGAAGGAGAAGGAGGAGGAAGCAGATTTTATAATTACTCGGGTCTTCCGAGCGCGACACTCTTCGCAGGCAAGCTGCGTACCGATCCGTTTCCGGGCGGCGATGTCCTTGTTCGCTTTGCTACGGGCTTTGGAGGCGGACGGGTTCTCACCAACTGGCGCGGCTGGGGCAGGGGCTGGGAGAATGGGGGGGTATGTGTTGGGCTGCATGGTGAAGGGCCGTTATATGGTGTCTCACTGTCTCAGAGAAGGGTGCGGGTGCAGGTGCTGCTCTTGCTGTCACGCCAGGAGCACGTATGGTTGACGACGGTTATGGTTCGGTGCGCTCTCCGGGAAGCTGAAGCCCAATACCTTACATGTAGCTGATGCGCCTCCGCGTATGTACATACATGCCCAGGTCCGGGTGCAGGTGCACGTCGTGTGTTTCAAAGGGGCTTGACGTCAGGCACCAGCCACACCGGGATACAGTAACCCAGCTGGAGAGCATTAATAAGGTACAGTGGACCGTACAGGCTGTCGTCGGTCTAAGTGCCCGGAAGCATGCAGCCCTGCGCGGTCATCACAGTGTCCTTCACAGTGCAAAGCAGACAGGCAGACAGGCTAGCTGCCAGACCTAAGACACGAGGTTTAAAGTTCCAGGTGTTGAATGAGAGCCGGAGATAGACACCGGAAGATCTCCAGTGGGGCAGAGACGCACAGGGCATCTGACCCACCAAGAAGACAGATGATTAATCTCTGCACACAGAACAAGAACATAATCAATAGAATCAATCAACATCCGTGTATTCAACACAAGGGGCTATCATCGTCAGATAGGTACCTAGAATGGCGTACGACATTAGAAAAGGCCCATACTTAAAGAATTATTATTTCTTTAATATCCGTTTTAACTAATACCTTACTTTATAACTAACAAGTCTTTTAATAAACATAGCCGCTACTTCACTTTGATAACTACTAATTATATGTTTAATAAATTTTTACAAATTTTTATTTCTAATTATAACTCTTTTTTATGCATTTTCCTTTTAAATATGTTATCTTTTTTACCTTTTTCGCGTAATACACGCTTTTTCTTACGTAGTATACTTTAAAATATTAATTTTAAACTTAAGAGAGGCGGCGTAAACTGTAACGCGCTTATAAATACCGAAAAAAATATTTCTAATCTTTACCGTAATTATAGCTTTAAAGTATGAAAAAAGCCAGCTTTAAGTAAATTTATAGCAAGATTATATAAGACCTTTTAGTTTATACTTAATAAACTGCTTTTTTTCTTTTTTTCTTTTTTATTATTATTAATTATTTATCATGGTCTGGTAATAATAAGCCAAGCAAGTAAAAAAAAAACTCCTATTAATATTCAATACCATATAAATTAAAGGTTTAAGATTTAAGTCGTATTTAAAAAAATAAGTACTTTAAACAATACGTTAAATTATAAGTGTGACGGCCTGCACAGACCTTCCCACATGACAAGCGGATACTTCCCAATAGGGGAAGGATCTGACCAGAGGATCCCCTTAAAGGGGCAACCTCCCACTGTACCTATCTCTCTCTCTCTTTCTTTCCTCTCTAGTCTTGATATTCTCGTCAATAGAGTAATAGCTGCTTGCTGCAGGCCATGTCCCAGCTCCCCAGTATGCTCGCCGTGACAATAAGGTCTTTGAGTATAATAAGACTTAATAAGCTATATAGCTTAAAGCGGCGACGGATTATAAATAAGCGTACTACCCGACTTAAATATAAAACATATTAAAATAAGCAGTACACTCGCCGTCTTATTATTTAAAATAGTAAAATACTAGTAAAAGCGAATACTAAAAAAGAATAATTCTTTATATTTAAACATATTCGATGTTGGATCCCAGATATGGTGCCCTTAGGTGCAGTACCCACTAGGGGGCTGTCAAAGGAACAGTGGATCCACCCTGGCATGGTGCAGTATGGTATTTAGCTGTAGGTTAGCCCTGCCGAGTATACTTGAGAATGACAACAACATTTGCAGTGACCGCTCACACCCCCAAGGCTTGTGACTCTTTTAGAATACCACAAAACCTTTATATTAGTTTATACGGCTTTCATATATAAATATATAAAAGTATAGAAGGTAGTTTTATATTTAACAGCTAATAAAAGCCATCGCATTATTACATATAAATACATAAAATATACGGGCGAGTAAAAAGTAAGAGAAGAACATAGTTAGCGATGTTAGCATGTTGTTTGCTTAACTTATAATAGATGTGTCAGATTTGAGCCAATCGTCAGAGTGAAGTGTGTGTGTGTATTCTTTCTGTCTAGAGTGTCCTTGTGCGACCGTGGCAGTTTTGTGCCAGAGGGGGCTGGATCGGGACGGAACAACTAGGTTCCGCTGTCTACCTTCTATAGCGTTGCTGTGAGTAAGCTATAAGTAACAACTTACAACGCTGCATCCGACACATGCATGCACCTGTCTCGATCAGGTATAGCAAGTCTAATACTGCCTACCTTAAATTGAGATGTTACGCTGCCGACGTTGCAATCAATGTCAAATACTCGGTGAGCTGGAAAGCGCTCCGGGAGTTGGGCATTGCAAGTTGATTGGCGGAGCGATATACTGCGTACCAAAAGATGAAACTGTCCAGGTCGTCAGCAACTCAGCCCCTCGCTGGCACCTTTTACCCCATCGGCCGGACCAAGAAGGGCAAGCAACCAATTCCGACTCCGGACCCAGAAGTGCCGACGAACAATTCCATGTCTCTAAGTCTGTACGGCAAACCGGCAAACTTGAAGGTAGGTGGCTGTCTGCCCCTGCATACATCATGTAGGTCGTCCCGTCTACGACAGATGATCTCCCGCAATCAGACTTCCCCAGACTTTCCCCAGATTCTATCGCTATATCTTGGGCTTGGCGCCGCCACTTGACGGGACGGTCCCTAAGCAAGTCGTCGCCGAGCTCGAAGTACATCAAATCGAATTCAGTGGCGAGGAGAGGATTGCAATTCGCATCGAGTCAGGTTCAGGGTTGAGTGCAGTCAAGTTGAAAAGTCTGAGTCGAGTGAGATGGGAGCATGTCCGCCACAATGGGCAACATGCTGCTGCGCACAACCCCCAAGCAGACGTCGCGCCTGCGGCAGATCGTCGTGATCTCGGTGCTCTGCCTGGCCCTGTACTGCCTGCTGCTAGTGCCCGACCAAAGCCTCGACTCGTCGCGATCGACGACCTTTGACACATTTCCCAAGACATCAAGCCCAAAACCAGTCTCTCAGCAGGCCAAGGGAAAGTCGTCATTGGCGGCGTTGTCGCCCGAGCTGCTGAACAACCGCTTCCTGACCGAGGCGCAGTGCCGCGCCAGCTTCCCGGGCCTCCTGAAGGAGATCGACGACGTGGTCGCGAAGGGCCCTTTCACGCTCGAGAGGAAATCGGAGGGCCTTGGGCCCCTGATCGCCAGGATCCGGCATGGAAAGGTACGTGTCAGTATGAAAAGAGAGCATACCAAACACTGACGCGCGCCACCCCCCTCCCAGCTCTCCATCCTCTCCGCAGGGCGCAAGACCGAGCTAAGCGCCGACATGCTCGCGCACCGCTCCGCGACGCTGCACCAGCTCGCCAACGCGCTGCTGACGTGGCCCTCCTCCTCCGCCGACCCGGTCCCCGACACGATCCTGGCCTTCAACCACCACGACGACCCGCTGCCCTCGACCCTCTCGTACTCGCGCCCCGCCGACCCGGCCCTCAACGACAAGTCGACCAAGCACTACTTCGCCATCCCACACTTCAGCTTCTACGCCTGGTCGCTGCCGTTCATCGGCTCCATGTCGCGGGCCGCCGCCGTCATCTCCGCGCTCGAGGTCCGCACGCGGAGCTTCCACGACAAGATCCCGCGCGCCGTCTGGCGCGGCACTGCCGTGAGTACCTAGCATCCATTTCGTATCTGCCGTCCCCACACCGAACCCTGTTCCGGGAGAATCCGTGTCTGCGTAGATGGGAATCCCACCCTCAACACAAGACCCAAACCTGCCAAAGCACCCGTCAGCCCCCTCCCACCGAAAGTCCCCAACTACTAACCCCCCAGCAGTGGTTCAACAGCCCCCGCGCCGGCCGCATGCGGCAAAACCTAGTGCACGCGACCGCGCAAAAACCCTGGGCCGACGCCGAGGCCCTGGACTGGGTCACCACCCCCAGCGGCCGCAACGCGACCAACGCCCTGCCCATCGAGGACTTCTGCGCCTACAAGTACATCATCCACACCGAGGGCGTGACGTACAGCGGCCGCTTCCAGTTCCACACCCTGTGCGCGTCCGTCGTCGTCACGCCGCCCGTCGCTTGGATGCAGCACGTCACGCACCTCCTGCGGCCCGTGTTCAGCTACACTTTGGATGATGACGACGACCAGGCGGCTGCTGTTAGGGGTAGTGGTGGTGGAAAAAAGAAGGGCAAGGGCAAGGGCAAGGGCAAGGGCGTCGAGCGCAAGATGGTGGATCTGGGTCCCGGCGACAAGAACTACTTCGCGCAGTACCCGGCGCCGTGGGTGAAAGAGGCCTGGCCGCGCGAGTGGGACGCCGCGGAGGCGAACATCGTCTTCGTCGCGCCCGACTGGAGCGATCTCGAGTCGACCATCATGTGGCTCGAGAGGCACCCCGAGACCGCCGAGGGCATCGCGCGGAGGCAGCGCGAGCTGTTCCACGGTGGAGGCTATTTCAGTCCCGCAGCTGAGATGTGCTACTGGCGGGAGTTGATTAGAGGCTGGAGTGAAGTAGTAAGAGCGGACGGACAGGGATTCGACGATCTAGAGGGAATGACCTGGGAAGAGTTCAGTTTGAAAGAGATCCACAAGTAGATGAGCATGAGGCTGAGTTGGACATTATAGCCATCTTTGTCGTGGCAGCATCATTAATATGGTACAACGTCTCAGTATATATACAGATACGGACACCATTACCCGCTTCTCGCACTCAGACTGGCAAAGGCATCGGGGCTATGCCGGCCGTTGTTCCAGGCCATATCCATAGCCATCGTCATACTCTCCCTGCTTCGCCCATTTGAACTTGGCGCGGTCGTGTTACTAGCCGGCGCGAAGGCAGCGGGAGCTGGTGCCGCTGTACTGTTCAGAAAAGGATTGTTCGTGCCCGCCAAGTTTGAAGCACTTCTTGGTATAGAAGTAGGTGCCTGGTATTGGGAAGGAACTTGTTGACTTTGACCCATCTCAGTAGCATTTTGGGGAGCCTGTTCTTGAGATTGCATCCCGGTCGGTGCGAGGTGCGGATAGTTGTACATGGCCATTATGGAGGCGGTATCGGCTCGCTGTGGTTGATATACTCCCTGAGGGGGCGCCTGCACAGGTTGCTGGCTCTCGTACCAAGGCTGCTGCAGGGGCTGGGATGACTGCGCAGGCTGGTTCATTGCAAAGAACGGGTTGCTCCCATACGCCGGTGTTTGGGACGCACTATAGACGTTCTGCTGTGATTGCTCGGGTATCTGGCTTAGTGTCGGAGAGGCGATCCTTGTCGGTGATCTTGTGAATGGATTGCCGTTATATGCTCCCTGAGTATGCTGAAAGGACGATGTATTCAGGGATAACGACGGCTGCACAGCGGCGGGAGCCTGCAAAAAGGGATTGTTGTTCTGTTGCTGCTGCTGCTGCGGTTGCTGGGGCTGCGACACCGGCTGTTGGTAATTCTGGTAGCCATTAAATGCCGCGGACCCAAAATTTTGCGTTTGTGGAATTGGCGGAGTCATTGAGTGCGGATAGAGTGGTTGTGATATAGGTTGTGAAGCCGGTACTCCCCCAGTGTGGTGTGGGAAAAGCGGTAGCTGAGATGGTGCCAAGGATAGATTTTGCAGGGACTGATTCAAGGTATATTCAGCCTGTTGCGGTGGAATTCCAAACGGATTGTTGTTGAAAAAGGGATTCCTGTTCTGCAACGTTCCTGTGGACTGAGATGATTGAGGCTGGGCGGGTTGTATGTCCCAAGGGTTGTTCGAGGGAGTTGTTGGGCTTCGAGCAGCCGTTGGACTAGACCTCGACAGCCCATTCGTGATGGGTTTCGTAGGCTGAGGTGTCAATGATCTCGACAAAGGCTGGCTTTCCCGAGCAGAGGCCAAGTCTGACGAAATGCCGCCCTCGCCCAATCGTACTAAAGCTTCGATCGTCTTTTCCAGGTTGCCATTAACACCCTTCAATATCATAGCGTTGCGTTTGTCGTCCGTGAAGCCCATATCCCTCAACTGTGTCAGCTTCTGCGCCGTAGCCTCTGGGCTCTCTTGGTGTACGCTAGCCCCGAAGACTTTGGAGGGCTTATTGCGCAGTGTTTCGGAATTGCGCGGAGGTAGATCGCGTGATGCAAAGGCACCGTCGTGTGGACTCCGCGCGTCTTTCTTAGAACGAAATGAAAGTGTTCCTGATTTGAAGAAACGGCCGCCCGTCTTCGGTGGCAATGGCGGCGGGGTGCCCTCGTCTGAATTTCCCGTGTTGTGCCTTCTCGCGCCGTTGGCAGGGGTCTGGGTCTGGGGCTGCGCGTACTTGGATCGGATGAATCGTTCCATCGCGGAGTCGGCTTCGTCAGCATCGATGGGTACCGGAGGCTTCTTGTTCTGGGGGTTGAATTTCATATTCGACGAGGCGTTTCCGACGCGTTTCATGCTCTGGATGGGAATTAGTCACCCCATCGTACGCCTGTATTCCATCGTGTAGTCCATACCTCCACCTGGTCATTGGACCAGCTGTCCATGCTTAGCGACTTGACCTTGGAGATGTGTGTCCCTAGCTTGCGATGGATGGTAGCGCATCGCATGCAAAGGAAGACGCCCAACTATTCACACGATTAGTATGTCATTCGTTCTGTTTCCCTACAGTGGCTTGCGGCGGTGGATCGCGTCGCGTTCCCGAGGTGCAATTGAGTTTAAACGTACACTCCATGATGCCCAAGCTACACATGTGAATTAGCATGTCTGCACCGCGCAGAGGGGAAGCTATGTGAAGCGGGCGCACCTGGATTCCTTGCTCCGCAGTCCGCGCATGTGTTGTTTCCTGCGACGTTCTGCTTGAGGTCTTGCAAGGCTTTCTCGTTGCGCGCCTGCTGGCGCTTGCTCATGAGTCCAGCCATCTTTGCCGGGTGTCGAGGGTCGTCAAGTCGCGTAGAACCTGTTGTGCTAATCCAACTACTAGCTTCGAGCTCGCGGGTGTATCGGTCGGGCGTGGCAGCGTAGTGTTAACGGGGACACGGCTGATGAATAAATCGGCGTGCCAGCGACCAAACAAGGACAACCAGTTGGGAACGATTAGAGGTTCTTTGGCAAGGCGATTTTACCCTCAGATATGGGCCGGGCTTCTGCGCATTAGGGCTCCAGACGTGCTGTTCGCTATTATTAACGGAATGAGGAGTCGGGTGCGCGGAAAGTGGTTGCACACGGTCGGGTCGAGAACACGAGAAGCGCTGTCGGGTGGCTGGACTCGACTCGAGCGCGAATGGAGCGTTGAACTATAACTAACGCCGCCAAACAATGACATCAGGTATCAACGACCGGGTGTGATTGGCATTGGGAAAGAAGTTTGCATTGACGGCATACGAAGCAGCAGCGTGTGCCCAATGTCTGTAAAAGGTAGAGAGGCGCAGAGGGTTGCTATTATTTGGAGAAGCTCTTCGTCGTAGCGATTCCCGGGTCCTCTGTGCCGTCCACAGGGGAAAGACGTAGGGCTCCACATAAAGAAAGGGGACGGAGAGAGAGAGGAGGCGGGGTGGCCCAAGCTTTCTCACATTTCCCGTTAGAAACAGGAAGCCACGGCCCGTATCAAAAGACGCTTGCGAGTCAGTTGGTCCACTCCACTGCGCCGCTTCCTCTTCTTCGCTTCTTCCCTTCTTCCTTTCTTCAGAGTTGATCAATGACCCCAACCCCAATCAGCAAGCATTGGGCCTCGCCTCTATCTCAATTAGCTGTGACCTGTCCGCCCTACAAATGGTATCAAGACGATATTGACAGGCTTCCAAGTGAGACGAGCTCAGACATGGACTCAGCTGACATGTCACTTCTGCATGTTGCAGACAGTACGGGACCACCTTCTCAACCCTTCAGTCCAAGTCTTTATTGATGAGCTCGCATTGTCCGATCAGAACTGACACCCATCTTGATGAAGAGGCCAGGCCAGACGGTCGTTTCCAGAGCCAGTTTGTACGACCGACGTCGCATGTCTCACGTCAGCAGCGGCGCAGCCTTGCTCACTCATCACAAGCGATGCCCGTATCAGCTGCGCCGTACACGTACATATCACCTTCTGCAGTGCCGGAATCGGTACCGGGTGGTTTTTGGCTTGCCAATCACATCCGAGTATCACCGCTACGTATGCTTCGTGGAGTACGGTGTGTATGTGACCGGGTTTCCCTCCCTTTCGCATAGCTAAGGTACGTTTGTAGGCGCACTCTGACATCCGGTATGTATTGTGAAGGAGGTTATATGGCAACACACAGACACGCACTCGCGCCCGCCACCCCGAGTCTAGTATGCCGCGGTCTGGTCCTCATCCAGTCCATTCGCGGCGAGGAGCCCGCAACAGCTATGCGACCACTTCCACGCCGATGCAACCGTTGTTATGGATTGAATATAGAGACCTCTTATCGAACGCCGTGCCAGCATAGAAGTTGTAGATTGTTATCGCCAGCTTAATGCGTCCTCAGTCTCCCACTCGGTCCCTTCCGTCTTTGTCCCCGTACAATCGTGATCGTGAAAGTGGTCTTAAAGTATCAGGGCGGGAGGCACAAGGTCGATCCGCCGTCGTCGCCGCTCTAATGCTGCGTCCTCGTCTAGACAGAACGCCGGTAATAAAACTCGTAAGATCGTCAACTGTTGTCCAATATCGTTGCCCGCGTGTCTAAGTGTTGGATGTGCTCGCTGATGCGCTCGCTGTAGCGCCCGGTGTCGTGACCATTTCGTCGGGTCTGGGTTTCCGTCCTAGGACGACGTAGAACTTTTGGTAAGCGTGTACGCGCTTGTCCGAGAGGGCTCGTCTCGTTTCCATCAGGTGTATCTGGGCTCGAGGTTAGCCACACCATGCATCTTTGGTACAGTCAACCACCTCAAACAGAGGGATCCAGGACGCACCTCGATCTGATGACGCTTCAGCCTTCTCACGCGGTGCAGAAGCGCCATTGCTATGCCCTGGATGCCGTCCAGACAATTCGCATTCCACAGGTCTCCGAGGGTCTTCCAATTCACCTGTTTCGGCCACCCATTGATGGGTATCTTGTAGACTTGCTCGGTAACGTCGACAAAGCCTGCGTTTATCAGGCTTTGCTTGTACGTCTTGGCGATGTCAATCGGTCGTTGTTCTGCCCTTGCACAGTCCAGCAGGTCGTCAAACAACAGTTTTGGCGCATAGTCGGGAGCCATCGAGTCATCGTCACACATGAAGCTGGGACACAGCTCCTGGGCTTCGAACCAGCCGTTAGGTTCAAGGTGATTGAAGGCCTTACGCGCAACGTCTTGCTCGAAATCGGCCCAGGCACCCAGCGTCATGCGCAAATGGATATAGTCGAAAGGATCTGGCCACCACCAGTCATTTGTCCTCCTATTAGGTTGTCAGACAATAGCAAAGAAGTTGAATCTTCGAATCTCGGCCAGCGCCCACGCGAGCAGATATAAAACGACATCGTCACTGACGAGCTTCTGGGGAGGGCCAGAGAACACAGGTGGTCCCGGGTTGCCTTTTTCTGAAACGCAATGTCGCAAGAAGTAGGGGAACCACTTACGCATCATGAATGTAAAAGTGCAAGTTCGGAGGAACCAATTCAGGTTGCACTGGTGATAGATCAGTCCCGATGACTGTCGCAGACTCGAATTCTTCAGCTACTTCGATAGCCCACATTCCTGTGCCAGTCGCGATGTCGAGGATTCGTCTAGGAGGTCGCTGTTGCGTCCAAGGAGCAAAATAATTCTTGTCGTTACTGCAGTATCTGCATTTAGCATTTATCTCTCCTGTCAGACTCTGGGAGCGAAGAAAAGTCCACAATCAACGACTAAGTAACACCAGGACAAGCAAACCAGAGTTTGCAGATTCCTTGTGGGCCCGACAAGCGAGGGGAATGGGTTGGCGTTGGGGCTGACTGAAGATGGAAGATACTCACAACAAGCGCTTCAAGCAGACAAACTGCCAGTCCAGTCGTTCAAGCTCCCATGGATCATTCGGGTAGTGCCAAGCTGTTATGATAACCATCAGCTATCGGCAGTCGTTGCACATCTGTGTTGGTGTCCATTGTTGACGTACATCCATCACTATAGGCATGATAGGTTCTGCCATTTTCTTCTCTGTATGCCGAAACACTACTTGTGATCGATTCATCGTCCCTAGTTGACATACTATGTTAGTCATGGCACCTCGCGGATTCGAGAGGCAGCTCACCATTGACGACTTGCTGTCATCGAAGGGTCTGTCTATCAGTTGGTTAGCAGCAGCTCCTCCGTACAAAGGCAGTGGTATCATGAATCGGACGTACGTCGGCTTCGATACGGGCAGAATGAGATGCATCGTGTACATGCTCAAACGTAAAAGGGAAGTTGTTAATATCGAAGGGCGGCTGCGCGGCAGAGGTCTCTGAGGACTGGCCCGTTCCTTGAGGCAGGCTCCCGGAGCGGGACGGACCAGGTCTCGGGATGTTGCCTGTTCCGCCAGCACCAGACAGTTGGGACGACATAATGTTCCTCTATGGCCTCGACTTGCTATGAATCCCAATACCTCGAGCTGGGAATGGGATGTCGGGGCATGGATGTGACTTTGGCGGATGTACAAATTTTCTTTGGCTGTCGAGGGATTACCGGCTAGGTTTGGGGGCTCAAGTAAGGGGGCGGTCACTTATATCAAGCCTCCAGCCAGACAGAGCACGTTCCCGGAGCACAGAGTTCGGGGGGCGGTTATTGGAGGGATGAAGTGGATCGACCTGCACCCGACACTGGCGACAGCGTAGAAGCGGGACGCGGGTCTATCCCTAGATCTCGGGCTGTGGGTTAATAAAAGGTACGCCTAGGAAAAAGCAAATTCGAACCACACTGCTGGGAACGGGCAGACGGGCGGGGACCGGTAGACGCCAGGAAACTGGACCGGGCAAGATAATGACTTGGTAGGTTTAGGTTAGTTAAGCAGGTAAGGTTAGGTAGGTTCGAAATCCAGATGCAAGCGCTGCGATGTCCGTCCAAGCCCGTTCCAGGATCGTGGGAACCCGAACAAACACAAGAACCGGCTTTTAAAGTGTGGTAAGCGGCTAAGGGCGATTTGTTAGACTCAACGAGCAGTGTCGAACGGACAGACCCGTGGGCGTGATGAGGGGAACCGTCACCTGCTAGAGGCAGCCAGCAGGACGGGTCGGCACCGGAGACTGATAAGGTACAATGGAGGAGGAGAACCGTCTCTTTTCCGGCGCGCATGGACAACCTTGGCGTGGTCGAGGGGAATAGGACGAATCTCTGAGGGAGGACGGTGAGAGACGGTTGGAAATGGTTTGTGCACGGGGCAGTGTCAAGACTGCAGCGCATGGTGCAGCAAATCAACTGGACACGGCAGAGCACAAGCAGAGCGCAGTACAGCACAACGCACCACGGGGCAGGCACCGGAACAGCACAGACGTATCCAACGTATGTACGTATGGTGACATGGAGCCCGAGGAGTCGAGGACCGAGAGGAAGGTCCACTCGCTTTCTCGGGGTCCTCGTGACAGGGTAGGTGTGAACTGTGGACACCGTAGTGGAGGAAACAAGTGGGAAGATGGGGATCCTGAGATGTTTTCCTGATCCCATCCGTGGAGCTCGGGGCGTGAGTCTGGGATGATGAGGAGTGCACACTGCAGGCGAGGACCCGCGAGGACGGTCAAGCAAAAGAGAACGACTCCGAGATGCAACCCAAGAATGCTACCATGCAACCATGCTACCGTGCTAGTAGCCCGCGCGCCGAGCTACTCCTCTTCGATATCCTCTTCTGGCCCCTGGGCTTGATTTCACCACATGCAGCAGCACGGTGTCTCCCGCTGATGTGGTACGCTAGCCCAGAAGGTTACGGTTGACTCCTAGCAAGGAGCTGCCCTCGCGCTATTGCTCGCTTCCTCGGATCCCTGGCCCAAGTGGTTACTGGACTTATGGTCCTATAGGTATGCAGGTAGGGTGTTGCTGCTATAATACTACCTACCTTATATATATGCGCCAGTATGTGTATGTGCATGCATATGAGTGGAAATATAGAGGCGGCCTGCCGGGTCCTCGATATTGTCACCTGGCGATGGGAAATGTTGGATTGCGATGGCGCATGTGGCGTATTCACAATTGGACATTGAACCACAACGCACAACGGCAGCTGTGGCGGATCCTGTCTTCCGGGGCCGTACCCGAGTTTGACCCTGTCTATAGCACGGCGACGGCGACGGCGACTCTTCCGCCCATCATGAGACAGGGACCCTGGCGTCAGCAGAGGTGTATCCGGCCATCATGCCATGATTGCAGATGCTGCCCTACCTACTGCATTTGCTCTTCGGTTTTCTTCTCCGCCAGGACTTGTGCAGAAACAGTCCGCACATGTACGCTAAGTATGTTTGCTTTTAGGTCGGCGCATATCTACACCGCTTGGCCGATAACCGGTCTGACGTGGAACCGGGGTGTGCTGTCTTCCCTGGACTAGACGCGGTGGTAACGGTTGGTAATTGGGCAGAGTTGGTGCCAATCCGGTGCAGTGGTACCGTGCTCTGATGATGTGCAGATGCAAATGCCTATTGTGAGCAGCTGTCCCGACACCGCGGGATTAGCCTAGACAGCCATGTCAGGCTGAGGGTGCACGAGATGTCGATCCCGACACTCTTCGAAGGTCGAAAAAACAAGTCTTGAAGAACGCCATCAGCGGGACCTGCAGCCACGCTGGCCACGGCATACAACGCGGTCCTGCAATATGTGGGAGGCACTCATAGGGGTGGTGGCTGTGATGGTCCGAGGCGCTGCATATACACGCAGTAATGAGGATGCTGGAATCGCAACCATCATCCCTTCCTGCGGTTGTGAAACCTGTCAGAGCTTGCGCTTGTGCACCTCGGAGGCCGTGCCACACCCGACATTATCAACAGAAAGTCGGCAACTGAAGAAGGATTATTTTGTGTACCATGGTCCTTTCCTGTCACCGTGAAACGTAGGAGAGAAGTCCGAATATCGGCCAGTTCACCCCGGACTACCCGACTCCAGGGGTGATTGGCCAGGGGTAGTCTTCATCGGTTCAACCTGCTTCTCGTCTTCATAGATACTTTATGCTTCTCCAGTAGGTAGGTAACTGTAGTACGAGCCTTGCACGTGCGATACGAAGTAAGACAGGTACCGTGCCTGAGCTGTCATGCTGTGTGACTCGAGGCGTGATCGGTCGACCCGTCCGTCTGGTATAGTAAGGCTGGGAGGCTGGGGATGGAGCGCCGCCATCGAAGTCGTCCGGACGCCGTTGGTTCTGCGTGCATACGTACAAACACACGTGCCGCAGTCGGCTCGGACGCTGGCGTTTCACCTTGTTCCATGGAAACTTCCATGGTGCTTAGATGGGCGGATGGAGCGTGATCCATGGCAGGGGGCGTGCTGATGGGATTCTGCTGCATACTCGGTTGCGGCCGGGCATTTCCACGTCAGCAGCATGTTTGCCTTTTCAGTTTCGTCTAAATCAGGAGCTGGACAATTCGCAAAGAAGAGGCCGTTCGGGATGTGGTATGCCTGCCACCCCCATGTGAGATAATCTTTTGGTGCGACAACATTGGATGCCACCATCCCAACATCCCCGCAAACCCGCAGACCCGCTGCTGTGTTGATGCGGCAAAGGATGAGGGGGCAGCTGGGGGAATGCGGAAATGCAGCTTTCGCATCTTCGGCATGTCCTGTAGGCTGTCAGTCGTCAGTCAACATGCTGCGTTGCATGTAGGGGTCCCGGCCGAATGGGAGAGCAATCCCGGAGGGTTTGTGGATTCCATTGCCATCACTTATGACGGGAGCCGGGGAGCACGGTCAACAATAGGCGAGGAGGGCTCGAATTAGTAAATTACAATACTGGAAGGTGGGATGAACAGAAGACGTCCATCTGGTATACATGACCAATTCCAATAAGTTCCAAACTTGTTCGCCCATCAGTTCATGTACCGGTTAAATAGATACCACCTAATTTAAGGTTATTACGCAATTTCTGGGGAGTTAGGTATTCCGAATACGAAAGTGTCCATGCAGGTACCGAGTCGTCCCACTTCACGTGTAACCTGGAATCCTCGACTGGTAACGATGAAGATTTCCATCCTGCATTTCTATTCATTATTATTACCAGACCGGCGCCATGCGACATACCAGCACAGATTTCAGCCCCAGCATGGTTGGACTTGCAGCAATCCTACTCATACATAATGCTGGCAGGGACTGTCGCTCATCGTCAAGACAAATCACAGACCGTGACTACGATGAGCCTTGTGCCATTGCGAACTGTGTCCACCGCCAAAACTAGCGGTACACCACAGGAAATACTCTGCGATCGATAGCGATATAGTAGCAAGTTCCAATTGAATATATAAGCACATTAGCCCCAGCCGCAGCACCACATCACATCGCCAATCTTTTGGGCCAAAAGTCACAATCTACACATCATCATCACCACGTGGGCCGAATAAGCTTCAGGACAGGGGCTCTCTCGATACAGGCACCAGCGAAGGATTGATTACCTGCCTACAGCCGTACCAAATCGGGGACCTACATATGCCACATGGTTGCTCTGCTGCAGATCTGTCTTAATAGAGCGACACCTTTCCCTCTGCACGCGTCAATCCTTCGGAATCCCGTCGGCGAACCCGTGCTTCTGAGATCCTAAGTAATCCTACTGCTAGCACGGCGACACCGCTCGAACGGAAGGGACGCCTGCAGATCCGGGACGGGACGCATAAATCCACTTTGTGAAGGGCATTCCGATTCGGTCAAGATGGAGGCATTCATGGAGCAGGCCTACCAGCGGATCAGGCAGTCCGCCACCGTGATAACCCATGCGCCGGCGCGGACGCTCCCGACGCAGGGGAACCTCTCAGCTGCCCGGGATTCGCTTCCCAAGCTTTCGTCTGCGGACTACTTGTCCAGCAACGGCCCAGAGGCGACTCTCGATCACCTCCTGGGCATCATTGTGCCCGCCTTGAATGGTCAGAACCGCAGTGGCCGGTACTTCGGCTTCGTCACGGGCTCCACTCTGCCCATCGCCGAGGTCGCTGATAACATCGTGAGTGCCTATGACCAGAATGTGGCGGTGCATCTCCCGGCTCAGACTATCGCGACCGAGGTGGAGGATGCTGCGCTGAAAATGCTGGTGCGTCTGCTCGACCTTGGGGGCACCGAGGCATGGGAAGGCAGGACTTTCACGACGGGCGCCACGGGGAGCAACGTCCTTGGACTGGCCTGCGGCCGCGAAGCCCTGGTGAGCGGCAAGCTGCCAGAGGGCGCGGCTTCGATCGGCGAGTTGGGAATCCTGAGGGCCTGTATGAAAGCTGGCGTGGAGGAAATACAGGTCCTGACCAGCATGGGCCACAGCTCTCTCTACAAGGCGGCGTCCGTCGTTGGCCTAGGCAGAAGCTCGGTCAAAGACCTGCCAAAGAGCGACGCGGAGCCATGGCGGTTGGATCTAGTGGCCGTCGAGAAAGAGCTGCAGCGCGAAGGCGTAGCGAGTATTGTTGCTGTCAGCGCCGGAGAAGTCAACACGGGTCGCTTCGCGACCACCGGCGTTGCGGACATGAAGAAACTCAGGCAGCTGGCAGACCGCTACGGAGCATGGATCCATGTCGATGGCGGTACGTACAGATCCAGGTCACTCACGTCGGAAGGAAGTGTCTAACTTACCTCTCAGCATTCGGAATATTCGCCCGTATCCTTCCAGCAACTTCCGAGTTCGCAAAGCTTCGCGACCAGGTCGCAGGGCTGGAGCTGGCTGACAGCATCACTGTCGATGGACACAAACTTCTCAACGTCGTAAGTGCAGCCGAGAATCCCTCACATTTAGACCGAACTGACCCTGTCGTCTAGCCTTATGACAACGGCATCTTCTTCACGCGCAAGTCCTCTACCATGACAAGCGTCTTCCAGAACCCGAATGCCGCGTACCTGTCTGCCGGCGGCAGCTCCGAAATCCAGAGCCCTTTGAACATTGGACTGGAGAATTCACGCCGCTTCCGCGCGCTGCCTGTCTACGCCGTATTGATGAGCGAGGGTATTAGCGGGCTCTCGGAGATCATGGCGCGCATGGTCCATCTTGCTCGAGGGATCGCACAGGCTATTAGAGAGTCGGACGACTACGTCTTGTTGCCAAACGCAGACGCGGATCTGGAAGATACCCACGTTATCGTCATCTTCCGGGCTAAGGACGACAGCCTGAACGAAGCCCTAGTCAAGACGATCAACGAGAGTGCTGAGTGGTATGTCAGCGGGACGAAATGGAAGGGCCAGACAGCTTGTCGCGTTGCTGTCGCTAGCTGGAGGGTCGACGTCGAGAGGGACCTGGAGCTGGTGAAGAGAAGTCTTGCCACTATGGCAGAAGAACACAAGAAAAGCAGGTCGTAGTGTCTCAATGTGAGATTTGGAGAGGAATTGATATTCTGTGGTCTATTACTGCCTCATCCTCTTCACACTCCAAGCACGCAGCCAGAGCACTCAGTAGCCCCCTTTACTCCAATGCCGACTTTGATATCAATGACAGTTCAAATAATCATACCACTTTCCCCTCGCATGGCATCCAAGGCGAGTAGAGGTATCCTGGCGTCGATGTCCTGAGCTTACATATTACTGTATTTCATTCCAAATAATATGACCCAGCGTTGGCCGAAGGGTTCTCTCCAACTTGCACGCGGGCTGCTACCCTTTATTCAGCCGCCGAGCTGACTGGCTGGCGAGGCGCCCAATCAACTACCGAGATACCAAAAACAGCAGTTCGTTCTTACCACATAAGACAAACGGCGTCCTTGGCGCTGCATCTGTCGCGTGGCTGGCAACCCATTACCTAACATTAACACCTCGGTGAATGCCGCAAGGCTGACTCCGCGATGCTTTGCCGTATAAGCCATATAAGCATATATAAGCAGGGCTCCCGATGAGGCAACTCCAGTCATCTAGCTCATCAGTGCCAAACGGTTCGGGAAGGATTCTCCTATCGTTATTGCGAGACTTTTACTACCGTCACTCGACGGCACAGCTTTCCATGCCTTCCCAGTGGCTGAGCACTACATATCATCATCTGATATATGAGCCACAAGAACATGGCTGCTTACCATTCTAGGTTCCATACAGTGAGCACATGGATGATTCTTATAGATGCTTACCACATACATCAGCTCGCGCATTCAGTATCAACGACTTCGTTCAGCTGAATGAATGTCATTCCAAATCTCAGAATATTAACACAGTCATCTTCAGTCTTACCTGCCGTACGCAGAGGCTTCATGCTCGACTCATAGGCATGGAGATGGTCAGTAGGACGAGGCAGGTCAACATGGACAACGAAACATATATATAAGGAGCGAATTTCTCCCAGGAAAGCACCAAGAGATTTATTCTTCATCGACCAGCAAGCTCGTCGCTCCCAATACTCACTCCAGCACAACTCTCCGCGCCAATCCGTCAAGATGAAGACCGCAAGCCTGACAACCCTCCTCGCCTCGGCCGTCGCCGTCTCGGCACACCGTCCAATCCTGGTGGCCAAGACGACCAACACCACGCTGCCCACGACCACGGTCGCCGGTGTCGAGGTCGTCGACACCCAGATCGTGCGCGATGCGCGTGCGCTGATCTCGACCATGGAGCCGTACCTCTACCGCCACCAGATGCGCTCGTGGCTGTTCGGAGTCGCCACCATCAACAACAACGCGACGCTCAAGGCCCTCATCGACCTCGAGGTCCACGCTCTCGGTACCCTTATCCACGACCTGGGATGGGACATGACGCCCAACTCGACGTGGGTCACCAGGTGAGTAACACCCAATCCAGCCCCCTTAATTCCGCCCATGGACACTTGAAACTAGACACTGACAATCCCGCGCAACAGCGACAAGCGCTTCGAAATCGACGGCGCCATCGGCTCCCGCAAGTTCATCACCAGCCACCCCAACGCCGACCAGTGGGACCTGAACCGCCAGCAGCTGGTGTGGGACGCCATCTCGCTGCACGGCACGACCAGCATCAGCGAGTATAAGCAGGAGGACGTGCGGACCATCGTGCGCAGCATCGGCATGGACTACGAGGGCGAACACCCGGGGATCCCCGCCGACATCAACGCCGAGATCCTCGCCGAGTTCCCCACCGACGGCTTCCTCCAGGGCACCGACGACACCTTCATCTGGTTCTGCACCAGCAAGCCCAATGCTACGTACGACACCTGGGTCCAGCCGTGGGGCGAGGCCTTCGTCCCGGGCTACAGCGCCGTTGGGCATCGGTTGTTCGACCGCGTCCACCCGCCTAACACTACTACCACCAGCTAGGGGGTTGCTGCTTGAGCTCGGGATTTGGAAGTGTCGGATGCTTGGGGATGCGGATGTTCGGCAGGGGACTGAACTACGTGCAGATGTCAGACAGAGCTGTAGGGGTGGGAGCTTTGCACATAAAATTCTTTTCTTGGCCTATACCAGGGCCTGTGGTGCCTCGGTATTAACTCCTGGTCCTTGGGCCTTGGAATGGGCATCCATTGAGCTCTATAGTCACAAGTTATGGTCAAAATTCATGTGATAAGTGAGACGAACACACGTGCTACTTCTTACAGTGTTCCAGAAACGTTTCCCCTTCCGTCGCATTCACATTGTAGATCGTCCACTTCATCGTCTCTGATCATTACAACCAGCGGACGCCTTTCAATTCTGGCCACGGGATTCCTTCCATAGTCAGGGACATCGGCCTAATCTGTTGCCTATGCGCTTACCGAGTGAGAGTCGACGTACCAAATCCAGAGGAAGATTTTACTAGTTTGATGGGCATCCGGCAAGGGGGTTAGAGAGATCGGAGGTGAGTAAGAAAAAGTACCATGAAGCATATCGAGCTAGATGGGTGTGATACGAGCGTAGTCTGTTGGTGCAGAGCAACAGGCTTGACGAATGTGGTTTATCAACCAGCCCGTCCAAAATTGGCTGTACGTAAAACGTCAAATCCCTACGTGCTTGACAACAACAACAACAACAACAACAACAAGAGCATGATTGACAGAAAATTCTCCTAACCATGTCAAAGGCCCTGCATGTACGGCTTGACATCGACTGCCTGAGCGGTGCCGAAGTGAAAATGGTTATCAGAGGCAGATAGGGCCATTACCCAGAGGGCATTTCACCAGCTTATAAGAGCTACAGTAGGGGTTCTAAGCCAAAGACTCAAGTCCGAATACACAAAATAAACTATCAGCGGAACGCTTACACAATGTAAGTCAAACCGGAACATCGTCAGACGAGGTTGGTAAAAGCTCACAGAGGGGATTGTTCAAAGTACCAGCTCGCCAAAGCTGTCATCCCTAGTGAGTGTATCGATCTACCCCCTTAAATCGGCAAATCTCTGTATATCAGCCGCCCAAACTACTGCGTTCTTCAATATATAGTTTACGAATTTCACTACATGATGCTCAAAACGCCCAGGCCATCTCACCCAGTTGTATCATGACCTACGTCGGTCGTCCTGTCTTACTCGTCTGTGCCACTGTGCCGTTGTCAAGCCCAATCCGACCGTCCTTGCTCCAACTTCTCGTAATAAGCGTTATTCATCTCATCTTGGCCCGACGCACCGGCCGTGTCGTGAAGGAGTTCGCCCACAAACCTCGTTTCGGCCACTCCGCGGCCTGATGCAGCTTTGAGATCTCCCCACTGTACGTTACGCTCGATATTCGTCGAAGGCTCGGCCTCGTCATGGTAGTCGGATTTGAGGTCGAAAGAGACGACAGTAGCTCCTACGATCTCCCAGTCTTCCGCCTCAACCTGCACGAGGAGGTTGAAGTGAGCTCTGCCCTCGTGGTACGCATCGAGCACTTTCAGCGGTAACGGTACGCCGGCCTCTTATCGCGCGGCTTTCTCGGCGCGGTAGTGTCCCATGCATTCGTTGGTGTCTGCGCCAGGCATGAAGATTACGTCCAAGCGGATGGGATATGAATCGAGTACCGGCTTCCTAGTGGCGGCCAAGAGTCGTTCTGGTAGCTCCGGAGCTGAGTCTGTGGTGGCGCCGGAGGTGACGTAGAATTGGAATGACCATTGTGGCGGCAGGATGGGTGCGTCTGCGCGCGGTCGCTTGCCCCAGTACGCTGATATAGCTCGCCGACCAGTGTGGTCGGTGAATGGTGGGCCTTGGAGTGGATTGACGATACTTTTTTCTGGACGTGGCATGGTGGTGACCTTTCGTGCCGTCATCGTCGCTTTATGACCCGTGTTTTCTTAACACAATCGGCCCTGTCAGATCTTATGTCGGTGTGCGGCAGGAGAAGAGAGTCTTGCATCGTATTGCGTCCGAGAAATAGTCGGAACGCTAGCTCTATAACCCTAACCCTAACCCTAACCCTAACACTGTACCAAGTATAAACAGGTATTTTGCCCAGAGAGGTGGGCTTCAAGATTATTACACAGATGCCATCACCTGTGTAGCTTTGGCCTCACCACCAGAATCTTCACTCCCGCCGGTCTGCGCTCCATTGCGAGCTCTCAGCTGTGCCACTCCACGAAGATACTACCGAAGCCAGTCAACCCGCTGGTCGCTATCATCATATGAAAAACTGCGAACTATCGCCGCGCTATAATTGGTAAGAAGTGCGTGTTGTGACTTGTGAGCCGATATAAAAGGGGGTCGCTCGTCGGTGCCCAAAAGCCGTGTTTTATCCTCCGAGGACCGAACATAGAACGGCCACACGAGCACCCCTACTCTAGCGCCGATCGCTATCTCGACACACCACCAACTGCCCTTCATCTTCTGGTCCGCTTCGATGTTGACTTGAACCACAGATGACCGAGCTGCACTATGCCTCAAACCCCGGGTGTAGAGCGACCTGGGCAAGACGGTGGTCCCGATGTGAAGAGTTACTCCTGTTTGGCTTGTCGGCAGGGCAAGGTCAAATGCGACCGCCGCGCCCCCTGTTCCAATTGCGTCAGGGCTGAGAAGCAATGCAGCTTCGGAAGCTGTTGAGATCGTATGGCGCAACAGTTGAGCCATCTGTAGTTGCCGACGGCTCCGACTTGGACGCAGCATCAGCGCCCGATGTCGAGATGGACGAAGATGCCACCTCTCGGAGCAACAGCCGGAATGAGGCTCCTGAGCTCGAAGAGAAGGGTCCACAGCTGATCACCAAGGAAGGAATGTCAATATACTTCGATAGGTATGCTGCTGTTTGTTGCGCCCGGGTTGTTACTCGCTAAATCTATTAGTGCTCCTTGGTTCAAGCTGGGCGACGAGGTGAGTTCTGGCCACTCCGCCGTGAAGCTAAAGGGGATGACGGCTTTCTCTAGTCTTCATGTTCTGACGATCTACAGAGACATCCGGAACTCGGCGGAAGCAATAATCCAGTAAAAGAGTCGCATGTTCACGAGGGCGCGCTGTTCTTCGAACCTGAACGTACTGAAACCCCGGAGAATCTGGCAAACCTCCATCCATTATCTCAGATGTTACCAAAGTTCAAGGAAATCTATGCCGATAGAGTCGATCCCCTGGTCAAGATCCTGCATCTTCCTACCTTTTGGGCCGAATTGACGCATGGGCTGCAACATCCCCAAGGACCACCCAAAAGCCTAGAGGCAATGATGTTTGCTTTCTATCTAGCGACAGTCAGCAGTGTAGAAGAGAACGAATGCAGAGACTTCTTCGGGGTAGCGAAATCGGTTTTATGTTCTCGCTACAGGGGCGCGACCCGTCAGGCCTTGATAAACGCAAAATTCCTGTCCACCTCCAGTCCGATGACTCTCCGGGCATATGCAGTATTTATGGTAAATTTCAATCGCCCCCCCCATTCCAAAGCTGTGCTGACAGAGAAGATGTGCGTACGCAAGACATACCACGTTGATACACTCTTTGTCATGTCGGGAGTCGCCATCCGGCTTGCACGGAAGATGGGACTTCACCGCGACGGAACATCATTTGGGCTGTCTCCATTCGACACAGAGATGCGGAGAAGACTTTGGTGGCATCTTGCCTTTGTGGATTATCGCACCGCCGAGGTACTGGGTACAAGACCTTCTCTGGATCTTGCTTGTGCGGACACCAAGATACCCCTGAATATCGACGACGACGACCTTTCCCCGGAGATGAAGAACTCACCCCAAGAACGAAAGGGATTCACATCTATCGCACTTTGTCTCATCAGGTACGAGGCCATGGAGGCGATGCGGCAGCTTTCGACGAATACTCGCCCCGTGGATACGCGCCGCGAGGTACTCTGTACCCCAATTACCAGTCTCGCCAGGAAGGATAGCATCATAGCCCAGGTTGAAGACCAATTGGAACGGAAATACCTGCGCTATTGCGACCCATCCAAACCCCTCCATACTTTCGCGTCGATCATGATCAGATCGTCGGTATGCCAAATGAAGCTGTCTGCGCACAATCCGCGACAGTTCTTGAGGGTTCCCCAAAGCGAGCGCAACATAGTGTTCGAGAACGCCATGAAGCTACTGGAGTACCTAAACTTCATGCGAAGTGGTCAACAGGGCCTGGAGAAATACATGTGGCAGATCGGCACGAGCTATCTCTGGAACGCGATGCTGTACGTGCTCATCGAGTCCCGGCATCGCAAGACCGGGCCGGAGGTGGATAGGTCATGGCGCTTGATCGGGGTGGTGTTCTCCGACTATGCTAAGTTGATGCAGACGACAGCCGGATCTGTCTGTAGAGTACTGTCGAGGCTGGGGAGGTGGACGCTGGATGTTTGGGACGACCACATTGCAGCTTTGAAGGTCGAAGGCTTCCCGGAGCCGTCAACACCTGACTATATAACTGCGATCCGTCACTATCAAACTACCTCACTGGATACGTCATCTGAAAGAAGAAGTCCAGTGGCAGCATCCGGATCTGCAACTCAGGAATCGTCCGGCCATGACTGCGTTCAGACCTGGGGCAATGGAGATGGTCTCTCTGACTCCACACCACTTGGTGCCTTCGATTTCTCTGGTATCCCGTCTTTCGAGATGGCCCCGACTGATTGGGAACAATGGGAGCGGTTGATAGCAGAGCAGAGTGACTTTTCTTTCATGGACAGCGTGTAAAGAGCCATGATACACTCAGCCCTTACAAGTCTCGGCACACTCAGTGTAGATTTAAGTAGATCTTAATGTTAATGGAGAGAAACATAATTCTTTGCGATAAACTTTCGCGTTGAAGTGAAACCAAGTACCAATGAAGTCATGTCTCCTGTCTAGGTTCACTTCGACTGCTCCCTGATTTTCACCTTTTCTAGAGCCGCACTGGACCTCTGACACCGCGCCCATCGCCCCGTAAAATATTATACGTATAAGTGACCCTTGCGTTATTCGCAGTAGTCGCCGCTTGGGGAGCTGCTATAGCGACCACGACCCATACATCTATTGTCGCTTCTCAGGACGCCGGCGATGCCGCTACCCGGTTGATATACGCATCAGATGTCACAGCTCCTGGGGCGAGAAAACCCAGCTGCCCGAAAGTTTCCACATATAGCATATACTGCATAGGTATTCACGGCACCTACTACATATCCCATGTAAGAAAAGAGGTGGGCATTTGTCACGACAGTCAATTGTCAAGAAAAACAGCAGATTTTGGTTTGGTAATGTATGAATTAGCCCAGTAAATCACCTTCCACCATCAAGGGACTCAGCAACAATCCTAATTATTTTCGGTGGACAGCCAGATCTAGAGCCAGCGCCATCCAGCCCTCTTGTTGACAGTCTCAGTTGAGAGCCAAGTCTTTACTGGTTCAGGGCCGAGTTAGGGCAGTCTTTGGCGACGCAAGAGCCGCAGTACTCGCTGCCCTGAGCCGACTCGCCGCCGCATTGGCTCTGCTTTTTGGGAGCGCATCTCTTGCAGGGACACATATTTCCTGTGGTAGTGGTGGTGTGTAGCAGTCGTGGTGTGTAGCTGTGGTGTTTAGTTGTGGTTCTTAGTTGTGGTTTGTAATTTGTGGTGTGAAGTAGTGGTTGTGTTGGTAGTGGTCGTTGTGGTGATGAAAATTTTATCTGGTATGGACGGAGCCTGTTAGGTGATTATATATAACACTATTGATGAAATTGATCAGACATGAATGCGAATTGAGTTAGAAATCCAAAAGATTATATGCATTGATCTGACAATAGGCTTGTTTCTATGTGGCAGAAAGAAGCGCATCGACATTGAGCTCGACGTTGCTTGAAACATGATTGGATATGAAGAAAGGTAATGAATACAATGGTAACGTCCCAAAGACAATGGCTGGGACTTTTAGACACCCCTTCATTGTTATCCATTGAAGAATCAAGACATTGTTTCGCTACCTGGCTTTACCTGGGCATCTATTGAGTTGGACCATGATTTGTGTGTATCGGATGACCATTGCGCATTATATTTCACGAATTGTAGACGTATGTGTGAAATTCTGGAATTGTCTGTATTGGAGGAGAAGAAGGATAGATGATGGGGTACCATCCTACTTAAATACCTAAGGTAGGAAAGGGACCTCTGACAGCTATCATGTGATCCTATCAGGATGACACCTATACTGCTCACAACATCACACAACAAGGCTAAATCCGCCACTGAGAACGTATTTTGACAAATTGATAAACCGTAGGAGAAAGCCTTCAGCCAACTAACCACCTACCCTGAAAGAGGAAGTGTGGTAGACACACCACGACATATATATGGGAACACGTTGATTCTTGCCAGCGCTTGCTTTTGCTCCAGCCCCCGTTTGTCTTCATTCGTCCGTTTGCTTCTTTCTGAAGGATACTGACATGGAGGCTTTCCACTTTATCGAAGCTGGGCGCACTGTTCAGACCTACGAAGCCACGGGCTGCACTTTAGTTGAGGTAACGAAGTTTTTCCCACATACCTGCGGGTGCAGGAACTGACGTGGAATATAACTTGGAAGAGACTCATGTAATTATGCCATGTATCGAGAAAAAGGAGTGAAGCAGGAAGCCGTATGAGAGGGTGAGTCGCGCTTGCTGGCGATGCCGATATAGGCTCTCCACTTTCCATTCTCCGCCCTCCTGACCCCCACACTATCGTGACATCCCACCTTCCTACCTTCCACCCCGCAAACAGTACCTTAAACTCGCATATCCCCGTCAGGACTTTCACTCCTTCGACAAGACGAAGCCACAATTGACATCCTCCGCAGCCTGCTCACAAGTCGCTTCTGCGCATAGCATATCGGTCATCATGAAGCTCCTTTACCCAACATCACTCAAGCTCGACGTTCCGAGCCTCGAGGGCTTCGGCGTCACGCTCCACCCCTATGACGTCAAAGCCACGATCCCGGACGACCTCATCGACGCCGAGGTCCTGGTGGCCTGGACCAACAGCGCCGACAACCTCAAGGACGCCGCCGCGCGCATGAAGAACCTGCAATGGATCCAGTCCCTCGCCGCGGGCCCCAACGACGTGCTGAATGCCGGCTTCGACCAGTCAATACGGGTGACCACCGGCTCCGGGCTGCACGACCGCACCGTTGCTGAGCACGCCCTGGGCCTCCTGCTCGCGGCCGCGCGCCGCTTCGACGAGATGCGCGACTACCAGAGGCAGTCCAAGTGGCCGGGCCACCTGGGCGGCCCGCAGCCCGACCGGCCGCGCGACCGCTTCACCACGCTGCGCGACGCCAACATCCTGCTCTGGGGTTACGGCAACATCGCCAAGACGCTTGCGCCGCACCTGACGGCCTGGGGCGCCAAGGTGCGCGGCGTGGCAAGGTCGGCCGGCGTGCGCGACGGCACTGAGGTCTTCGCCGAGGAGTCGCTGGGCGAGCTGCTGCCGCAAGTAGACGCGCTCGTCATGATCCTGCCGGGATCCGAGAGCACGAAGAACGCGCTGAATGCCGAGCGGCTGAAGCTGCTGCCGAAGCACGCATGGGTCGTCAACGTGGGGCGCGGCACCTCGGTCGACGAGGATGCGCTGGTCGCGGCGCTGGAGGGCGGCGAGATTGGGGGCGCCGCGCTGGACGTGTTTGTGAAGGAGCCGCTGCCGGCGGAGTCGAAGCTGTACAAGGCGCCCAACTGTATCATTAGTCCGCATGCGGCGGGCGGACGGCCGCAGGATCCGGAGGCGCTGATCGCGTATAACCTGCGCCGGTTCTTGGCGAAGCAGGAGCTCAAGAATCTTATCTGAGACGGCAGGACGGTTCTAGACGCTGGGAAGGAAGACGTGTACAGTGTAGAGATATTTCATTGATGGCTTCGCTACTTCTAAGATTCAACCTGGGTTTCTTCTCTCGTTTCGATGGTATGAGACGCGGACACAAGTCCATAAGGCTTAAAGAACAACCATAAAGGGGTCTAGTAGGTGCCTGGGTGGACCTTGATGAGCACCAGTCATTGACAGATTTCAGATATCCTCCTAGCAAATAGGTAAGTGTCTGACGCGTCAGGAACAAGCATCCTGGTACAAGTTTGCAATTTGTCAGCTCACCCTTAGTCAGGGCTTCTGTCAGAGTGCTGGTTCGGGTCAGAACGACCCTGAATTTTTATGATGAGGGCATGAACAGATACTGCACATGCTAATGGGCAACAAGGCGTCTCATGATGCATACCCGTCTGACATCGCTTAAAGCGCTTATGCGGACTGCCATTGGACTGTCAAGTCCGATCTTGATATCCACTGGGAAACCACCAATGCCAGATGGCTGACCCTCGCTGGCCCACGCCGTCTCACATTTGCAGACTTGAGCAATCTCGAAGCCCAATCCTCAACCAATGCGAGACTGTTGAAGGCACATTGGGTACCCGAACTCCTGCCATGCTGTCTATTGGACTCCGTACCACCGCACGTCCGCATCAAGCCTGGTATCACCTGCCACAGCCAGGTAAGCCATCATCTGCAAGTCCCGCCCGCCCTCAGTTCCGTGATACTTCATTCCTCGCCTTGCCATCGTACCGTCGCCGGGCAACGTGTCCCCTTCGGACCTTACCCCGCCGTTGCGATCCCTCTCCAGTCCCCTTGCGAGATCAGCACGGGCTGATGCAGTGGTCGCTTCAGCGGCTTGTCCGGGTTCTGCTGCGATCGAGCCGCGGCCTGCTTCTCCCACACCTCTTTCGACTTCAGGCATATGTCGTCGATTTGCTCCTGGGCCGGGGGTCAGTATCCCCATGCATGCGGTGGACAATCGGGAGGACGGAGTGTAGGTCGTGTGGCTCACATCCGTCAGGCAAGCGCCGGGCGTGGTGATGAGGAACCCATCTTCGCCCTGCAGGGACATGAGCGATTGCGAAATCCAACGGGGTCGTCATTGTATCTCTCTTGTATACGGCCCGACGGTCGCATCGGGTCCGAGCTAGTACTTCAGCTCTTGAGTGACGACCTGGAGGAATCCGGTGGTGAGCTTTGGCGATTACGTCTGATGCCAGTGTGAGCCACACCTTTTTGTGGATGTCCAGGTGCGGTATCCAGTACCTGTTCGGTGTAGGAGACGACATATTGACCGTGCAGGTTGGCCGGAAGAGGATGGTTCTTTATAGTACAACCTCCCTAAAGATCGGCGTCAGAGGCGGTGGGCTTCTTATGTACATAGTAGGGAGGGAACCATAGTGAGACTCGTGTCACATAGCCAAGTCTTCAGCGTTTAGGCTTACACGACGTTTCAATTCGCGTACAGCGCTTGAGACACTGACTGTCAGCCCGACTCATGCAAGGCGTCCCAGGATGCTTGGGTTCGTGGTTCATCCCGAGCGGGCGCTGGTAGGTCCATGCAAGAGCCTGCAGGTTCGCCTCACTTACACGCCTTGTTTTAGGATCAATCAGAATAGCTCTATCACTCCACCAACTAATGCCAGGGCTTCGATTCAGACCACTCGAGCACTATATCTGTGTGTCTGCACTCCTGCCCGATTAATTCCTTGTACTTCTCCAACACACCCATTCCCGCCATTTCACGTAGGTTCAAGGGCCGCCTCTTCCAGCTTAAGCGTGTATAAGGCGTTTGAGGTGGCCACTATGGACGCACTTCAGCTGACTCCTACCTGAATTCATCTTAAATCGTAGCCATCTAGTCCCCAAGCCTTGCAACAACTGGGGTTGTACTAGAACAAAAATGTATATTGTAACCTCGCTTTATTTGCGCGCATCACAAGCTACACGCAGGTAATATCTCGCATGAGCGAGCTTACCCTAACTATCCTCACTGTCGACTGCGTACACCAGCTTCCTTTCGAGCTTACCGGCCATCATTGTTCTCGCTTTATCCCAAACTTCTCGCAGATCCTGGCTACGCTGAGCCCACAGAAGTCTCCGATGTCAACCCCTGCAGTAGAAGGGTGCTCTTCGAGGCATCTAGGACATGTATCTGGAATAAGGGGCATGGAATAAGTACGGAGGGCGCTGCTCACCCTTCAAACTGCTTATTCCATGGTGCTTATTCCAGATACCCTGTTCATGCTTTGATGTCTTGAGAAGCGGTACCTACAAAGACTTTTAAGGGGTGATTTTACTACGTGGCGGAGCGCTCTGTAAATTGTATCTGAAGTAGGACTTGTGGCTTTTCATATCCCTTACTGTCACGACACCTCTCTCGGAGAGAAGCATGTCCTCGCGTTTAATGGTAGAGTTTCCAGAAGGGCATAGCGGCGCAGTGTGGAATATCGTTGAAGTGTTGCCCACTCGATATGTCTACAACAACGACTGCTCTATTTAGGAATCACCGTTTTGTCATAAGTTTGATAAGCGCACAGCGCTGGCCATCACAAAGAAATACCGCATATCGCCCATATTGGGCTTTATCATTCTTTCATGAGAAGTCGGTTTCACCCTCCCTGTCATTGAAATCTTATACCCCAGCCTCCCAATGGTTTGAAAAACTATAGCCACCACGGGTTTGGTGGAACATGAGCGGTACGAGTACTTAGGACAATTGAAGTCCTTCATTCATACAATATTCACACACCCGTACACTCTCTGGCACCTCGTATTGTACACTATTGCTTCCCCTCAGCTGCGGCTCTCCACTCGAAGCCTTACGGCTTCAACACAAAATTAGCTCCATCGATGTCGTAACGCGTGCTAATGAAGTGGCCGTTGAGTCGGGCATACCGAAACCACAACTGTGAGCTCGACCGTCCATGAGGCGAGTCCAGATTGACTGGCCCCTTTCCGTAGAGGGCCGTTTCGGGCGCAGGGCGGAACTTCCACGTAGATCCCCAGAGCTTTTCCGCAGTGCATCCCATTTCTACGAAGAGGTTCAGAACATCTCTCCATTCGATGTGGGCAGGGAGATATTTTGCACCATCCACGAAGAACAGGAATTCCACGGTGTTCATGGCCCTTTGGCTTACTTGGAACACTATTTGGGGCAGGGCTAATTGTGCTGGGGCGGCCGCGGGCGCGTCGGCTTGGACACGGTCATCAGGTAGGCCACGGGTCTTCTGCTTATCCTCCTTGTCGATTACGAAGTTCTTGCCCGAGACGGGAGTATCTGAGCCGACCTTCAGGGCAGAAAACGGCAGGACAAGTGGTTCTCCCGATACCGTAGCTTCTGATTCTCCCGATACCGTAGCCTCAGGTTTCGGCTTGGGCGTTGGTTCTTTCTGAGCGTGTTCAGTAAAGGCTGGTGTGCGGACTAGTGTCTGCTTCCGCCACACACTGTCTACATATGATGTGATAGCTCCTGCGTTCTTCAGGTCATCGTAGGTGCATGCCCAGAATGTGTCGAGATGTTCCTCGGAGCGTCTCATCCTCTCGATCGTCTTGGGGGTCTGCATGCGCTCCTGCGGATAACCTAGATTTCCCTTAACAGGACGTCCGACTTCCAATGCCGCTTTTCTCAGTGCAACCTTTCCTCGCCTGAATGGCCGTAACTGCCGCAAGCGTGATGCGAGGCCGGCTCGGAAGTTATTCTCGATAGGCGTACGCACGTCCACGTCTGCGAGATCCAGACCGAATTTACCCGCCCATGGATGAAAGTTCTCAAGGTGGTGCAGGATCTCGGTCATCGTTGCTACCGAAGATAGATTCTTCATGATTTTGTGTGATAGCAGGCTGTCTGGGACTCCTGCATTATCATTTGCCCCTTTCTTTAACTTTCTGTCATTTACAGATGCCATGGCCGCGACGGACTTATCATGAGTAGGAGGCTGATCTTCCTTATCAATGAGGCGGCGCAGGAAGCTTAACATCGTCTTTAGCCCCAGTTGGGCTACCGCTTCCTTGTTGAACAACAATGATAGAACAGTGAGCACTTCATCGCGATCCTTCCGGATGGCAGCTTTCTGCCGCAACTCGAATCTGCATTTACCACGAGCAGTAACTGGAGTATTTGGTGGCGATATTCTGAAGAATTCGTTCCGAAGCTCTGGCGACGAGAATATTCGTTCTCTGTGATCCATTCGATCTATTTGGGGTTTTGTCGTCTCTTTCAAGACGTATATAGCGTTGAGAAATCCCTTTGATAACGCCTCGGGCAAGTCATCGTCAAGGGGTAGTTCGCTGGGATACCGATCGCGCAGGATCTGCAACTCGTGGAGAAGTGTTGCGATCTCTGACCACATTTTGATGCCTTCAAGCGCCATGACAACCAGTCTACGTAGAATGGCCTCCTAGGCCTCCATGAACGCTTTAGTGTGTAAGGCATGCTGCGCGAAACCCGGGTGCTTTCCACTAGCTCCAGGTACCTGTAACCAATGGTGCTCCAGTTCTTGTATAGCATGGTCTTCAAAATAGCTTGGGCTCTGGCGCAATGCCCACAGATACTGCTTCGCTTGTCAAGGCCACGAGATTGGCGTACGGGGTCAAATCTGAGAATGTCACCACGTATCGTGGCAGAAAAGGTCCCACAAGAACCTTGGTGTGCCGAGCAAGATAGCTTGCTTCGAGATCGAAGCGCCAGAATAGCACCGGATGGTTAGTTGCTCTAGATCGCCACAACAGACCGAGGTGTTCGGGGAATAGTGCCAGATCTTCTATATTGATCTGCGGTGTCTTGAAAACCTCGCGATGTTTGGTCAACTCTGTCCAGGTCCCCGGATTGACCTTGAACCGGCCGGTTGCGATCGAAGGCAGAGCTTTCAAGAGCAGCCGGATATCCGGACGATGTTGTTGAGCAATACCGTTTCCAAAGGCCTTCTGTAATGCTGACGTCCTTTCTTCCTTGGTCATACGCACCCACTGCTCAAGGATCACCTTGCCGTTTGCGGCATATGCCACTTTAAGTTCGGTGTACGCCTTGGTTATTTCATCGGATATCGCATTGACTGAGTCTCGAAGTTCGTGCGAAGTTGGCCGTCCAGGCATGACCGGGCCATCGAGCTGGCCGTATCCACGCGACTGGAGATATTCGAAATCATCGTCGACGTCCGGGTTGAAGTCGTAGTAGGCAGCGTAGGCCGGGTCAGGCCGACGTAGGTATGAATAGATATCCATCTGTGCGGGTGTGAACGGTCAGCAAAGGAAATAGAAGATGGTTCTCCAAGACGGAGACTCACCTGTCCAGAGACTGCGATGATCGGAGCAAAAGCGAGGTGACACTGGTCTGACGGGGTATATGGTGAAGGGCAAGCGAAGGATCAGCCGATTGTAGGGACGTATATAGAAGATAACCAAATGTTGGTCTACTGCAAGAAGAAAGCACTTGCGAGCAGCGAAGTATGATACAGCAGACGCGTGGTAGGAATCAAACCCAACCTCCAAGTGCTCCCTGCGTGTCGTGCGGTGAATGGGAGAATTGAAACCTGATGTAAAAAATCAGGCGCAAGTAAATTTGCAGCTCGCCCAGCTTTACTAGCTTGACCAGCTGCCGGGCAACCGGTAAGCACATTTGGATTGAATTTCTTCAGGGCGGTAATTGTAACTTGCCTAGGTACCTACCTACCCAGTAAAGTCACCATAAATATCTCATTCTTTCGAACGATTATGTGAAGTCCAGCGACCACACACCTGATATCCTAACTCACTGCATTCTACATCTCTAACCTTTCAGTTGTCGGCTTGACTTGCATGTTGTAAGCAGGAAATTAACCCAGAGACGGTATTTGCGTTGTTCGACGCGTAAGATATCACAATCAGTTACTTATCACCGTGAGATATTGCCAGCAAATACAAACCAGGGCACTGTGAATCAGAATTCATGGCTTCCAACCGTAGATTAAGTGACGACACCAACCTCTCCGGTAGTTAGATAATGAAACCGAGACTTTTTGCACTATGTTCTTGTTGGGATACAGAACATCCACTTGGAAGCATAGCATAATGTGGAGTACCATGGCTACGAGAGGTATTTGTTATGGAGTATATAAGGGTAGCGGCCATTGGCCGCCTATAGCGAGATACTGGGATTACTGATGAAGGGGTTGCTTTTGATTGTGCATAAATATGTAGCTCAACCTATCCCATAAATTTACTTCTAAATACACGGAAGGATGCTTATGAGTAGTTGCTGTACCTCCGGAGTGTTTGTCAGAAGGCCAACCTTGTGGTGGGAATGATAACACGTTGAACTGCAGGGGATTATGGCACTATAGGAGGTGGTGGTGCTGTTCATATACATGAATTCGTTCTCTTGTCGCGTACCGTGCTTCCCGACAGTGTTCGACCACTCAACTGTCTCTTAGTCTTCTCAGCTCCCCACATCAAACCCCATCAGTCTCCGGGTGGTCGTTGGTATACCATAAAAGCCCTGGATCATGTGGCCGCACCTTCCGGGCGTCTCTGCCATCTCTCGCCCACACGTCGAGTCTGTCCTTAGGATAGTTCTCTGGGCGGTCCGGGCTGGGGGCTGACCAGGGGCTCCCGGGCCTCCTCGGGTTGTACTCCAGAAACTCATGTGCGACCACTTCCAGATTGAATTTATTCAGTTCGTCGTTCCATACTGGCATCGGGACTGCAAGTTCATCGTTCTCCTCTCTCAAACGGGACCACAAACGTCGAGCAACTCTCGGTAAGTGTTACGAACCAACGAGGCGTACAGGGAATGAGGCCCGCTGGCAGGCCCAACAAGATGGACAGTAACTGGAAGAACCCGGGAGAACGCACGGGCTAAGGAAACGTCTAGGTCACGTGATCAAGACATCACGTGATGGATAGCTTGGATAGCGAGGTTATCCAACATATCCAGGATAGCTTGGATAGCAAGGTTATCCAACATATCCACCCCATCAGTGAGGGAGAGATTGGATATATAAGGATGGACATTTCCTAGCTAGACAGATAGATAGTCTCTACCTCAGTGATCAATCTAAGCATCTTAGCCAACCCTAAGGTGGGAGAAATCTCCTGACGACTCGACTATTCAGTGAACCCAGTTCAGACCAAGCCCCAGCATCTGAGTGTCTTCTAGTTGACAGAAGCCTCTATCGTCTTTTGTGTTGACTTACCTCAGAACATAAACCCTATAGAACCCTTTAGCCTTATAGGTTAGACGGCTCGTCACAGTAAGGCTCCAATAGTCAGGCTACTCATGACACGAGGACGAGATCGTCAAGGCTGCTTAGACCCCCGAAGAACTCGCAACGGCATAGAGACGGTGACCATGGGAGCTCACTTAGCAAGTACTCAGCTAGCAAATTACAGTGTGCCAGAGTGAATAGCAACGACACTTCTGCCCGCACTGTGTTGGACGTGTTGCGGGAAGCGAAGGAAGGCACGCGGGTACTCGTGATAGTGATTTTATGAGAGAGGAAGGTAGGAAGCTCCGGAACCGCCGACATGCCCGAACCGACCCCGGGCACCTGCCCCAACCCCGACCTCATCTCCTGCGGCTGCAGCCAGGCTGCCGAGTCGTCAGTCGGTGCGGTCCCGCGCTGGCTTCGGCTTGTTATTTCCGTGGGGTTGGTGCTCTTTGGCATCAACCAGGCCATCAGTCTCATCGCGCTGCTCGTGCATTTCGTTCGTTTTTTGCGCGGCGAGGACAAGAAGGAGGAGAAGAGGAAGAGGCTGGTGGCCGTGATGGAGAAAGCCGCGCTGGAGTTGAAGCTGCTGGGGCCCGAGGATGAGGATAGCGATGCCTAGGGGCGTCGGGGGGTTTGGGTGAGTTGAAAAGTCCAAAAAAAACGGAAAAGCAAAAAAGCCAAAAAAACCAAAAAAAAACCCGGACTGCTTCTTCATTGGTTCTTTCTTTCGCCAGAGGGGACTGACTGCCAGCTCATATTTTTGTTCATGGTTCGCTCCCGAACGAAACAGCAAAATGGACTGCCTCTTCACTGGTGCTGGCAAAAACGGACTGCCTCTTCATCGGCATTGCGAAAACGGACTGTGGTGGCATGGTACATGTACATAGACAAGACAGTTCTCCATAACATCAATTACACCCTAAGCTGGCTCAACGAGAGGTGTACGCAGACCGGGTAGGTTCAGTCCATTTAGCTCCCTCTATCGTAGGATTGCACAAGAGAGGCGAGCTAGAGAAAACGGTACGCTCAGGAAGATGGGGACTGAACATAAAACGACGCAGGAAGTGGTATTGAGGCGAGGTAATAGGTTTGCTTACGCCCGAGAGACTACTGTGAGAATCCAAGCCCAGACAGCCACAGTAAAAGGAGGCTTGTTGGGAAATGACACAAGCCGTACATCTTGCAAGTCGCAGCGTGAAACTATGTATCTGCACCCTGTCTTCGTCGCGTACTTTCGGTCGATGTTGCCCAAGAACTTTCGTATCGTACACTTGAAGGATTGTCCAGAGAAACAGGGGTATGTGGTTGGGCACGTCTGAGACAAGTAGACGGCATTCAGTCGGCTTTCGCGAGGATTGATTTCTCGTATGAAGCAATGTCCAGACCATCAGCTTCCCAGATGACGAGGGCCTGCACACCGATGCAGATTGATTCGCGAATCTCCGGAAGCGGCACCACATCAGCGATCGCGGACATCTCAGCAGACGTAATGTATCCGATGACATGGACCCATTGCCCGATATCTGTTTGTTCGGACTTCAGCACCTGCAGAAGAAGCTTCACGTCGACGGAAGCCTTGACTGTGCTCCCCTTGGGACATTGGTGCTCAAGGGTAAGACGTGCCGAGTGCATCGAGTATGCCGTGACGCTACGATGCTGTCAGCACATGGCCATAGGCGAAGGGCATCACCTGCGCGGATTGTGCCAGCCAAACCAGACCTTGCCGAAATCAACATTGCTGGTAAATCAATTGGAAATGGAAGGCTGGGAGTAATAGGTTTGGGGGGAGGGGGCAAATGTAGCTATACCGGTAGGAGATTCTTACCAGCCTAGGAATCTGACTTTCTCTCTCACTTGTCGACTAGGGAGTTCAGAGAGCAGACATCTTGTTGATGGAAGAGGACCACTAGACATGATGGATAAAACAGAGTGTATTTCTCACAAGCACCGCTTGCAAGTAGTGGGCGAGTGCTGTGATCCTCATGGCACGGCGTGAGAGAAGAGCCTGGATCATTCGACATCCAGGTGCCTGGCTGCCTGTGTTGCTTCAATTGTAGGCTCGTGTCAGGGCAGTTGATTAGCTTCAAGCTTCAGGCTTCAGGGGGTGAAAGCAGCCGGATTTGATGACTAAGCCGGGGAATCACCGGCAGAACCCTAGGTCATTTTTAGTGGAACTGTCAGGCGACGCCTGGCAGGCGTCGCCTGGTCTCCTTGTGGGTCCCTTGTGGCCTTGTCCCCCCTGTCACTTTGTCACTTTCACTTGTCCGCGTGGGCAACCTTGGAGGCTTGCATCATAATCATAGCCTGCCCTATTCTGCCTTCAACCATCTCGTCGCCCAACACCGTAATCAGGTTCCCTCTTTCCCACCTGCAAGTCCCTAGCACGATTACGAATCTCCCCGTCACAGCGAAGCCCTCAACCATTTTCACAATCAGGCAGGCAGGCAAGTAACGCCGTGCCTAGGCTCCGACTTGCGTTATCTATCCATCCGTATACCCCGCCATCGCCCTTCCCGACAGGCGCGTCGACCCCCGGATCCCTATCATACCATTGTGGTCGACCTCTGTCCATCCCGTCGAGTCCACATCTCTCAACGCCAGACCGGTTCTCGATCTACCTCTCGCACATAAACCACCATGTCTGGCGTATGGGGCTGGTTTGGCGGTGGCGCCGCCCAGAAGAAGAAAGACAGCCCCAAGAATGCCATCTTGGGCCTCCGGTCCCAGCTGGAGATGCTGCAGAAGCGCGAGAAGCATCTCCAGACCCAGATGGACGAGCAAGATGCCATCGCTCGCAAGAACGTGAACACAAATAAGAACGGTCAGTCCACCCGTGGTCCGCTTATCGCATACAGATGCTGACGGTGCTGCCATAGCTGCCAAGGTCGCCCTGCGGAGGAAGAAGACCCATGAGCACAGTCTTGATCAAACGATATCCCAGATAGGAACCTTGGAGCAGCAGATCAACTCTATCGAATCCGCCAACATCAACAGAGAGACCCTCGCCGCCATGGAGAGAGCCGGTGACGCCATGAAGCACATCCACGGCAAGCTCACGGTGGACAAAGTCGACGAGACCATGTATGCACCCTCCTGGTCTCATCTATCTTTTGGACGTACAGCTCACAATTTTGCCACAGGGACAAATTACGAGAACAGAACGCACTCAGCGAGGAGATCGTCTCGGCCATCACGAGCAACCACCTTGGCGAGACAATGGACGAGGAGGAGCTCGAGGAGGAGCTCGAGGCCCTGCAGCAAGAAGCACTCGACAAGAAGATGCTGGAGCCGGGCACTGTGCCAGTGTCAGATGTCGTCCACAGAATGCCTGCTGTGGCGAACTCGGAAAGTAAGTACTTATACATCGTGCTTTCACTAAGCGAGCTCGAATCACTGACATTTATCATAGTCAAAGGAAAGCCCCAAGCAGTGGCGGAAGAGGACGACGAGGAAGCAGAGCTCAGAAAGCTCCAGGCGGAAATGGCCATGTAAGACATGGGCTAACACTCAACTCTTTGTTCGTGTTTCGATATCAACATACGCTTGGAGGACAGAGGTGGCAAGGAGGCCCTAGGCTGGAAGGTGGCAATCATCATGTTCACGCCACACCTTTGCCGTGTCGCGGGATCGATCTTGTCCGCTTCGACATCATCACGTCAAGTCACCATCAGCAAGCACCCTCCTTCGGCCGGCGCCTTTTTCATCCCTGCTTGGGGCGTTGGCGTTACGAGTTATGGTGCTCTTCGGGGAAGTACACATCCAGCAGTCCTGTCTGTTGGTTGATCTGGGGCTGGAGTCTAGATAGGCTGACTTGCAATGCAATATAACAGACGTGATATCAGGACTTCTAGAGTCATCAACATGGCTGTTCATGATCAGCATATACCTTATAGAACTACCATCTTGCTGAAGGACTCAGGTGAGAAGCCGGAGCATGGGTTATTACAGATTGTGCCATCTTGAGCAGGAACACGTTGGGATACTACGTCTTGCTCCTTGAACAACATATCCCAAACTCATTGTGGTATGCTGTTGAGAGCATTCGAGGATGTCCCAACTCGGTCTTGCTCAGGTCACCCGACATAGGTACCTACCTAATGCTAGACTACGCCTTACGTCCAATATCGGCTTGCTCACGATATACCAAGGGGGAAACAGTCGTAAGTAAACGTGGATTCGCCCCCAGCCCTTGCCGGTCGAGCATCAGCTCTGGTCGATAGGAGAAGCTCTTGAGCGGGCGCACTGACGGGACGTACCCGTCGTAGTCATATTCTACCGCCTTGAGGGCCACCGCATCTGGCTCTCTGTTTTCACACACCGCTTAGCAGCAGGCAGACCATCGACCAATGGTACCAACGCCGATCTTTCACACTTAGCTGACTACTCGCTTCCATACCTCTCATCGCCTCTCTTGGAAACCACCCCCTCGCTAGAATACCTTGTGAGCAACGATACTGTAAATCCGGATACGGTGTCAAGCTTCATATTCAGTCGGGTTCTCCCACGAATCCTGTCTGTCTCATTTTCGTTATTTTCACTCTCATGGGCCAACTTAATCGATGTCCTTTTCCAACCTCAACGCCAGCCACCCTGGCCACAGCGGAACCCCATCGCCGCTTCTCCCAGCCCCCTTCCCTTTTCGTATATTAAGTTTAAGCCACGGTGCGCCCTTTTTGCACATGTCATGTCCACCCGTTCCTCTGTGCGCACGCGACGGTACAAGATATATGTACCAGTTTGAAAGGTTTGTCTGTTAGCCGGGTTGGTACGGCCTAGCGAAATAGTCTTACAGAGTATTCTTACAAGGCATTCTTAGGCACAGCGGTTCGATTCCTCTAGCGGCTAATTTTCTTTTTCTTTCTTCTTTCTTTTTTCTGTATCCACAACCTGATCGAACTGTCTTGCACCCGTCCCGTCACCTGAAGAGATAAAACATGACGAGGACCTCGTGTTCGCAACTTGCGCGCATACGCTCGCTGCCCAGCACCTACAACCGTCCAGTCCCAGAGCCGTTTTGGGCCGGGGTCGGGACGAGCGAAACAATATATATCTCTATTAGAACAGAAATTCGATTCAGCGATTGTTCTGCCTGAAATTGAACGAGCAAGCTGTGTGGTTATCAAGCCCTCCTACGAGCTAGCTGCGCGGCAAGCTGCGCGACATGAGAGCGGAGGAATTGGTCACGTTGCCTGCTTGCGAGGCCCCAGCCGTATCACGCACCATACGATTCTATGTTCAACTCCTCTTGCAGTCATGCCGTCATGCCGCTCGCAATCTTTGGAATTTCATGAGGTGTGATATTCATCCGTACACGAGCCCCCCCCCCCCCCCCCCCCCCCCCCCCCCCCCCCCCCACCACCAAACAACAACAACAACAACAACCAACAACCAACGGCATGCTCATCGAACCGGATTAAGTACAATGGAATAAGCATTGGATGTGGCGTATAAAACCAGAGCTTATTATCCCTATCTGCTTATGCCAGTATTTCCAAGATTTTAAGTTTGTTCTGGAATTCTCTCAACGGGGCACCAACGGAGACTTATGAGGGCTGGGTGTACCTCCTTAACCCACTGAATCCGAAGTTTAGCGACAGCGAGGAACCCGACAGAAAACCTGCAAGCTGTACGACGATAGCTACAAGATTTGCCAAAGGAAGGGAGGGCGATCATTGATCGTTCGCAGACCCGCAGTGTTTGACTTTCATGCAACAGACTAGCATTGGCTGGTGACCACGCCCATGACCAATTAGCCGTCATAGGCAGACACCTGACTTCAAATCAACGAGGTCACAACATTCACATTTGGCACAAATAACCAGTGTACGAGTAGATAATCATGACACATCATTCAAAGATATCATATGCTTCGTACAGACAGACGCACATCATGGTCCGAACACTACAGGCCCCAACAATATCCCATGCGTCTCATACAAGAATGGAAACAGTATCGTCACATCATAAAGTCTGACATCGTAACAAGATCGTACTCGAATCGTTCAACTCATTCTGCCGTAGTCAATCATCATGCATGGAACCCATCATTCAAGTGAACAATTTCTTAAAAGCAGCGCGGAAGCCCGTGGACGGCTTCTTCTTGGCCTCGGCATCGCGAGCCTTCTGTCGCTCCTCGCGTCTCGAGTGTCTGTGGTCGTCTTTTGGCTCGAGCGAGGCTTTAGCCGCTGATGACGAGGACGCTTTGGCCTCGCCGCCCGCGGCCTCGGACTTGGACCGGTGGTGCCTCTTGGGAGACTCGCCTCGGCTCTTGTGGCTGTGGCTCTTGGACCGAGAGACGTCGCCAGACATGTGATGAGACTTGGTCGTGCTCGAGCGCTTGAGAGTCTCGGTCTTCAGGGGCTCTTTAGATACTCGGGGCGCCTCTTCTGTCTTCGTCATGCTCGAGCGCTTGGGAGTCTCGGTCTTCGGGGGCTCTTTGGATGGTTGGGGCACCTCTTCCGTCTTGGAGCGTGGCGAGTTGGATGATCGGGGCACCTCTTCCGTCTTGAAGCGCGGCGGGCTAGGAGCCAGGATACTCTCGGCGTTCTTCATGTCGAAGAACTTCTTGTTCGAGGCAGGCGACTCGTCCTTCAGGGACATCCGTCGCTCAGAGTGGGATTGGCTGTGGCGTTTGGAGCTGCGGTGCGAATGTCGATCGCCGGAAGGGGTCTCGGGCTCTTTGCCCTTGGCCTCCCTTTCATTGTCACGAGCGTCACGAGCTGCGCGCCGCTCTTCCTTGCGCTTGTCGTGGGCGGCCTGCTCTTCGGGGGTCCGGTGTCTACGACTCGATGAGCTGTGCGAGCTCTCCATCGAGAAACCACTATCTTGTCGCTGGGATGTTCGAGATGAGGCATGATCTGAGCCTGACTTCGCAGATGCATCGCTTTCCGTGCGGCTTCTGCGGTGATGGTGACGGCGGCGATGACTCTCGTCGCCCTCCTTGCTGTCTCGTGACCCCTCCTTGCTGTCTCGCGAGCCCGAAGAATGATGATGGCGTCGGCGGTGTCGATGGTGTCGTTCCTTGGCCTCGTCCGTGGATTTCTTTCCGTCGTCATCTGTCGAAAGGTCAGCAACAGTGAGTGAAACGTCATTCTGGTCAACGCTACGATCTCCTGCCACACCTGATGAAACAACATCTGGAAATCCCCGAGTCGGCTCCTGTGCTATCTTGATAGCTGCTGCAAGGCTTCTCTCAAGTTGGGAACTACCCAGTCCGGGGCTTGGTGGCGGGCTAATCTCTTGAGACGCGGCATAGATGACGACGGCAGCAGCAACAGTCTCTTCTGCTTGCCTGAACGTTCTCCGGCGTTGTTTTCTGATGCTTCTGGCACGGCCCAATGCTTTGGCCTTTGGGTCCGCAAGGTCGGGTAGAACAACGGCTGGAGTGGTCGGTCGTGGTTCTGGGTTCTCATAGTGAGAAAGTCCAGGTAGGAAGGACCCGAATTGAAAGTCAGGGCCGATCGCCTCATCGGTTTGGGTGCCAGAATGCACTAGAGGAGGTTTCAATGCACGTCTGCTGCTCTTCTCTGGGATTGGCCTCTCCTTGATGGCGTCAAGCGACCCGGGAAGATGAACATTCGATGCTACTGTTTCAGCAAAAACTGGCGCAGCGGAACGCTCTACTTCTGTCTGCGACCTGGACTTCTCCGTGGGGCTTTGCGCATGCGTAACACCTGCCATTGGCGCCGCCTGAAATGTCTCTTCAGGGACTGGAGGGCTCTCTGTTACTTCGTGGGGCCGCTCGGCAACTGCTTGCTCAGCAGGAATTGTCATCTCGGAGAACAGAGGAACATCCTTGGTTGCTGCAACGTCACCGAAGGCTTCACTGGACCCCTGATCACCTTCTGTCACAGAGTATGCTGGTCCTTCCGTGGGAAGTCTGTCAGGTTTGGCAGCTGTAAGGGTAGATATGGCCCTTTCTGACAGTGGTGTGTCCCACACTGTGGCCCTCTCTGACGGATCCTTATGGGACGTCTCAGCCTCATCGGAGACGGCTACCGATGCGGGTTCCTGAAGCTTCTCCATGGGCGTATTCTGCGCTTGTTCGGATGGAATGGCAGGTACTGGCTTGACCAGTCTCTGTTCAGGTACATCCAAGTCTGTACGAACCGCCCCCGCTGGCTTAGTGGTAGATGGCAAGCCTGTGGAATCGACCTCGTCTGCCGAGGACTTGTGTGCAAGTAGTATACCGCTGGCGGCAATTGCGGCCGCTCCGGTAACACCTGCAGCAATGAGCCCATCATGGCTATCATTGTCTTCCGCATCGGAGACCCGAGTCTCTTCTTCCGAATGAGTGGAATTTGAAACCTCTTTCGCCGTGACGTCTTTGCTTACCGACTCCGCTTGCTCTACCGGTTCGCTGGCAAAGGGCCCCTGATTTTCTGGAGCATATACGCTATCGTTGATCCCTTCCGAACTTGGGACGTCATCCTGTGCTTCTGGTACCTCAATTGCAGGAGATTGGACTTCGATATCTTCCTTTATTGGAGTAGAAGCATCGTGACTTTCATCCGGTCTTGGCTTAGTAGCAACAATACCAGGCTGAGCCTCAATATCTTCAGCAGATACCTCGGTCAGACTGGGGGCTTGAGTAGCCTCCTTTGGCTCGATCTCATCGGACTGAGTCGGTGTGAGCTGATCAGCTGACGCAGTGGTGTCTGTCAGATGTTGGACCTGAGGTTCATCTGCCGCAGGCTCTTTGACAGAGACCGGCAGCGCCTCGCCCTCACTAGGGATGACTTCGGTCATTGTAGCTTGGGACTCTGGCCCCTGTGGCTCCCCAGAAGGCACATTGATCGAAAGGGACTTCTCCACGCCTAATAGTGGCTCCTCGGGAGTGACATCGTCCTTAGCATTGGTCGCTTTCGATGTGTGCTCAGGGATGGCTTCGCTGGCTAGTACATCGCCTTTCTTAGAGAGTCCGTCCAGAGGTTGAAAGTCGGCCTTTTCTACCGAAGCCGCTTCCAATGCACCCGTGATGAGCTCAGTACCGTTGTCTAGACCCTGCGAAGATGCAGTTTCTCGTGGACGAAGGCCACTATCTTCCGGCAATACCGTAGGGGCTAAGCTTTGAGGCTCAACCTCTTCGGAACTAGGATCGGCGCGGGAGATGACGGGGCTCTCTGAGGCCTCAATGGCGTGTACCTCTGGGCTCTCTTCCATCACTGGGGATTCAAGAGTTGCGACCGGTGTCGGCTTATGATCCTCGTCCTCGACAGCCAGAGTTTCATCTGGACTCGAGCTCGGTTCTGGAGCAAAATCTCGAGGCTTCGCATGTGGTTTCTTAGATTCCTGAGGAATGTCCCTCTGGGTTTCCGCGGACACCACATCAACTGGCTCCTTTGCCTCTGCGGAGGTCTCTTGTTCATCGTCTCGCGCATCCAGATCTTCGACTGGAGGATCTCCATGAGGAAGCGAGTTAGCTTCCGTAGGTCCCAGAGATTCATCGGGCGCATCGCCATCAGGCTTTTCAATGGTGATGTAATCGTCGTCCAGATCTGGGCTGTCGGTTTCGATGCCCTCCACAGACTGAGGGATGACACCTTCAGGTTCAGGAGAGGTTGGTGAGTGCAAATCCTCGGCAGCCTCTGGCACATCAACAGCAACGTCATGTCCGGGATCAGGATGTTCTTCAACCAGCAGTGGCTCCGCCCGAGGTTGAGACTCTTCATCAGTCGTATTCCCTTCAGCGGATGGTCGCTGCGCGGTTGTTGGCACTTCGTTACCCAGTGGATCGGACTGAATAGCACCTGATTCGTCATCGTGCTCCATAGGTAGAATATGGGGGCTCGTCGGCACGACATATACAGAAGACGGCTCAACCGGTACGAAGTCGATAAGTGATGTAGGTTGCGTGACAAGCGGTGGCTCCTCATCAGCACCAGTTGTTTCTATCTGGGACTGGAGTGCGGTTGACAACTCAGACCAGCCTGACTTTTCAGTAGGCACTTGAACGGGCGCTTCGACAGATTCTTGACGTTTCTCACGGATGGCCTCCTGCACGGCTTCCAGCGAAGGTTCTTGAGCAGACTCGCCGACAGCTTCGTTGGATGGATCTGCAACTTGTTCGGACTTCGTAGCAACTGGCCCATCGACATGCTCTCCGACAGTCTCATGTGCAAGCTTCTCGAGAGGTTCATTCTGCACGACAACGTCGATAACGTCAATTGCGGGCTTTTGAACTGGTTCTTGGGCCTCGGCTCGAGGCTCAACAATGCTGTGGACAGGCTGGCTTGTTGACTGTAGATCATAAATCTCGATTGGCCCCGAGGTCGGTTCTTGGCTGGGCGCTTGAACCTTCTCATGGGAAAGCTCGGGTACGGGCTGCTCAGCTTCTTGGCTGGGCTCTTGGACCTTTCCATGAGAAATCTCAGGTACAGGTTGCTCAACTGGATCCTCCGCGAGCTTCCCATCTGACTGGCCAGCGAGCAAAGGCTCTTCTTCAGGTCTCTGAGCCAGAATTTCTACGGGCTCCGGAATCGGCACTTCAGCGGTCTCATGTACGGGCTCTTCGATAGGCACCTGGGCTACTTCTTGTACAGGCTCTTGCAGAGCCGGCCCCTCTGCCTCAGCGGCTAACGCATCGACCAGATCCGGGGGCGTCTCCACGTCGTCTTTTGGTACGAATTGGGTCTCAATAAACTCGCCAAGTGCGTCCGGATCCCCTGGGAGCGTCGACTCAGTACTCTTGCCTTCGGGCGGATCTGCCTGTTCGTCGGTTGGGTCATTGCTTTTAAAGACAGGTTCCGGCGAGTCGTCCGCCTCATCCTGCACGTGGGATGCGGTCTGTTCTGCCGGTGGAGCGTCCACATCTGAGACCACTTCAACCAGTGCAGGCTCGGCGTAGGAGGACTCCAGAATTGCCCGTTCCTGAGTGTCTTGCAGCGGGGATGTTTCTGGCACTGACGACGGATCGTTTGAAGCTGGAACAGGTTCTTCGGGGATAGAATCCTCTGCGGCGATACGCTGCTTTTGATTCACTGTTGGCTCTGCCTCGACAGCCCCAATCTGCTTAATGGCAGGCTCCTGTGCAACTACAGGCTCCTCTGAAATGACAGGCTCCTCTGAAATGACAGGCTCATCTGCAATGACAGGCTCCTCTGCAATGACAGGCTCCTGTGCAGCGACAGGCTCCTCTGCAATGATAGGTTCCTCGTGAACGAGAGGCTCCTCTTGGACGACAGGCTCCGCATGAACAAGAGGCATCTCTTGAACAACAGGCTCCTCTGGGGTAGCAGAATGCTCTTGGACGACAGGCTCTACCTGGACAGCAGGTTCCTCGAGAGCAGCAGGCTCCTTTAGAACATCGGACTCCTCTAGGACAGCAGGCTCCTCTTGGACAGCAGGCTCCTCTTGGACAACAGGCTCCTCTTGGATAGCAGGCTCCTCTTGGATAGAAAGCTCGGCTTCGGGAGGCTCAGTCTCCGCAGGTGTGGTCTCCGCAGGCAGCTCTGGAACGACTGGTGGCTTTGAGGCAACAGATTCTTCATCGACAATGGGCTCGCTCTCGACGACTTGGGATCCTACTTCTGACGAAGGGCCGTCAACGTCCTTTGATGGAGCCGTTTTATCCTCGCCAGGAATAATGTCGTCCGAGGCGATCTCATTCCTTGAATCGGTCTCAGCGAGTGCGTTGGGCACATGAATGGTTTCAGACGCGACTTCATTGTCCAGAGTGGACGGATCCGAGTCTGGTAAGTGCTTCTCATCGGTGATCAATGACTCGGGGGCACCCCTTCCGCCTTCTGGCTCAGAGAGATGGACCGGTGCAAAATCGTCGGCCACGATGTCACTGGGAGCTTGTTCGGGCTGTGTCTCCAGAGCTGGAATAGGTACTGGCTCGTTCTCCGCCGCAGGTTGTGCCAGAGGCTCGGCTTGGGGGTCAGTCTGAGCGTCTGCGGTCTCATCAATCTCTGTCTCGGGGACCTCTGACTCGGCTGTGCTCTTGTCGGGCTGCGGGGCCGAGATGACATCTGGCTCCACCAGCTCGGCGTGCTCGACCTCTATCTGAGGGGTGATTGAGACTTCATCTGGGAATTGTGCCGGTTCGGCGTTGAAAATGATCGGAGCTTGGGCATCAGACGTGGATTCGTCTTTGGCGATCGGCTCAGCTTGTGGCTCCGTCGGCGCCTCTTCAACAGCATTCTCGTCCTTAGATGGCTGAGGAACCTTCGCATCTGTACGGAGGGAAGCGTGCCCAGGCAATTGGGCCGTACTGGCTTCGATGGTGCTTGGCTCCAAGACAGCTTGGACTTCAATAGGCTCATCCGCGGTAGGTGGTTGCACTGGCTGCTTCAAATCCACGTCACTCGGCTGGCCAACTGCGATCGGTTCGGACTCGGCTACATGAGCCTCCAAGGGCGGAAAGATGTTTGTGTCTTTCTCCTCATGCCGTACAAGCTGTTCTGGCTCATCTGAGCTGGGATGTATGTTTTGTTCGCCAAGCTTCTCGTGCGTGACCGTTGTTCGAGGGCTGTCCGGCTCATGCGACTCCTTCATCTGTTCATCAAGGCTTGACTCTGCGACTTCGGCCTCCTCATTCGGTGGCAGGACCGTCGGACTATGTTCGACCGGAGATGAGGCCTCTTGCGGGGCTTCCGCATCGCTTGCTGGCTCCGCGGTGACGGCATTCTCGCTCACCTCTGGAGCCTGCGGAGTGATGATGTGGCTTTCATCAAGAGCCCCGCTGACTGCGGGCTCCTCCTCATCAGTTGCTCGCTCTACAACGTCTTGGGTATCATCGGTCTCTGTTGCAGTTGGTGCCACTTCAGACTGCAAATGCTGATCGCTGTCGTCTATCGAAAGAGTGGCTTCTCGCGGCAACGTGTCCGAGATGCGGGCAGCCTTCTCGTCGATATCCAGGTTCCCAGACGGCACCTCAGTATCAGGATCAAGTGGACTTTCTGGCTCACCCAGGTCGAGCGATTCCTCCGGTTCATCGGGTATCTCGAAGGCCTCAGGGGCATCTTCGACGAGCTGCGTCGGGAGATCCACTGACTGTTCAGGCAAGGATGGGTTCGCTGCTGATGTGATTGCCTCATCATGTATCTCTGGCTCATGAGGGCTGTCATTAGGATTATGTTCCTCGTGGGAACTCTTGACTTCTTCAGTTGCTTCTGCTGGTTGCTGGACGGCAGCATCAGCTAGTGACAGTTCATTCGCCAACTCCGGAGTGGTGGGCTCTGCCGCTACCTCGGGTGACTCCTGGTCATTCGACTCCACGATCACCGATGTACTCGAAGCCTCAATGGCTGGCTGGCCGCTGCCAGAATTGTCCGGCGTTAGCTCCAGGAGAGGTGCGTCTTCCGAGCCAACTCCGAGCATTTCGGGCTCAGTAGAATCTTCAGGCGGTGCGATGTCCACGTCAAGATCCTTGGGTACCTCTGCTGGGGATGGCTTGTCTTCCTGCTCAACAACTTCGGGTGGTAAAGGCGAGGACTGGTCGTTTTCTTCAGGCTCATGCAGTTGTTGATCGTCTGACAACGGTGCCTGCGGCAGGTAGTCGGGTAGTTCGGGGCTCTCCGGCCGTGCATCGTCAACATCAGGCAGTCCTTGCGTTGTCGAGATCGGGGTGTCGACTTCTGCTTGGGGCGTGGTGGGCGAGGGATCATCGATGACCACCGCCGGACCGGCCTCGACTGATACTGGCGGAATAGAGACTATTTCCTTGGATTCCTGTGCAGCATCCGTGACAGAAACTTCCTGCAAGAGCGCTGGAGAGTCGTCGGCATGATCCAGGATCTGCGCAGTTGGACTTGCCCGTTCGTCTTCGAGAACGTCTGGGTCGACTTCGGTGATTGAGGCATGCTCAAATACCGGTTCTTGACTTGGATCGTCCGCCTCCTCGGTACCTGACACCGGCACAACAGTCTCACCCTCAAGCGGATCTCCGGTAATGGGGTTCTCGCCGCTCTTCTGAGGGAGGAGCTGCGAATCCCCAACATCCTCAAGTTGCTCGACACCACTCTCTTGGGGTGTAGCCGACTTCTCGACATCCTCTTTGGTGTCATCAAGCTGAGCAGGCTCAGATGCACCTGTACTGATAGCCGGTAGTTCACTCGGCGCCCCCTCCTCCTCAACCGCGCCATCCTGCCCCTGCTCCTCAATCACATCCTCTTCCTTCTCCTCCAACGACAAAACATCCGCAGGAACCGACCCAGGGACACCTCCACCAAAAGCAAGCAACTTAACACCTGGGGTATCTCCAAAAGCACTGGGGAGGGTATGGTCCTTACCTTTAAACGTTGCCCTCTTGACAGGCTTTTCCTCACTTGGGATCGGTCCGACGGTATCCTTGCTCTCCTCCTCTTCCTGTGCCTTTTCGACGTCCTTGGTCTTGTCTTCGACTTGCTCTGGCTTGGCCTCAGCGGGTGCTTCAACGGGCTTAGCCTCAGCGGGTACTTCAGCGGGCTTAGTCTCTGTAGGCTCAGCGACGACTTCAGCAGCGGCGGTCTCTGTGGCCTTTTCGGCCTCCTTTGGCTGCGCTTGGTCCTGTACTGGAGCCTCTTCCTTGGATTCCTGAGCCGGTTCGATGGCATCCTTGGCAACAGCTTCAGGCTCTGTTGTGGTTTCGTCCCTTGTGGTCTCATTTGGCACTGGCTTTGCTTCCACTGGAGCCTCTTCCTTGGATTCTTGAGCCGGTTCAACGACAACCTCCGCAACAGCTTCAGGCTCGGCTGGAGGTTCCTCCTTTGGTGTTTCATCTGGCACCGCTGTTGCTTCCGCAGGGGCTGGTTTGGACTCGGTCGGTGCTACCTCCTCTGGTTGCTGGGCAACTGCTAGTGGTTCGCTCTCGACTACGGCCGGCTCGGGCTGTGCGGTCTCTTCCTTCGCTACGTCCGGTTCAGCATCTTTGGTGACTTCGGCTGCGGCTGGTTCGCTCTCTTCGGATGGCTTGCTCTGGGCAGGCTCCATTACCGCAGGCTCAACCTCCTTCTTCGGCTCTTCGGGCACTGCCTCAACAGCGGGCACATCGTCCTCCTTCTGTGCCTCAGTCTCAGCGGCATCGGGCTAGAAATCCGCCGTTAGTACCCGTGAATTCAAAATCGAGGTGGGACCTTTAGATCCATGCCTCATGAGAGAGACGCGAAGGAAAACCTACTGAAAGAAACATATTGAAAACGGACTATGTGAGGCTGCCAGGAATGCCTTACCTGAGGCTTAGCAAGTACCTTCTTCACGACTTCAGGCTCTGCCGGTTCTGCAGGAGCCTCTGCCGAAGGTGCGAGCTCTTTTGGCTTCTCTGTGACTTCCTCTGACTTGTCGGCTGCTGGTTCACCTTCAGTGGCGATGGCAGTGACCTCAGGCTGAGGAGCAGTACTTGGTGGTTCTTCCGCACTGTCACCCTTCTCTGAAGGCGGCTGCTCTGCTTCCTTCTCCGTTGCGCTCTCGGTCAGCATAGCTTCAGGAGCTGGACCGTCCTCAATCGTCTTGGTCTCTTCAACTGGTGGCTCAATAACGCTCTCGCTCTTCTTTTCTGGCGATAGCTTCTCCGCCGTCTCGTCGACAAGTTTCTCGCTGGAAGGTTCTTTGGGAGTTGGGCTATCCTCGACAGCAGCACTCTGCTCAGCTGGCGGCTTTTCTTGAGATGCGGCTGGACTAGGATCAGAGTCTTTCACAGGAGCCCCTTCTTCGGGTTCGATAGCAGCTGTGCTTTTCTCGACCGAGGCCTCCTCCAGAGGTTGGGCGTCTGAAGCAGGAGCCGCTTTTTCCTCGCTACCCTCATCTTCTGCTGACGGGCTCACATGGGTTTCTTCGGTAGCAATTGACGTTTGAGCCTCGTCTGACTGAGCTGACTGGTCCTCGGTCGCCTCGGAGCTTGGTGATTCCTCGCTCTCTGATTCTTTGGCGGTCTCGTGGCTCTCGGCAGCAACTTCAGCCACAGTGGCTTCTTCCGAAGGCTCTATCTTGGTGTCGTCATCAGGAGCAGTCTCTTCAACGTCGGAAACAGGCTCAGGGGCAACAGTCTCTGGTAATTCAGCGACAGGGGTCGGTGCAGAAGGTGTCTCCGACATCGCTTGCTCAACAAGAGACTCCTCTGGGACATCAGCCTCCTTGTCAGTGCTAGGGGGTGCAGCTTCCTCGTCAGGAGCAGCAGCTGGCGCACTGTCACCCGCATCATCGTCCTGCTTGTCCGTTGAGCCACTGGTCGCCTCTGCGGGCTCTTTAATCGAGGGAACAGCTTCATTAGCTGGGGAAGCAGAAGTCTCTTCAACGGTCTGGCTCTCGCCTTCAGGCTTGTCAGGCACTACACTGCTGGAGTCATTCTTGGTAGGCTTAACAACTTCTTCGTCTGCGGATGGCTGTCTTGGAATGGGCTCGGGCTCAGACACTTCTTTCGGACCGTCGCCACTGTCGGGCTGAGCTTCCGCGGCTGGAGGTTCGTCGTCGCTAGTTGCCGTCGGTGCAACGTCTTCGATCACAGCAGAAGTTGGCTCCTCCTCTTTGGCAGGACTTGGTGGCACTTCCGCCCGAACCTCTTCGTCCATGACAGTCTTCTTGGGCTCAGCAGCCTTGGCCTCGGAAGCTGGAGCCTCCACAGGCGTCTCCTCGGCTTTCACTAGGGTGATCTCCGATACGGCCGGAGCGCTTTCTGGCTCGTTTTCCACTTCGATTCCGCTATCTTCGATGGCGTCGTTTTCCTTCTCGACCTCGTGGACGTCTTCGGCAGGAACTTCGGTAGCGGTTGGTGCATCACTGATGCCCGCTAGTTCAGGGTCTTTCGCTGTGGCAACGTCACTAGCTGGAGCTGAGTCATCGGCAGCTGGGACGGCACTCAAGATGTTCTCTGGTTCTTCAGGAGTTTCCTCCGTGGCTTCTCCGTCGGGGCTTTCTTCGGCTTTGTCGTCACCCTCGCCTGCAGCAGGCTCAGCACCGGCAGCGGCTGCAGGCTCATCGTCATCCTGTGTATCCTTAGGGTCATCGTGGTTAACCGTCTCACCTCCATCACGAGTCAAAGGCGCGGTAATGCTTTAATAGAATGTTAGTATGGCCATAAAAATGAGATCAAATTGGGATGAGAACACATACACCTCAGGACTCTCGGCAAAATGGACCTGCTTCGTTGTTGGTGACTGGGACTCTTCGGTGGCCGACGGATCAGCTGGCTCTTCCGCGACCACATCATCAGTTGATTCAGGTTTAGGACCCGGCTGACTTTCAGCGTCAACAACTTGCGGCTCGTCGACAAGCTCGGGTTCCTCGACGACCTTTGGAGCCTTCTCGATCTTTGACGGCTCTTCGGCCTCATGGGGCTGGGAGCTCTCAACAACCTGCGCAGCATCTTCGGCAGGGCTGTCCACGGGTATGGCTTCGGGGGCGACTTGCTCCGCCGGCACCTTATCCACATCGCCGACCACATTGTCGGCATCTGTGGCAGGGCTGTCTTCCGCGACCTGTTCCTCGACTTCTTCGCTTGAAGGAACGCTGTCTTGCGCCTCGACTTCTGGTTCGCTCTCAGGTTTCGCGGGCTCAGACTTCGGGTCCCCGGATGACCCGCTGACCTGTTCGTCTTCGGGCTTCTCGTCGTCAGGCACAGCATCTGCGGGTTGAGCAACTGTCTGCTGCGGCTCGGTAGGCTTGGCTTCTGCAGGCTCCTCGGAAGCGACTTCTTGCGCTGACGGCTCGACATCGCTCGTGCTGGCAACAGCAGGCTCATCCTTCATACTTTCTTGAGGCTCTTCATTCGCATCCGCATCGTCTCCTTGGCTCTGAGTTGTGTGGAAGTCGCCTGCCGCCTCAGCTGTGTGATCTGAGGGCTCCGATTCCTGGGGAGCAGCGATAGTCTCGCCCGGTTCCTCTTTGGGAACTTCAGAAACATTATCGGCCTCAGATGCGGGCTCTTCAGGTGCTGGGGGTTCATCCTTGGCAATTGGTGTGGTCAAGGGGACTTCCTTGTCCGCCTTGTCGCTACTTTCGTCAGAAGCTGGCTTCTCAGGTTCCACTACTGCGGAATCCTTCGAACTCTCAACCGGCTCGACTGTCGCAGATTCTGGTTTATCGGGAGAATCTGCTGGCACATCGGGCGTGCTTTCCAGTTGGTGCTTTTCCGTCAATGGGCTCGGTGGAGCATCAGCTGGAGAATTGGGCTCCGCGGTGGTTGCGTCGAGGACGGGTTCTTCCACCTCCTTCGATGCTTCGGCAGATTCAGTTGTCACGGGTTCCGCCACCGCAGGAGAATCTGAAGCAGCTGGTACGCTCGCGGCTTTCGCTTCTGCTATGGCCGGACTGGATGGGGTTTCAGCTGTGGTTTCGACCGCGGTCTTAGGCTCATCGATAGGCGCCTTCTCTTCCAGTGGGAGCACTGCGGGCTTTGCTACTTCCGCATCGGTCGGATCAAGTGCTCTCTCCTCTAGGGCATGGCTCTTGCTTTCCTCCAGTTCTGCAACTTCTCCAAGACTGTCATCGATTGGGTTGTTGCTCACAGGTTCGGCACTGGGGCTGACCTCGGCAGCTTGCGTGTTCCCCGGCTCAGGTGGTTGGGCAACTTCGGTTTCCTTTGCGGTTTCAGGCTCTTTCGGAGGCTCGGTTGACGAGTCTGTCGTTTCAGTCTGTTCGACAGGTTGTTCGGCTGCAGCCACGCTCGCAGACTCGGGCGGTGGAGGGTTTTCGGATTCCTGGGGAGGGACTGGGGTAGATTCTACCGCAGCTGGTTCACTAGAGATCTTGGCTGCTGCTTCGACTTCTACTGCTGTTGCTCCACCGTCTTCTTCTTTGGCAGGCTCCGGTATTGATTCGGTGTAGACCTGCTGACTGGGCTTCTCGCCGGCAGCATCGCTCGACGACTCGTCTGCTGGGTTCTCTGCTTGCTTGGAAGGTTCTGGCGTGAGTTCGGCCTCGGTAGGTTGAGCTGGCTTCTCATCGACAACCTCAGTAGGGGTATCAGCTGCTGGTGCGCTGTCTGGCGCTTCAGCGGGCTCCGGCGCAGGATCCACTGCCTTGCTGGACTGATCACTAACAGTATTTTCCGAGTCTTCAGCCGCAGACTTGCTCTCTGGCTCCCTCGCGGGCTCTGGTGTAGTGTTCTCCGGCTCGCTAGACGGTTCAACAACCGCTTTGCTCGCAGGTTCGGTTGCGGCCTCTGCTTCAGCCTCCGTCTTCGCTTCTGGTTCGGCTACCACAGCTTTACTTGGAGGTTCGGCTGCGGGCTCGGCTTCAACCTCTTTCTTTGGTTCCGGTTCGGCTACCACAGCAGCCACCTCGCTTGGAGCTTCGGCTGCGGGCTCGGCTTCCACCTCCTTCTTTGGTTCCGGCTCGACTACCACAGCCTCAATCGGAGCTTCGGCTAGGGGCCCTCCTTCAGCCTCCTTCTTTGCTTCCGGTTCGGCAATCACTGCCTCACTTGGAGCTTCGGCTGCGGGCTCTGCTTCAGCCTCTTTCTTTGGTTCCGGTTCCGGTTCAGCTACCACAGCCTCACTTGATTTCTCAGCAGGTGGTTCACTGGCGTCTCCTGCTGCTGGGGCGCTCTCGTCCTTCGCAGCTTCGCTGGCGGAAGCAGGCTCAGGCTGCGGCGGAGCTTCGGCTTCTTTGCTCTCGACAGGAGCATCGGGGGCCGCCTCAGCCGCAGGTACCGGGGCGGGCGGATCAGGCTCAGTCGGTGTCTCATCTTGAGCTGGCGGAGCTGGTGATTCCTCCGCCGCGGGTGGAGAAGGTTCCGAAGGCTCCGACTTTGCTTTGTCGCTCTTCAGCACACCTTTCACGTTATCGACCTTCTCCTTGGCCTTCTGTTTGGCCTTCTCCTTCTTCTTGGCGTTCTTGCCCTTCTTGGTGGAAGCGGGAGGTCCAAAGTCGTCCTCCTCCTCCTTCACTGCTTCCGGCTCTTCGGGTACCGACTTTGCAGCTTTCGCGCCCTTCTTCCCCTTGGACTTCTTTTTAGACGCAGGGGGTCCCCATTCCTGCTCTTCCTCCACTGGCTCTGGCTCCTTGGGCTCAGGCTTTGCAGCCTTCTTTCCCTTGGCCTTCTTTCCTTTGGCGGCTTGCGATAACAAAGCCTGCTCGGGGGTCTGAGGCTCCACTGGGCCATAGTCTACACCTTCGTCCTCGGGCTCGCTTTGCCCAACTACATATTGAGTTGGCGCGTGCAATCGGCTGGAAAACGGAGACGAGACACTTACCATTTTGTTCAGCTTCCTCCTCCGAGTCCTGTATGTGGAGGAACTGGACGTTTGAGAAGTCGGCCACCTGAACGTGCGAATACGGGTCGACTCTGGCAGGGCAGAAAGAAACTCCCTCGTGATCACTCATTCTTCCTTGGCCTTTCCGGTGGCTTGTTCGGAGTGAATCGTTTGGAGGGGACTTGGGGCCTCTCTTATTGTCCTCATGCAAAGAAATGAATCAGGATGCGGGTACTCGCAGCAGCTGTGCCAAAACGATTGGGTATCGGGCTGCGAGATCTCGTAGTTGGGTATCGGGACGATGCTTGTGTTGTGAAACAATGACAGCGTGTTTGGTAGTAGAACATGAAATCACGCGCTCTGCCTATGATGAAAATGATGACTGATTCTGGACATGAATGAGACAGAAAGAAATCAATTGATTGAATTACCTACGGTGACATGGAGTTCAAAAACCTCTCATGCGGGTTCGGGAGCTCGCTCGTTTGGCTGGGCTGACGATAGCAACCCCACGCAGAAGATCTCAGGACAATGCAACACCATGGGAGACCCTCGGACTGGATGAGCGACAGCCCCGGAGTGGAGAGAGGCATCTGAAGCTCCTGTAATCACCATGGTGCCTGAGCATCATTGGTCGGCACGACATGACTGGCGCCACGTCGCCAGTCACTGTCGCTAGACTATGGCTCTATGAGACGGTGCCGGAGCATTCGTTGACAACATGGCCATTAACAGGGTAGCTTATAGCAGCCCGACTGCAACGATATGCGGTGACTGCAAGCGGACGGGATGGGCCTGACCCACGCATGGAAGCGCTGTGAATGGCAAGGTGGTTGCGAAGTTGAGGTTCGGCGGTCGGACAGCATGATGCAGCAGCACTGGCTGTCTGCTGGCACGACCACTTGGCCAGTGCCGACGGGGTGCCCGATTGCGAAGGTGCAAGCGCCAGCTCCTGGGCATGGACAGATGGGACAGACGGGACAGACGGGACAGACAGTTGGGCGTCAAGATCAGATACAACCGGCAGGAGGCAATTGAAGAGGGTGCAGATTGCATGATGCCGACGATAGTGTCGTGTGCAACGTGGTCGCCTTCTTTGGCTTCCCCCGGTGGCCATCCCCGCCCGACGGCCACAGCAGCCAACCACCCGGCGGGGCTGGCTGCATTGGCTGCATTGACAGCTGGACAATGACAATCTCGACTTGGCGGGGATCCATTGGGGTTTTCTCAAATTGTGAAGGGTCCTCCCGTATGCGGACATGATGTAGACGAATGCAGAGCAGCGAGGTTGGAAGAGTTGGTGGAAAAGAGGAGCTGGGGGCTACTCGTGCCCCGCACCACTTTCCACCTCGCTAGGGCTCACCACATAAAGTGGTGCTCACCACAGTAGCACACCAACCACAATAACACACCAATATGAGGTTATTTAGCATTAAAATTTACATAGCGACCGTATCTTCTTGTCAGATTCGTAGATATCAGCAGCAGGTAATCTCTTAGTAATCCTCCAATGCCTGGCCAACTTTGCTGCCTCCTTAGCGAGGGTTTTTCGTGGTTGGAGCTCCTTCTTCGCCAGGGCATCCGCCTTTTTCTGGAGGCCTGCCGCGGTCTCCTGCTCTTTTTTCCTCGCTATCTGACGCCCGATTTCAACTGTGAGGACTCCTCCTGATTGGAGAGGAGTGTTCTTTGCAGACTTGTGCTGTTTGTTAACTCGAGAGGCTAATTCGGTCCTTCCAAGGTCCCTTTTGGTCTGGACTAGCTGGGAGGCGTGGAAGCGCGCCCCCTTGGATAGGAGCCTGATCCTCTCAATATCTTCAGGAGTAAGATCCTCGCCATCGTCCAGGTTGTTCAAGGCCTCGTCTACTTGATATGCGGCCTTGTGAATCTGCCGCATTGTAGCTGGGGTGGTAACTGGAGAGGAACCAGGCTGGTTAGGGGGGGGTGACGGGGTCCTTGCGCGAACTTCGTATTCCTTCAACTGATTAATCACAACGGACGGTTTGAAGGATGGATACCTGTTTTCTTGAAGGCAGAGAGGATAGTGGTCTTCTTAAAAGCTTGCTGGCGAACCCCTTTAATACACGATAGGAACTCGATCTTCCCGATGTGCGTGAGACCATCACGCACCATAATATCCAGGGCTTTAACATGGTAGTGCTTCAAGGGCTGGAAAACCACCACATCGAGCGGCTGCAGTAAATGCGTCATCTTTGGAGGGAGACCAAAAGGGATAATGCCGTTGTCATCACAATATCTAATGAATTGTATCGTGTGGTGGCTACCGTGACCGTCGATGATTAGGAGCCTCTTTATACCAACTTAAGAGGTCTTAAAGTGCTTATTGAAGTGCTTAATCCACTCTAAGCTGATCTCGTCGTTCGAATAACCACTCTCCGCGGTTGCAATCGCCATCCTGGGGTCTAATTCGGGTACCTTGTACCATGGAGACATGTGGAGGGTGCCAGAGAGGATAAGGAAGCCTGGGATAACCTCGCCAGTAGCAGAGATAGCTTCTATGCCAGTAGCAGACTCCTTATTTTCTGGTATTCCGAAATAATGGGCTCTTTTTCGCTTGGTAACGACCATCTGGTCCTTTCCAACCCCTAATCGAAAGCCAGTCTCGTCCATGTTCCACAGGTCGTCAGGGAGGATGCCCTCCTCCCTGATGACCCTCCCCAGCTTCTGGAAGTACTCTTCAGTGCGTTTCGAGTCTTTAGCAGCTTGCTGATCTTGTGAAAGGACCTTCTGAGGCTGCTTGAAGTATCCGTGGCGCTTGATGAAGCGGGAGGCCCAATTCTTGCCAACTGTAGGTAGTTCCGTGACCGCGGTACTCGCCGACTCCTGGAGCAGCAAGTTGGCAGCCTCTATGATGAATTCTGGCCTTACGGAGAGATTAATGGCATCTAGGCGGTCGATATAAGCACAGACAGCTTTTTCTTGTATCGCATTCAGCTTGGTGGGTGGTTCTCGTGGTCCTTTTTTGGAAGGGATGCCCTGCAGGCGGTTGCGGAAGCGCTCTCTTGGAACCCTAAATTGGCGGCAGATACCGCGTTCGGAGGCATCCGGATGCTTGTCGGCATATTCTACGGCTTCGTAAATACGGGATTCCATCGCGAAAAAGTCGTCTGTCCAAAGAGATAATGACTTTGGTGTAGTTTTGGCTGGAGGGTGGTTATTTTGGAAGACTGGTGTGTTATTGTGGTTGGTGTGCTACTGTGATGAGCACCACTTTACGTGGTGAGCCCTAGCGAGGTGGAAAGTGGTGCGGGGCACGAGTACTTCACCCACCAATGCGACATATATCGAATGGCTACTGGAACGATGTGTACACCAGAGGACTGAGGTTCACTGGGTCGCTTAGTCACTGGACAGGAGGTTTTTCTGACAGAATTGTGTTTGGGTATTGACTAAAAAACCATCTGGTCACTCCAGGTTGGTACCGCTACAGCGAGGATAGGCTCGTGCGCGGATCTGAATGTATCTAGACTGACACCTCTACAACCTTGCGATGCAATGGCTCTGGGAGGCGTGGTTTGCCCTGTTGAGGGACTGCACCCACAATAAATAAATAAAATAAATCAATCAATTCGTAGCTTGAGCTTTTGCTCAAGCCATTGACGATCCTAGGCCAGAAACATGAGCCGGATGGTTTCTAGAGTCTCGTGGAGGAATGCTAGGCTATATCGGCCGCTAGATGGCTCAAGTTAGATACGATGTGCTCGTATAATGTGCGAGAAGGACTCGATCAACTCACTGCTTGACGCTGTCCGCCATTGATTGGTCATATGGGTGACCTTCAATCGCTTCGTACATGACTTCCAGAAGTGACGCCAATTCGAATATGCTCAGGACCTTGCTATTGAAACCGATGTCCAACTTCAAATGGTCAGGCAAGTGGTGTGTCCATTCTATCCTGACGTCTGCGTTGTTCTCGAGATATCTGGCTCTTATTCTAGCTGGTATGATTTGACAGTTCGTTTCGTCTGAGTAGTCACTGCTGGGGAAAGTCTCGGCTATGAAGGCCTCGAGCGATCGCGAGTCTTCCCAGAAGGTCTCCCAATTACCGACCGTGACTCCCCCCGTAGGTGGGCCGGGGTTCACATGAACCGCGAACAGAATTTTGACGGAAACAGCAATAGCGGCGTCCAAGGTCTTGTCATCCACCTCAGTTGTGCTGAGTGCCAAGGGTGTATTGAATGGCAAATTCACATTTCCACCCGTGTCGTCTGCGGAGCTGTCGTCTGCGGAGCCTGTCTGGAATGTTACTTTATCGGAGCACATAGACCTCAATGCTGCCCTAAGGTTGCGTCGGGGAATGGTCGGGTTCCTTTTGATGGCTTCCAAGAAGTACTGTATGTTACCATGCCATCGAGATATATTGTCTCTGCCGCCTATATGGCGTGCCTCGATTGCCTCATTCTCGTAGTACAACAGGTATGCCTCGAGATGGCGCGCGCGGTTCAGGCTTGGAGAACACAGCCCCCAATTTCGAATTATGAGCTCTTGCTGTTGCGATGGAAGGAGATATTCGCCGGTTGGATGTTCGGCCAAGGCCGATGGATGCTCGGCGAGCGCGAAGGAGCTCATGATGTCAGTTGTCATCGACGTGTATACAGCGACAAGAAGCAGGAGCGTGTAGTAAGTGAAGAGCCTGAGAACAGTGTTGGTATTTCATACAGGGCAATATGGATAAGTCAGCATGAAACAACATTATGCAGCTTGCGTTACCACCCTTTACGGCCACCGGGTGAGGCCGCCCGAGAGGGGCTATGTTGCTGACAGCATACTGTTACATTCGTCCAGCCACGGCCAATGAGGACCTTCCGAAGCATATATGCGGCTGAAAGCAGTGTCCACGTCGTCATTCTTGTTCTTCTCCTGTTCGTGGCTATCGACTATGTAGATAGTTTCGGATCCGACCTCACTTGACCGTTGAAGGAACCATCTTCATAACCGCCTGCTTGCAGCGATAATATCGAAGGCAAATTGCCGGAGTGAACACTGTATTCCCGTGTTCTCCGCAACGATCGCCTCGTCCACCGCCTAGAACGTATCCCAATCCAAGTTCGACTTTGAGAAAGGCAGAGTAAGGCTCGGTATGTCGCTTCTGCAACATCACCATCAGCTCAATCGATCAGACCAGGATATAAGAGCTGGAATCCCAAGTCCCCCTACTCTCCTCGAAAGTATCCCGAGGAGAGACTCAAAACTGAGTGTCAATGTAATAAAGCAGCACAATCTAGCCCAGCTAGGTACACATTATGCTTGGAGTGGTGGTGACGACACATGTACCCTTGGCCGCGAGAGGGACACCGAACATACCACGGCAACCAAGGCGACGGCAACATATTCAGTGTTTCCAACATCAACCAAGCCGTCAGAGGCCCAGCCGGATTACCGGCCGAAAAACCTTCACAGTCCATTGGCTGCTAAGGAACACCCAGTTACCGAGTCTCATCACAGCAAGAGCGCAGTCAGTGACCGAGAGAAGGGCAGAACTGCTGGAGCCGATGACCCCAGTCGCATCCCGTTTACTTCTCATCAGAAACCCCCGAAGTCAGTGCTCCCAAGGAGAGACATTACAATCAGTCTGTCTCGTGTCACCAGTGTTGTTGAGAAGCTCCTGACGACCAGATGGGCCTCCCTGTGCCATCTTCAAGCAAGAGAAGACAAAGATTTCGACCTGGAAGCAGAATCAAAATACGACAAGTTCGTTGACTTCCTGAGATCAGCATCCCGGGATCGGGCGACGCCGGAGAACGATCCCCTCAGACAATTCCAGGGTCGGTGGATTGGATTCGACCAGGTCACTGTGCAAGGTCCAGACCCGGACTCGCCCTGCGTGCCTTACATTCGCTTTCGCGGTATCAGAAACGAACAAGAGGTGAAGCGTTTGCACGCAACATTGTCCAAGAGACGTTTTTGGAGAGAGTACCACCCGCCGCTCCGAATTTGCTTCTTGATGGAGGATATCACTGTACTGGCATCGAGTTCCAGCACAGTTACGCATGGCCGCAGTACCGCGATGTCGGGCCCAAGTGCGATGAGCTACGGGTTTCGTCAACCAATGTCAGTATTATGTCCAACGGATGCCCTACGGGCTGTAAGGCCGAGCTCAGACCCCCTGAAGACAAATTCAACCACCAACACCGTTTCAACAAGACGACCACGGATAAGCTCACTGTGCGGGACAACCATTACGCTAGGGACAGGGGCGAGTCGGCGCCTCGTCACCATCGGCGGTATAATAACGTTGAAAGGCGAATTCTACGCCATCACTGCGAGCCACACCAGCCAAGCAACAGCACCACCACCAAGCCCTTGGCCGCTAGTAGAGAAAGACATCGAAAAGACCGAATACGACGGGGACATCGACTCACCCCTGGTATTCACAACTCAACAAGAACACATGCTCCAAACGTCCGGATCCAAAGAGCCTCATGAGTCCCAGCCTTCTCCATCGCAGGCAACCAACCTCGCTCGTATCGACGTCCCCCGGACTGATTGGGCGCTGGTGATGGTACAGGATCCGCGCAGAAGACTGGCCAACTTCGTGCGTTTCCACAATGAACACGACACCCATCCATCCGACCCCATCTACTTGACCGAAGTTGCTCCCAAGCCACAAATCGGTCTTGTGCATGTATATGGAGGTATCAGCAAAATGCAGCAGTTGACCATGGCGTCGGATCGAACGTATCTCCGCATGCCATCCGGGGAGCTGATGGAGGCCTGGAAAGCGTACTACACGTCGGGTCCAAGTAAGCCCAACCAAACTTACTCCTACCTACACTGAACCCTCATAAGTCTCCCTACACTCCTCATCCACCAAGCGAAAGTGCTTTCATCATAAATGGAATAAGCACGCTGGAATAAGCATCTGAGATGACTTGATGGCCATGAGCTGCTTATTCCTGTCTGCTTATTCCAGTATTTCCAAGATCTCACGTGTGATGTGGAATTCTTCCAACATGGCGCGTGCGGAGACTCATGAGGGCTGAGTGCACCCACCCTAACTCTAACGAACAAACCAGGTCTAAGCAGAGGCGACTCCGGCGCGTGGGTGTTCGACCACCGCTTCAGCGTCGTATACGGCCAGGTCATCGCGACAACCTCCGCATTCGTATACGTGCTCCCCCTCGTGAACATCTTCAAGGAGATACGCGAAGCCACCGGATTCGAACCCCGGCTTCCCACCCCCTTTGAGCGGCTAAGTGAGCTCGCCAAGCTGCACTTCCTGCAGGGCGACAAGCCCCTAGCAGAAGAATACGCGCGCGAGGCGCTCACGGGCGTCGTCCTGGGCCACTCGGACTCAACCGGAGATCACCACCACCGCCAGTCTAACACCAGGTTCCTCGCCGACTTTCTCAACTTCTTCCCGCAGCGGCGGGGGCTGGTCTGCCAGGTCGTCATGCGAACGGGGTCGGATATCGCCACCGCTTTCGCTGAGGTGTGCAAGGATGCACAGGCTAGGGAGATGGGAGACGTCGAGGTCGCGCTGAGCTTTCTGCAGGACCTCCAGACGTACGCGGAGGACTACGGACTGGATCTGTCTATCACTGCGAGCACCACCAATGGCGCTCGGCCGGGGGAGGCTAGGGCTCGGAACCGATATAGCCTCGTTAAAGCCTTGTATCCGGGATGGCTCGGAAGCACGGAGGCAGAGTAGTCTGCAAAGAAGCTGCTACTTAAGTGTATGATGATTGATTATGTTGTCCTTCACATCGTCTGCGTACCTCGAAGAGGCTAAGTGAGTATTCAATGGTGCAGCCTCTGCCTCACCCGAGAGTCGTGGATCATAGTTATATTCCCATAATATTATCTACGTAATACAACCTTCAGGTTATAAGGTACAGTCGTCTACCTGTGATCCGCAGAGGCCTTGTTCCTTGAGAGGAAGTATCTGGCCTAAGGAAGGTCCAAAAAGATAGGCAGCAACTTCTCATAGTTGGGTGTCCCGAGCCCAGTCACGGGGTCCCACCCGGGGGTCGCGTTGAACCCGTCCGTCCCACAGCCGGGGTTGTTTCCAATCGTGATATCGTTGAACGCTTGGGGGTGCTTGTAGAACGTCGGGTTCAAGAAGCCAATCGGGCCCTTGCCAATCGCGATCCGCGCCTCGTTTAGCAGCGTCACGATGCCCGCGAATATCGGAGTGCTGGCACTGGTGCCGCCGACACCGTACAAGGATGCGTTCCAGACGGTGGCCACGCTGAGTCCGATGGCTGCCACGTCGGGAAACCCACGAGCTTTGCCGCTGGTGTTGTACACGTTCGGTCCGTAATTGGGGGCGTAGTGCTCATTGAAGTGCTGGACAGCCGAAGCTTGGTACGAGGGCAAAGGGAAAATGTTTGAGAAGCCGCCTCCGGAATAGTATGCGTTTGCCGGCCCAGTGCTAGGTACGGAAACAGCTCGCTCTCCGCTCTCCGTGTCGTTTCCAATGAGTGTAGTCGCGCCGACTATCGGACAAGGTTAGGTCAAATCAACCGTGGTCAGCGCGTGGACTCTGATGCTTACCAGAAGTGATATACGGGCAGTTGACGGGAAACGACGGGGAAAACCGTGTTCCGTTGTTGTCTACGAACAGCTGGTCCGCGTTGAGGCACGAGTTGGGATAGCCGGAATTGTAGCGGTTCGCAACACCAGAGTCTCCGCTGGCATAGAGGACACTGACACCCTGGAGTCCCAGCTTCATCCATTCGTGGCATTGGCGGACTTGGTAGAAGTATGGCAGAGCGCCCTGATTCTTCTCGTCAGTATGAGTCTCATCGTCCTATGGTGCGTCACTTACCTCAATCTGCCCGTAACTCACGGAGATGACGTTGGACTTGGGAGCACCACCGCACTGTAGTGGGCCTTGATAGCCCAAGTTGTTGTCGTTCGGGTCAGGGTATGCAGGATCTTATGTGATGTTAGGTCTAGCTCCACGCACCTTCTCCTTCGCAAGTTATATTGGGTCTTGGTACTCACCGACATAGGGCTGATCTCCGCCTTCGTACGTGCAATAGCTTTCGTCCAATGCATCAAGAAAGATGTTGAAAGTCCCGACGCTATCAACATTGATGCCGTCACCAACCTGGTAGTATCGGACCCCCTGAGGATGGACGATTGAGTAGGCTGACTGGACATCGAGAGCGGCTTCAACACCAGATCCAATCGCGATAGTTGTTAGATTAGCTGTCAAGCCACCATCGATAGCGATGAACTCGGGCTTCGTGTCAGCAGGGATTTCGGGATCCGTGAAGTTCTTGAAGAAGAGAGGCAAGTCAGGTCCGTAGAGATAGTCGGCCCATTCAGCAATGCCAATTTCGTTACCCGCAGCCGCCGTCTTGCCGGCGGGGAACTTATACAACTTACGCAAGCATTCAACGGTAATCAGTTGCCCACACGGCAGCGAGCCCAGAGTTTCTCCCTGGGGCATCTTTGCCAAAGCATCGCCTCCGTGAATCGTGTTGGCAACAGGCTTCAGACCGTCGAGCTGGACGGTGGGCATGACGAAGTCCACATGCTTCTGGACATGTTCCGGCAGGCTGTAGGCGTCGACAGCAAGGCGATGTCCGCCATTCTCGACATGCTCGAAATGCCAATACTCTGTTGCAAAGAGGTTTTCCGCTTCCTCTACGGTGCCGTCGAACTGTACCCAGTTGTGACCTGGAAATGATGAGCATAGGCAGTGCCCGGCCGGTTTGAGCGAATCACCTACCCTTGGACAGCGACAGCCGAGAGCGGTCAACTCCCGAGTCAACGAGCCAGTTCACCACTGCGTTCTTGGTATCGGGGTGCGGAGAAAACACATTGGCGACCTCTTCAGCAGTCCAATGCTTGCCTGTGGTCGAGGTCAATCAGTAACTCAATGTCCGTGGTATACTTGACGCATGTGTATCGGCCAGTCTTAGTAAACATACCAAAATTGGGCGAGTCGGGATCAGCGACGTCGTATATGTAGCTCTCGGCATTCTCGATGTTGCGCTGGCGAAGACCAATGCGAATGGGCAGTACTTGGCTGGGTGTCGCCCGATGCCGCTTCTCCCACAGGTGCGGCGTGCCATCACGCTTCTCATGCAGCACGTGTCTGCTCAACAACGATGGGGCTGATATGGCGGAGGAGGCAAGTGCCACGAGAAGAGCTGAGAAAAGCATGTTGAATAGATACCACTTGGGAGTATGCTTCCTGCTCAGGGGCCAGTGGGTGAAGGACGGGAGAGCCAAGAGAACCAGGCCATGCTGTTGGGACAAGAAAGCTTGTTTTTATGGCAGATCTTGGGTCTGGGGTAGCAACCGACGGCAGGGTCACGGCAGCGACACTCGTCGGTGAATCACTACGTCGAGTATGCATCGCCCGATGTGACTGCAGGTGCAGCTTATCGTTGAACGTTCACCTTAGCACGCCTCAGGGTTACATTCACCTTCCTAAAGAGGGCTGAACCGAGAGAGGCAATAAAGATCGGGCCTTCTGATTGGGGCTCGCATATTGCACGCAGTAGGTATCAAGCAGGGCTGGCAGGCGGGCAGGTGGCCCAGGTATTCTGACGTGAGATTCACTTGATAAGACACTGGCTATAGCCTATTGAGTACTTTGCCGTCATCCATTAGACTAATATGTCTCAATGGCACGGAACCGGCCGGTTGATGCGGGGGCCGGAGGGCTGAATCCATGATGTGGGCTGTACCGTATGCGGCACTGATCAGCTGGGTAAGCGCTTGACACATGCAGGAACTGTCGCTAACCTTAGATTATTGATCGGTCGAGTGGAATTGAATAGTCTCTCTTCTAATAAGGAACACGGCATCTTGTTTCCTTGAGGGATGAATGATGGACGGGATGAAAGGCCCAGATGGAACTGTCTGGCAACGGCTGTTGAGATAATCTTTCGATCTAAAAGTGGTCAAAGCGTTGATTCACACGCTTCCAGCCGAGCTGCCGAGATACCTCCTTGGCTAGCGTGTACCTGCATATACGTACTTAGGTTTAACGTCTAAACCACAGAGCGATAAGGACCTATCTACAAGGCAAGTCCTCGTATTCATCCTCGTCTACCTAGACCTTGCACTGTAGGTTTTCTAGTCGACCCTAGACTTGGCTTGGATGGGAGAGAGTGCCGCCCGGCCGGAGACGGAGGGATCAGAGGCAGATAGAGACCCAGAAAGCGAGGTTCGAGGGTGAGGATCTAGTTTTGTACAAAGTGGTAAGTCGAGTGTTAAGTTGTGGGCACTGGCTTCTTTCGATGCTTACACCGAAGGGCTCGCTCATATTATACCTATAAGGTAGAAATAGAGAGTTGATTTTATACAGTTTTAGTCTTATAAAGAGAGGAGTATAGAATGTTTATTCTTTGTTAAATAAGTTCCCGTTTTACGCATAAAGTGTTAAACAGTGCGTAAATAATTTATATAATATAAAACGTGGTATTTTAATAAATCTCTTAAGAAAATTAAGTTGTTATAAAGGTAAAGAACTTTATAATATATTATAATATATTGAAATGCTTTAAAGGCCTTATTGTGATGGATCAACTATCCATCAGGTGGTTGGTAAGGCAGACACGTTGCCGCTGCACAGATAGCTAGATAATTGTGGGTCGGGATTTGAGATCTATCCCACCACGAGATTGAGCTGGTGCTTCAGATCTTTCTTTCCCTCCTCACCAAAGTATTTTTGTTCAACAGAGGTCATTGCTGCGCATCTTCGTCCAAACCTTCTGCTTGCCCCGTGACACTTATTATTACACTGCTACCCCTTTAAAAGCCATTAAAACTGCTACGCTATTTAATATACTTTTTTTAAATGTTATAAAGTTATTTAATCTTTTTAATAAGATTCATTCAAGGCAAAATTCGACGTTTTCATAGATAATAAAGCATTTTAATTGCGAAAATAATCTACTTATACTTTTTAAGTTCTAGTTTTCTTTTAAAGCTGCCCGTTATACTTTCTTGGTTTAAAGGAAGATATTAACTATTTAACAGTGATTTGAAAAGTCTAAAACTTCTCTTTTAATGAAGCTTTTATAAGTGAAGCGTGTGTTTATAGGTGTATATTGGTTTGTGGGTGGGGGTTGGAGAACCCAAGCTAGATGTGCAGAGGCTGCACAAATCTACAGTGTGTGCAGCCCTTATCTAATCTATCTAGCTAGTTACAGTGGGTCTCTCCAGCCACTACATCTACCACCCCTGGTGACGTGTGTCAATAAGACTATCTGCTGCTATTTTATTCGTTTGGATTTACCATACCGAGATAATTTCTTTTTAAACTTGTTATTTTAATTAGTAAGCGTAAATATTAATGTAATAAAACTTCGTTTATAGTTTAACAGCTTTTTAAGTAGGTAAACAAATAGTTTACTTATTATTAAATATCTGATTTAAAGCCTTACTTAACTTGAAAGAAAATACTTTAAATAAGTTGATAAAAAATAGCCCTGTGATTAGTTATATAATAACTAAGAATTTAAGTTTAACACTTAATATAATAATAATATCTTATTCATTAACCTTTTAAACGATTAATTTATTAAATAAAGATATAACGTATTTTTTAAAAATTTCATAATCCTTTGTATTGTTTTTATAAGATGTATTACTTCCGTAAAATAGCTATTTAAAGCTTCTACCTTTCCCGTATTATATTACGTATTTACAAATACCGTATAAATAATATAACACTTAGTTAATAACTTATATATATTTAGTCGATAAATACTAATTAAATTAAGATAACTTTGAGGTAATAAAGGCGATATGAAGTTTAATAAAAATAGTAGTAAAGAAATCGATCTGGTCTTCTTTAAATATATTTTAAAATCTCGGTTTAAAGCTCAATTAATGTTTAGGTAATAATTGTTTATAATTATCAAAACTTTAAAGGCCTTAATTTATGTTAATACTTTATAATTATTAGTAAAATTTCTAATATAACGTAGGTTACAAGCAAGCGGGACACTTTCACGAACTTCACAAACTTTCAACTTTTAACCAATATTCCTCCACCCATAACAATGGCACCGCATTATAACAAATCAGACATGCAGCTAGCTGTCTAAGCTAAAAAACGAGACCCTCATATTTCTGTTCGAAAGCTTGCTAAAACTTTCTACCTACCAATTTCTACACTGGCTCAAAGAATCACTGGCCGACCATCATGACGCAATAGCATGCCCAATTCTTTGAAACTCACTGTTTCTGAAGAAAATACCATTTGCTCTTTCAAACTTGACCTGAATGCGTGAGAATTTCCGCCCTGTTATACTTATGTTGAAGATATGGCGAATCAGTTGTTTGCGGAGCGTGGGGCTGGACGCGTCGGAAAGAACTGAACAGCAAACTTCATCAAACATACACCAGGTCTTCGGACGCGTTTTTATTAGGGGATAGACTATCAAAGGGTCTTGAACAAAGATCCAGACGCGTATCACGCGTGGTTTTGCCAAGTTGCAGCAGCACTCGCAAAACATAGTATCCAAGACGCGGACATTTACAACTTGGATGAGACTGGGTTTATGATAGGCATTATTTGGTCTAGCATGGTCATTACAAGCGCTGAAAGACGTGGCAGGCCTAGACAAACTCAGCAAAGCAACAGAGAATGGTCTACAGTAATCTCTGCTATTAATGCTGATGGTTGAATGTTCCCGCCATTCATCATTTTATAGGGCAAAACCCACCTCGCGTCATGGTATTGCAACACAACATTACCACGCAATTAGAAGGTAGCCGTGTCTGACAACGGATTCAGCATTTTGACAAGTATACCAGACCGCGTATGACCGCCGGTAAACACCTTCTCATCCTAGATGGCCATAAAAGCCACTGTTCCTAGGTCTTTAAGAATTATTGTCAGAATAATAGCATTATTACCCTTTGTATGCCTACCTACTCGTCATATAGGCCCCAGCCTTTAGATATCAATTGTTTTAGCCCGCTCAAATTAGCTTACAGTTGCATGATTAAGGATCTTATCCGGCATCATATAACCCACGTTTCAAAAGAGGACTTCCTTACAGCGTTTTGTGAAGCACATAATGCTGCTATGATACCAGGAGATATTCGAGCAGGTTTTAGTGCTACTGGTGTTGAATGGGAGCCGGAGATAGACACCAGAAGATCTCCAGTGGGGCAGAGACGCAAAGGGCATCTGACCCACCAAAAAGACAGATGATCAATCTCTGCACGCAGAGCAACACAATGAATAGAATCAATCAACATCCGTGTATTCAACAATTAAGAGTCTCATTGAATCTACATAACCGGCATCCATATTTCAAAACCCGTATTATACAACCATTTTAAGATGAATATCACAATTCCAACCCAGAACGCAACTGTGTACTATTGGTCTCAAAAGGACTTTGTCAGCTGGGGACTCTAATTCCAGAAAAGAGCTGAAGCACTCAACATCTAGCAACATATTGAGCCAGGGGTAACTACTCCATGGCCAACAGCACCAACGCCTCTAGATATCTTATCAGAAGAGTATTCAAAGAAATCTATCAGAACTGCTCAAACAGCAGTGGAGGAGGGACGAGCCCTTGCTTCATACCTTACAACAAAAGAAGCAGCTGACTTCAAGATGAACGTCGCCCTATTTGAGCATAAAGACAAGATCTATCAGCGAATCAAGGCCTCCATATCCAAACTTACCAAGTGGACTCTCGAAACCTTCGATCCTACCATGCAGGAGACTAAACTACTCCCTGAACAAAACCTCTGCCAGTGGTACCAAAAGCTCACAACTAAAGGAGCCATCTATAGTGAGAATATCATGCACCAGGCCCAAGTTGACTACCGTGCCATTATATCAACGGTCAACAAGGGGGTACTAAAGAAGAAAGAGAAGGATTTTATCAGCTGGATTGAAGAGTGGGAGTTGGCTATAGCCAGGGCTTGTGACGGCCTGTACAGACCTTCCCACATGACAAGCGGATACTTCCCAATAGGGGAAGGATCTGACCAGGGGATCCCCTTAAAGGGGCAACCTCTCACTGTACCTATCTCTCTCTCTCTCTTCCTTTTCCTCTCTAGTCTTGATATTCTTGTCAATAGAGTAATAGCTGCTTGCTGCCTGCCATGTCCCAGCTCCCCAGTACGCTCGCTGTGACAGGGCTATAAGAGCCAGGGTCTCTGAGGCTCTATCTCTAATAACC